AAGACTTCAATACACATCATCTCTGATAAAACTCAGAGTGTATAAGAGCAGTAAGAGCAGATAAACTGATTGAATGAACTTTTGAGTATTTAATAGATTTAGTTAACAAGTCTTATTAATAAACATTCTTTAGAAAAGATATGAAATAAAAATCTATTATAGATCTAACTTTCATATTATAAAATCTAATTAAAAAAAGACTTATAAACTGATTTATTAATTCAAATGAAATCTCAGAATCAGATCATGAGATCATTTAATTTGATATTAAACTGAGTGAAAAATAAAGAAGTGAAAATCCTCTTCTCTCTAATTAGTATAACTTTGAAAAAGCTGATTGAAAAGCAGTTAAAGAAAGAGTAAAATAGCTGAAATCTGAAAGATAGAGTGAGCTTTATTGAAATCAAAATCAAGATATCTTAAATGAAATACTTAAGAATAGAGTAAAGCTGATTACATCTATTCTTCTAACAAGTATTGAAGAAAATATTTCAAAGAAAAAGTCTTCTGAGTTTTTCAAATCTTGATAAAATAAGAATATTACTTCTAAAAGAAAGTAATTAGTCACTGCTAAGAGAGAGTGAAAGAATAACTTAATATCTGATAAAGAGTTCAAAGCTATTCAAAATGAATATTTTTTAGATATTAAAAAAGTTAAAATAGATTACTGAAACAAATTTCTTGAAGAAGTATAAGAAAAAGAAGTTTTTAAAGTCTTCAACTATACTAAAACAAGAAGTATAGCAAAGCTTTCAATCTTAGAATATGAATTTCAGAATGAATTGTATACAGCAAACTCTTTTAAGAAAAAATGTCAAGCTTTTATAAGAATTCTCTTTTAAAACTCATCACATTTAGAAGAGAAGAATATGTCATTTTATAAATATATTGATAAAAATAACTGAGAATGATCTGAGCTTACAGATAATGAACTAGAGTCAGTAATATTCTTAAGTTTAATTAAAACTGCTGCAGAGTCTGATTCAATTAATCATTTAATTATTCAAAACACATATTTCTACTTGAAGAATGAATATTTTGAGCTCTTTTTTAATCTCTTAAGAAATGATTATTATTCTGAATACTGAAGAGAAGCTACTAAAGTAATTCTTGTAAAATCTAATAGAAAAGCTTCAGTTCTTAAGTCATATAGAGTAATATCTCTGTTAAACTATTTAAGAAAAGTTCTAGAAAAGATAATAACTACTAGATTATCTTTTATAAGCTCTATTAGTGATTCTCTTCTATTTAATGAATAAATGAGAGATAGAAAACAATATTCTGCAATTGACACTATTCTCTCAGTTATTTATAATATTCAAGTAGCAAAGTATGAAGACCTGATCTCAACTGCAGTTTTTATTAATATAAAAGATATATTTAATCATGTTTCAAAGTCTAAGATGATTCAAACTTTGAAGATGTTAAAACTGTAACTTTCTCTAATAAAATGAGTTGATTATTTTATATTTAAAAGAATTATATAACTATTCTTTGATGAAAGAAAACAAGATAAAACTGAGATAAAAATAGAAGTATTATAAGAATCTTCAATCTCATCTGTTTTATTTGTAATATACACTGCATATTTATTCAAGAATAGAGAGATAAAAATAGTGAGATCTTTAAGTTATATAGATAATATTAATCTACTCTACAGTTCAAAGATAATCAAAGAGAATTTAGAAGTAATTGAGAAAGCAGTAAAGAAAATCTTTGTTAGAGTAGATATTAATCTAATTTAATTTGATATGAATAAAACTGAGTTAATTCACTTTTTTTTCAGATTTAATAAGAGAGAACTAAGTCTAACTCTTCTGAATAAAGAGATTAAACTCAGTTTGAATGTTAAATAACTAGAAGTATGATTAAACTCTAAGATGAATTTTAAATATCATATTCAATAAAGAATCATCAAGACAGAGAGACTACTGAATAGTATAATCAGACTATTAAATACTGAGAGAGATCTATCTTTTCAGGCTATGAGATAGTTATACATAGCCTGTATTATCTCAGTAGCTGATTATAAAGTTTAAGTTTGATGAAATAATCAAGATAACTTCACTGAACTGTTTCAAAGTCTATAAAACAGAGTTTTGAGAAGAATTCTGAGAGTATTCAAATCATCTTCTATTAAAGTAATGAAAATTGAAGTCTCAATTTCATCTTCTACTATTCAATTTGAAAAGATCTGTATGAACTATACTCTGAGAGTTATAAAGATGAGCTTAAATCATATAATCAGAGAAAGAGTCTCTTCTTCATTTTCATCAGTTAACTCAGAAAATGAACTGAATTGAAATAGATTTCTTGATTATAATGAGAATAATACTTTAAAGAAAATATTCTCTCAACTGTATAGACTATACTCACTTATTAAGAATTAATTTTCTTTATTAAATATTGAGAAAATTGATCATGAGAAGATATCTCTCTGAAGAGAAAAGCTGGAATCTCTCATAGACTTATAAATAAGTGAACTATCTAAAGAGAGAGAATATAAACAGTATTTGAAGAAGATCTCTACAATTAATATAAAAGCTTCTATTCTGATTTACTCAGATGACTTAAAAAATAAGAATTTGAATAGATTAGACACAGACATTGCTTATACTGAAGATAATATTAATTTTATCTCAGATTTCTGAAATCTAGACTGTGAATCTGAAGTCTTTGATAATGAACTATTTATAATAGTGAAAGCTTTCAAACTCATTGAAATAAAATCTTATAAAAGAGAAAATTATTTGAAAGAGATATGAATATTCTCTGATAGTTAAGCTGCTTTAAAAAGACTTAGAAATAGTCAGATTTATAATAATCAAATGAATCTTAAACTGATCTTAAACTCTGTTTTGAAAATTTAAAAGAGAAGAATATTAAAACTAATAATTCATCTACACTGAGTTTCTGCTTATATAAATATTCATGATAATAAATTGACTGATTCAGCTGTAAAAAAGAGTGCAGAATTAAGCAGATCTATTTAAAAAAATATATTCTAATCTTTTATAAAGAGAAAAATAAAAGAATCTTATTTAGATAAGTAAAATGAAAGCTGACAGAAATAAAAGAAGAGTATATATTATTCAAGATTTGAAATAAAACTCAAGTGAAAATCTTGTTTAATTAAATATAAAAAGAAAATATTCTCATCTATAATACAGCTGAAACTAGAATATGACTATTTCAAATTTTATATACAAAGATTTGATGATAGATTTGATTCAACAGAGTACTTATTCTACAATATAAATGAGAATCCTGAGTATATTGTAATACATTGTGTATTATACAATAGTCTCAGAGTCAGATTAAAGAAGAAGTATGATTTAAATCAATTAAATATGAGGTTCTTATTCTCAACTGAGACAGGACTTAAATACTTAATAGACTTTCTATCAGAAACTCAAGCAGCTATAAGAAAATGACTCAACTCAGAAGTATCTGAATATGAAGAGATGAAAATTGATTAGATATAGTCTGTTAAAACAGCTATACACTTTCTTTTAATAATTTTATTTTATTATAGTCTCTCTTTACTGTGCTTGTTTCTTTCTGTTCTTTTCTATCTATCTATTTAATGTGTCTATCTTTAAGACTATGTTCTCTTTTTCTTTGTCATGATATTTTCAAATGATTTCAAAGTATTAATAGGTGTTAAAATACTGTAATTTATAAACAGTTTTTATATTCTGAGCTGGAATTTTCTGATTTTACATATCTGAAATTGATAAGTGTATAATAGTTGACTCTATAGATATAGGAAAAACTCTGAGAACTAAAGATTCTCAGATAGATATCATAGTCTCTGACTGTATACATTTATAATTGAAGAATAATAATAATAATAATAATAGTAACTGAGAATTAATGATTGAGAATGACTGAGAATTAAAGTATATATATTTAAGAATGAAGCAGTTGAAATCTGTGAAGTGTAATAAAATAGTCTATATAATTAATTAGATGCAGTCTGATATATATATTATTACTAATCTATTCTCTTCTTAACTGACTTTCAACTGATAACTATCAGAAATTATAGAAGAAGATAATGAGCTTAAGTAAGAGATTGAAAATATTCTTGATAAGAGATTACACAGTCACAGTTAATAATATCTTATGAAATAAGTCATTTATAATTAACTAATCTGAACTCTGAGTTCTGTATTATCTGAAATAGCAGTTCTTGACTGATGAGAACTACTTCTGAAAGAAGAGAATCAATGTGACAGACTGTATCTAATTAATTATATAGACTATTCTATTACACTTCACAGATTTCAACTGCTTCATTCATAAATACATACACTTTAATTCTCAGTTATTCTCAATCATTGATTCTCAGCTGCTATGAACATGTACACTCTGATTCTCAGTCATTCTCAATCATCAATTCTCAGTCATCATGAACACATATAGATTCTTTCACTTCAAAGCCTCACTGTGTACATTACTACATACATGTATAAATATTCACTCTGAGTGTTAATTCTCATACTTTCTCTTTCTTTCCTTCTCTAATGTTTTTCTCTTTGTTATATAAGACCTATAAATATTATACCGATCTATTCGGCGTAGGCCTCTTACAATATGTATTATATTCTGGAAGCATACAACAGATGCGGCCTATTGGAGTTTAAAAAAGGCGCAAAATTGAGTGCTACACAACATCGCAAAATCCCGGGAATCAATCCGGAAGCAAAAATAGAGGATATATGATGATTTTCATCAGCCAAACTGCCCGATGATTGTCTGTAGTACACAGCTTTATCTATATACAAATTATCGCCAGCACCAAAAAGATCACGAAACAACAAGTTTTAGTTAATCCCCCAAAAGTGGGGAAATAGAAAAAAATAAAATGACTAATCAAGCTATCCACGATCACCCCTTAATATGGCGCTAAAAAAGAGAAAGGGCCCTGATATACATGTTTGCCGGCTGCGGGTAGGGCTGCCATGGCAGGGGTCGAGAGGTGGCGGGTAGTGAATTTATGCCAACAGCATCCGTCTTGGATCTTCGATATACTCCTTAATCTACAGAAGGGGTCAGTAAACGAAGACAATTTCCAAGGGGGGAAACTGACCTTAACTAGGAAAGTAACGGCTTCCCGACCATCCAAGAGGCGGTGATCGTAGGTCAATGCAAGGTACATCATCTAAACGGTACTTTAGTCATATCCATATAGAGGAATACGAGTTAACACAGGGGGAAAACTTACAGGTCTGATCTCGATCTTTCCGTTAACGACGACTGGCTTGTCCTTGATAGCATGCAGGCCGAGCACAGCTATAAAAGCCCCGTAAGTATGATATGACCATATTATGTGTATTCTAACCGGATGAAAGAGGCTCCTTACCTGTTTGCGGAAGATTGATGATGGGTGTACCCATCAGAGATCCGAAAACGCCTCCCTGGAAATGGTGTTAGTGAAACGCAGCCGCTACAGGGTGGTTTGAGAGCAACTTACGTTGCTAATGGTGAAGGTGCCACCGGCCATATCCTCGATGGTCAATTTGTTATCACGCGCCTTTCAAAATGTCAATTAGCATGTCCGTCGCTCAAGCGGGGGTAGTATGGAACTACGTCACGCAAACACACCTTTTTACCCAAGTCTGCGATCGCCTTCTCAATACCAATTAGCTCCATGGACTCAGCGTTTCGAACAACAGGGGTGACCAATCCCTTTTCCGTCGCTACCGCAACGCTGATATCGACGTAGTCTCTATAGACAATTGTATCACCGCCATTAGGACCTTCAATAGACGCATTGACAGTTGGAATATCCCTCATAGCCAAGACACAGGCACGGGAGAACGCGCTCATGAAGCCCAATTTTACACCGGTTTTCTTCAAAATATCGTCCTTGTAGAGTTTACGGAATTCCATGAGAGATGACATGTCCACTTCGTTGAAGGTAGTGAGTGATGCCGCGGTATTTTGAGACTGCTTTAGGCGCTCCGCGATCCGTAGCCGCATGCGGTTCATTTTTACCTATATGATTGTCAGCTAAGATAGACCTTTGATAGCGATCTTGCGGGTGAAAGGACTAGGAGGAACTTTACTCTGCGCTCTTCTCGGTTTCCAGGGGCTGGCTGGGATGCCTGCGTTTGGAACGTTGGATGAGCTTCCTTGGGGCGGTCTGGGCGGTGGGCTCTGGCTTTGGTGGAGGAGGAGGAGCTGCCTTTTCTTCTTGCTTCGGTGGTGATTGTGGTGGGGAGGGAGCAGCCTCTGATTTTGCTTCTGGCTTTTCTTCTTTGGGTTTCTCAGGAGCGGCTCCGCCGGTCTCCAGCTTCACGAGATCTTGACCAACAGTAACGGTGTCCTCCTCGCTGGCAAGGAACTCTTTGATCGTGCCAGCCTCTGGAGCGTTGACGGTGATATCGATCTGGAACAGGCGTGCGTGTGAGTAAGGAGTAAGTTCTATGTAAAAAGAATAAAACATGGATAAAATGGTAGCAATATTCACCTTGTCTGTTTCTATAGTTGCAAGTTCCTCGTCTCGTTCAACATACTCGCCGATCTCTACACTTATGTGTCAGCATGATTCCATCAATTGGCAAGACATACAGCGGAGAAAGCACCGACTAAGGTAATAATAATAGAGATCTCACTTTTTGAAAACTGTTTTAATGTTCCTTCCGATATCGACTCGGCCATCTGTGGTACCTTGACAATCGAATCCGCTGCTAGGCTCGTTAGAAACGTCGCGACGCAAAATAAAAATTTGACAGTGGGGGTCGGGTATAACAACCGTAAGTTCGTCGCTGAGTGCCCATAAACAGCGGCGTTTTCGAAAGCGCAATAGTTTGTCTACGCAAATAAATGGTTTATTTGAGTCATGAACTTGCGACACGGAATTGGAGTACAGAGCGCAGTAAAGTTGGGATATATACCTCAATGGAACGTGCGAGCTCATGACGGTGGTCTGTGTAGTTGTTCTCAGACAGCCATTGGATTGCGATACTCGGCTGAGAGAGGACGCAGCCCTGCAAGAGATTGAGCCGGGAAAAGCATTTCGAGAACCGAGTAGCATATTTCTCGACATCTGTCGCGGGAGTTGTAGTCGTGGAGCCATGGTGATTGCGCGCTATATAAGTGTAAATAAACTAGACTCAAGGCTGGGAATCAGAATAGAGAGGGTTACGATACAAAAACAGGGGGGAAATGACAGGACGATAAAACCGAAGAATAATATCAGCAACGAGTGCGTGGATGCACACGGGGAGAGGTGTTAAGTATTCCCGAGGAGCGCGGGAATGAAGCTGGCTTCTTGTTCTTGTTTGTGGTAAGTTAAATATAATAGCTGAAACCGGAATCGAGGTGGATGGATGCGGAACAGGAACATCTTCTCTCCCGCCGTTGCCGGGCCCAGCCCAGCATCACAACCACCGCCTCGAACGCTGTCTACAGGCAAATATCGCCCAGTTTTCCACCACTTTACCCGGCTCCCAATTGGCGCAGCTCAAACAGGTATCCATACTGACGCTGTCTTGCCACTTAGCTGCGGATATTTTAAATACTCAATTAATTGTCGCCTGGGTTGGGGCCACACACAATTCTTCATCCGCCATCATGACGCCCAACCCAACAGCACTGTAAGCTGCTCGCAGAATTACCCCAGACTACAATTGCACTTCATGTTGATCCCGCATATACTAATCGCATTTATCTCCTCTTTCTGAACAGGTCTCTCTACCGACGATCCCTCAAGCTCGCCCTCGATTGGGCCGTCCATCGCCACCTATGGCGTGGCCAGGCTGTGTATATCCGTTCGCTCTTCGATGCAAATAGGGATGTGCGGGAACCTCGACAACAGAAGGTATGAGCTATACTGTTTAGCCAGAATTGATATATATAAGTATCTATCTATGTATACTATGTGGACTAAGAGCTATGGTTGACATATTCGTTAGATTTTATTCCGGGAGACCGAGAAGTTGCTCGATGAGTGGAAACACCCTGATCCCTACAGAGCCCCGAGTGCCCCAGGCGGTATGTTCCCCCCTCCCCCCCTCCCCCCATGTTTTTCTTTTCTTTTCTTTTTCTTTTCTTTTGATGAATGGATGAACCGCATTGCATGGTTCTATTTTTTTTATTTTCCAATGACTCGCTAACGATTTGGTGGGCAGGGAGCAAATACGAGCGAAATATGGAAACGCCTATCCTAGAGTGTACGTTGGAAAATTCTATAACTCCTCCCACCTTACACACGTGTCATATCTGGTATAGAGTTGAGCCATACTAACTAGTATCCGATATCTAGTGGGCAAAGCACAACACGAGGTAATGGAGGAAGAGGAACAGAGAAACCGCGAGACCGCAAGGATCAACCAGGCGAGAGCGCAAAGGCAGAAAGAGGACGAGCAAGAAGCGATCAGATTCGAGAATGCGCAGAACGGTCGGTGATTTCGTATGTGTGTTGCGTGTACGTGTGCAGCCCAGGGCTGCTGAGAGCTCTGCTATGTTCTATTATTTTATAGAGAGAAAGAAAGAAAAAGAAGAGACGTCTCAAAAAATAAGCCCTTTTTATGTATATAACTAAATATTTCCTTTGGGTTTGTCTTATTTAATCGGAAGTATTTCTCGGTTACTGGTTGTTTTCGTTTGAAATAGGCACATACCAATGAGTGCCAATTCAGAATGTGCCCTGTCGAATACCAAGAAAAAAAAAACCATGCGCAGATCAGATCCTCCTTATTAATAGCATGTCCTTTCTCGCTCGTAGAGTTGCAACTTATCAATGGCTCTCTTTGTTCAATTCAAAATGTGAAACAGCATCACGGATCCCCCTTTAGTCAATGCTAGTAAGTTGGTAAAAACCGACTCGGTATTTTCCAGATATCGTGATTAGTTTCGTAGATCAACGAAAGGCTAGATTGGCTTCTCGACGCGCCTCAGCGGAAATTGAGGAGGTCAGAGCAGCGCGACTTTCCAAATCGTAATTGCAATAGAACATCAGGGTAAGGTTTTCCCCCATTAGAGAGAAAAATTGAAAGAAAAGAATTAAAAACAATTAAAAAGAATAATAGGCCTTCAATTTCGATGAATCAAGCTATAAAAAGCGCAAGATCACCAGCACACGTCGAAATATGCTTTCACGGGCGATACACCGATTTAAAGATCGCCCACCCGCACCGATTTGCCATCCGGGACGTAATGTACACCATTAAAGAAAAAGCAAAGCAAACAAAAACCATAAAAAAGAAACTTTGCCCAACCAGAATCCCATGATCACGTCAGAAAACCCAGACTGCGCCGAAGAATAAGAGCAAACAGAAAATTCGAGAGGCATAAGAAAACAAAAAACAAAAAGCAGCTTAAAGTTCAACGCTGGAGGTGGGGTTCTTTGCGCCCTTGCCGGACTTCTTGGGGAGGAGGTTCAGGTGGATGTTGGGCAGGACACCACCCTGGGCGATGGTGACGTGACCGAGAAGCTTGTTCAATTCTTCATCGTTGCGGATGGCGAGCTGGAGGTGACGAGGGATGATACGGGTCTTTTTGTTGTCACGGGCAGCATTGCCAGCCAACTCTAGGATTTCAGCAGCCAGGTACTCAAGGACGGCAGCGAGATATACGGGAGCACCTATTAAACGCGTTAATATCGAAACCTCACATCAAAATAGGAGATGACTAACCAGCACCAACTCGCTGAGCATAGTTTCCTTTGCGCAACAGACGGTGGACACGACCGACTGGGAAAGCGAGACCGGCCTTGGAAGAGCGACTATTGAGAGAAAAAACGACAAGTTAGACGGAATTCAATCGAGGGATGTATATATAGTGTGTACATGTCGTGTCACATCACACACGATAAAAGGGCTGGAATATCACGTACGATTGCGAGGTCTTGCCGCCGCTGGCCTTTCCTCCAGATTTGCCTCCAGTCATTTTGAATAAGGTTGTTTTGGTTTGGTTTGGAAGATAGAGAGATAGAGTGGTTGATGGAGAGGGCAAGCGGTAGCAGTGGATATATAAGCACGAAGTAGAATGGAAGCTGGATGATGGAGCAAAACAAGAACAGAGGAGAGAGAGAACAGAAGCAGCGCAGAGAGGGACGGGACGCTGGTTTATAAGAAAACGCGGCAGCGGTTCTTGTTGGGCGGCGTCGCAGCCCAGATCACGCAGCGGGTCACGGGATCCTCGCTTAGCTGAGCTGGATCAGGCAGATCAGGCCAATCACAGGCTGCCGTTTGCTGTGTCAGCGTATTGTGGCCTGGTGCCCGATCCGGTAAGTCTGGTAAACCACGCTGTTACCGAACCGTACAGTCCAGTATTAGCCTATCCCCATACAAACACCACCCACCGCGCCCTCTAATCATACGGATCATACGGGTCTGTTACCGTATCGAAATTCTGCTTCCTTCACCCACCTCAGATCACGCTGCGTCGGCTGGCGCTGCTGGCTGCTGCTATAAGTACTCGCCCCCCCGCCTGCTCCTCGTCGCGACTCTTGTCTCTTCTCCATCTTCCACTGCTTCACGTCCGCATACCTTGCTCACACCACACCCGCCGCCACACGTCTATTACACACGACATCTACTTCTTTACCCTTTTTTAATTTTTAAAAAACTCTCAAATTCATAATGGCACCAAAGGCCGCCGAGAAGAAGCCCTCTACTGGAGGCAAGGCCCCCGCCGGAGGCAAAGCTCCTGTTGAGAAGAAGGAAGCTGGCAAGAAGACTGCCGCCACCGCTGGTGGTGAGAAGAAGAAGCGATCCAAGACCAGAAAAGAAACCTACTCCTCCTACATCTACAAAGGTATGTTATTCTCTCCCTCTTCACTTTCCCCGTATATCCGTATATCCATCGAAAAATCGCTATGACAACACATTACTAACGCGTCTTTGTTTCTTAGTCCTCAAGCAAGTCCACCCTGATACTGGTATCTCGAACCGTGCCATGTCCATCCTTAACTCCTTCGTCAATGGTAAGTCGCGATAAATACCCCCGTTGATTATTCGCAGAGCATCCACTAATCAAATTCCTCAATGGTAGACATCTTCGAGCGCGTTGCCACCGAAGCCTCCAAGCTTGCTGCCTATAACAAGAAATCCACCATCTCTTCTCGAGAAATCCAGACTTCGTAAGCTTTGCCTGTTCCATCAATATGTCATCCAGTCGCGTCGCGTCACTAACATCTCGTTTTTAAAGCGTGAGACTCATCCTCCCAGGTGAACTTGCCAAGCACGCCGTCTCCGAAGGCACAAAGGCTGTCACCAAGTACTCTTCGTCTGCCAAATAAACGACTTTGTTTTTTTTTTTTTTGTTTTCTTGCTTTCTCTTCTATTATATGGTTTTTCTTTTTTTAATTCCTCATGGTCGAATGTTTTTTTTCTCTCTGCGGCTCAGTGAGGTGGCTACGGGTGTTAAGTGGGTTTTCTTGTTTCTCTAACGCTTCATGGGACGGTTTTGAATTTGTTATTTCCTTGTTTTCAATTATTTTTTATTTTTTATTCCACTTTGCAACATTCCACATGTCTATGGGTTGCAATTCGTATCGGTTTGATGGAATGTACAATAAATTACTGGAATATGGAAGGCAGTCCGGCATGGGTTCACTGGCCACTGGCCGCCTCCTTGATTAAGGCAAGAAAATTCAATTTGCTTTTATTGTGCAAAGTCTCTCCTGGTATTTGTCTCTTGCAATCAAGATCTCCGATGTGGAATGCGTGGAGCTTTTGCATCTTCATTTTCACGTGGGGAAGACGGTCGATGATTTTTGATGTCAAATAGATACGTGTTTCTATCCATAAGCCAAGAACAAAATCGATACTATATACAGCCCAGGCTTGTCATGTCATGAAAATGACTAGAAATCAGAAGAAATCCAGGACGACGAGAAAACTTGATAAAACCATGTAACCAACCAACCAGCCGAAACAAAAGAATTGACTTGCGCGTCATTTTGATATATGTAAAACACTGGGGCTATCCCCAACATCGTCGTCGCGGATGCTCCTCTCATCGCCGTCAACGCGTTCGTCGCAATCGTCACATTCATCATCATCGTCATCATATTCATCCAACGCCTCAACCTCATCAACAGCCCCTTCCCTCTCCGACCCATGCCCACCAAACGGTGACGTCTCCTTATCAAAAACATGAATGATCGCTTTCCCATTCCCAGTTACCGCACCACCGCGCACGTTCCGCTTCCAGTTATCCCAGTCATCCTCGTCGCGGATCAGGAAGCCAATTAGCATACTAGGATCCATGTCCTTGATGTGCAGCCGCCGCAGCCGGCGCGTGTGGTAGGTGTTCAGCTCCTCGTCGGTGTACTGTTGGTCGACGGGGACGTGGTAGGGGAGGGCAGGGCGGGTGTGGTGCGGGTCCAGGTAGAAGAAGTGGGAGCCTTGCGCGCCGATGAAGTAGTGGGAGGAAGAGGGGCGGCCGCTATTGGTTTTTGTTAACAACGCCGCCGTGGCTTTTTTTTTTTTTTTCAAAAAAAAAAAAAAAAAAAAAAAAAAAAAAAAAAAATTCCTTGGACAAGCTGGATAGACGTTTACAAACTTACCCTGCTATCCCTACGGCCTGTGGGTATTTCAACACGGCCTTGAGCGCTTCCCAGTATACGGGCGTGACGCGGTCGATGCCCAGTCTGATTCCGAGGAGGATTAAGGTGGGGCGGATATCTGTGCTTGTGCCTGTGCCGCCTCCGCTGGCTATTGCCCGGAATCGATCTTCGTAGACGTCTGAGCCATCACTTGTGACGTAGACGTTTAGACCGGCGTGTTTGCATTCGCTCGATAGTGCTCTGCGGGATATACTTTAATGAGTAGAATGACAAGGGAAGCGCTGGGAGGGGCGGGTGAAACCCACTGTATGCATCTTGCTGTGGCAGACGGGCCAAACCATTCCCCAGGATATTTTCCGCACGCAGAAGCTCCATGCTCCACGAATCTGTGAATTGAGAAGGGGGCCCTCGGATCATCGGCAAATAGCGAGAGTAAATTGCTTTCTTCCTTTACTTTGGTGCCCCGTCTCCACTCTACAGGATTTTGTTTCCCTTTAGCTTTTCGTTCATGTAGTAAACGGGGAATAAAGCGTAGTAAGGCTCTTTCCCGGTGTAACATACCTCGACCTAAAAATAATATCGCCAGCGCATTTGCAAGCAAGCTCTGTCCCGATCGAATCATACAACCCCATCCTGTATCTGTTGTAAATCCCTGCGGATCAACCAGTTGGCTTCTGAGGCGAACGCCCAGCGTCATGGCCGACGCAGCGTTGGGGTCGCTAGACTTTGGAATCAGCGGGAAGCTAGACCGATACGTGAGCCATATCTTCGACTCGAAGTCATCTAGGAAGGCCGCTGGCCAGTCCTGCTGCCCTTGTTGTCCTGGTGGGTTTGCTGTGGTGGATCCATGGTGGTTTGCGAAAAGCGGCACCTGGCTATTTAGGCGGGGACCATTATCTGGTGGCCTCGTAGCTACTGCATTTGTTGTCTGATCTGAATCATTTCTATGTTCATCCCGCGTCTTGTTATCATCCTCCTGGGTCTGTGGTGATTGTGGTTGCGGTTGTGGTTGCGGGGGAGTCAGTGGCTGGTAAACTCGCCCCAGACACCAGATGGGGGAGCCGGGTTCATCGTCATTCTTAGGCTCAGGATCCCAGAAGTATTGCACGATTCTCTTGTACTTTCCGATATCAACGTTATTCATGACGGCTGACGGTTTAGACTATATTAATACCCCATGGATGTTGGCGGTAACCGACGGGGTAGGGTCGGTCAATATCAGTGGCGGTGTTTATGGAGGGTTGTACGTAGAACACCTGACGAGATATACATATATATATATATATATATATCTGTACTCCGTAGTTATAGCTGGACTTGATGCGACAAAGACGTAATTTATGACCAAGACCTATAATTGCAAACAACGAAAGGCAACGGAAAAGTACAAACTTAATGTAAAATACAACTCATGCAAAACAAAAAGTAACTAACAATGATCCTTCGCATGGAGCCGCTGCAAGCAGAAATCGTTGATTTTTCGGACTCTTGCAGCCTGGCGCAGAGTCATCCTCCATACACACATAACTAGCTGCAAGAAACCATATGCAGGGAACAACGAAGAGAAACACACAATCATGACGATGAATGGAATTTAATCTATCTAAGCACCTATTCAGAATAAAGACATCCGTATCATATACATATGCTCTCTATAAAGTAGTTAATTAATTACATGCTGGCAAACAAAAAAATATATAACGTTTAACTGTTTCGGGAGTGCTTATCTAAGAGACCTGTTTGCAGTGTTTGCTTGTTAGTGATGCCTGAGTCATTTATTTCGATCATCCCGCAGCAGTTGAGTATTTTGAGAGGGAGAAGCCAGGAACAACGGCTGCAGCGTCAACAACTCAGACAAGGACACTACCACCACTCCTTACCGTGGCCGTGCAGTACCCTCGTTTCCTATGACCCCCATGGCCAGGTCAAAAAAGACAAAGGGCAGAGGCGGAGGAGGCTACAGACCTGGCTCCCCGGCCTTTGTTGTGGCAACACGCCGATCCCTCCCCGCGCATCAATGCGGATTCAATCGTGCCAACAATACCGTCCCCTACATTGGCTTCAGTAAGCTCTTTACTCCGTGTTACAACTGCCCGGCTACCTAACTATCCCGCTGACTGTTTTTGTTTCCCCATCGAAAGAACAGAATGAAGTACAGTTTACTATGGCCCAGGAGGCCCGCGATACTGAGCGCTACACTGCCCACAGAAGCAATCTCAAACTACGATACAATGAAATAAGATTTGTCAGTGCTGGCGATTTGGTGCAGGAGAGCCTCGAGGTCCCGAACGATGGGAATGCGAATAATGCCCCGAACGGCACTCCAGCCAATCCAGATCCATCGACCCTGGTGGACAAGAAGGATGTGGAGGAGAAGAAAGAAGAAGCAGAAGAAGAAGATGAAGAAGGAGGGGAAAAAGTTGAATCAATGCTGGGCGATCAGGACATATTTTTCATAGATCGCAAGGGAGAGGATCCTCCAGAGAATATGCAAACTGAAAACCACACCATAGAGCTTAACCTGCACCTATCCTCCCAACCAGATTCCAGTGAAGACGAGGTAGTTTTCACAGGGAGGGGAAGACGATTACAACAGTCTCCAGCTTACCGGAACCAGAATCTTAGTCCCAACCGTAAGCTTGGGCCTTCGATCCGGGATGATTCATCCATACCGGCGGATTGTGGTGGTGATAGTGATGGCGCTCATGATAAGGACAGCATTATTCCACGTCCGGCGTCTGTGTCCGATAGCGAATCGGAGCCGGCAATAATCTATACATCCGAGCCAGTCCTGGATGACCTAGCGAACCCCCCCGAATTTATTAGCCTCAAGGGGAAGGAGAAACGTCCTCGCACACGAAAACCCAGAAAGCCAAGATTGGGCTGGGATTCTGATGATTCGGAGATCCTGGCTGATTATATCGCAAATATGATGGACGATAGCACGAGTGACGAAGAAGAAGAGGAGGATGAAGATGCTGGGGTAGGTCGGGCTCAAATTCAGAATCGAAAACAAGTAGGCCATTCAAGCACAAAGTCATGGAGCTCTGCGGACATTGAAGACCTGAATGACCTTAGCTCATCCGATGAACTTCCCGAGGAGATAGGGCGCATCTTTTCCATGAGAGAAAGAGGCGAAAGTATTCAGTATTTGCTTACCGGCAAGGGTCAGAGCACCGACGAAGCCCGTTGGGTTCGAAAGGAGCGTCTTATAATGTCTAGTGCGTCCGAATTGATTCAACGGTTCGAGGAAAATGTCGCATTGATTGCATCACAGCGGGAGGCAGCATCTAAACTCTCTTCTTCAGACCTTGACGAGGAGGATGAAAATGAAGAGGATGAGATTGACCAAGATTTAGACGACGGCATGAAACAAGATTTGACGGATGAGCAGATGGCTCGGTTACTTCAAACTCAGGACTCTCTTGGGTTAGGCACCGATGACCTCCTACTTTTCAACGGAGATGGCGGATTTGATGGCCTCGAAAGCTTCTCCAGATCAAAGTTTCCATACAAGTCAACCCAGCCGAAAAAGCGACGAAACCGAAACGGGAATTTCCCTTCCGCCTCAGCTTTCGCAGATGCCTTAGATCAAGATCCATATGGTGGCTTCGATGTTATGGACTTCGACCGTCCAAGTCTAAGGAAGAAACCAAAAGGCCGCCGCCATGCACATCAGAATGACTTCGACTTGTCTGATAGTGATATGGCGTATGAGCTGCAGGTGTCCTGGGAGAACGACCGAAACAAGAAGAAAGCCAGGAAGCAGGAGCGCGAGGAATTAAGGGCACAGGGACTATTGGACACCAAGCCCGGAAAGGTAAATATGAAGGCGAAGTATACGGAAGGCATGAGTATTGATGATGTTAAACTGGAAATCCGGGCCTTCCTGGCATCGTCTTCCCAAAGGTACGATACGATACCCCTCTAGTTTCCAGTCGTTTTTCTAACTGAAAATTACTAACGGCTGAAAACCAAACAGCCTCTCGCTGCCCCCAATGGACAAGCGAAACCGCAAACTCGTGCACGAGATAGCAAACATCCTCTCTCTCAAATCACTGTCGCGCGGTAGCGGCACCTCGCGCTTCCCAATCCTCACCAAGACATCCCGCACACCCAGCTTGGAGGGCCAAGCAGCCGTCCACCAGGTCGATAGAGTCTTCTCCAGCAGCCGCTTTATGCGGAGGATGGATAAATCCCAACGAGGTGGGCCTAAGCCCGTTGCCAAGTCCCGGGGTGGCGGTGTGAAAGGCACCTCGTATATGGATGGCGATGTTGTCGGGGCGTCTGCGCCGGAGATTGGGGCGGAGAATAAAGGCCGTGCGATGCTGGAGAAGATGGGGTGGAGTAGTGGGACGGCGCTGGGGGCTGCTAATAACAAGGGGATTTTACACCCTGTTGTGCATGTGGTTAAGAATTCAAAGGCTGGGTTGGGCTGAAGGGGGCTGAAGGGGTCGTGATTTTTCATGTGGTCTTCCTTATTGGGCTTTCTTTGTTTTCTTTTTTCTTTTTCTTGTTTATGTTCGTATGTTTTGAGTACGGTGTTTAGGAGCCTATAGCATATTTATAGACGAGCTCTGCGATTATGACATTGGGCGAACTGGTGTATCGGAGCGAGAGCAAAACCGGTATGACTCGAGTAAATCGTTTATTTTCTAAGATGCCTATATACTTATTCATAGACTCAAAAAACCGAATAAAAAAACCCGCGTCAAGACGCGTCAAGCGCGTTTCTTGACGTGCTGATTTTGAAAATAACTTGTGTTGCAACCATCCCAAGTCCTAGCACGAGAAGCCAAGAACAGTGGCAGTAATCGCTCAATAGGAACGCTGTGAGGAAAAAGGTACAGTACGCAGGCGTTCCCCGCTGCCAGATGGCGAAGTATAAAACTATATATCTACATGAAATATTCTATCTTGAAAAATGAAAACAGAACAGTCGTCCTAGTACGGAGTACAGAGTACAGAGTACTCCGTACATGAATCATAATCCTTTTTTGCAAAATAAAACGAAACGCCCCACGCTATGCACCGAATAAAACCGCAGTGAAACAATATAACCCACTACCAAATCAGTCAAAGGTCCTATAGAAAGCCGAAAATCTTAAAACAAACCAAAAAAAAGGCAGCCTCGGCTCCCCCAACAAATCAGCGCTTCGCGCCTTTCTTCTTCGCCTGTTTATTATTAGATTTAGTAGCAGGCACAGGCTGCGCGTGATTTAGCTCCTTGATATGGTTAAATAGTTTGGTTTTGGAAGTGAACGAGCTGTGACATTTTGCGCATGTAAACGTCTTGCCCTGCCTCCCTTCTTCAGCTGCAGCCGCCGCCGCAGCGGCGCGTTTGGCGCGCTTTAACTTTGCTCTGCCTACTTTTGCTTGCTTCGGCTCGTCGTCGTTGTCATCATCATTATTACTAGTACCCATGGGCGTGGCTGAGATGGAGGTTTTCGATATGTCTTCTGTTAGCATGGTTAGGCTGGCGTTCTCACTAGTTGTATCTGTGGCGAAGCGGTTTTCGAGAACGGCTCGCGGCGCGTAATCTTCGTTTGTATCGCTGGTGTCGTTATCGTCATCTGCTTCCTCTGGTCCTTGAATTTGCGTTTCGGCTTCGGCTTGGTTTATGTTTGATTCTGATAAATCGCTGTGGTGGTCCGATATGGAATCTGGATCGTCTTCGTGAGTTGGTTTAGTAGTATGTTCTAGCTCATCTTCCGCGTCTGAGGGAATGGGCTCGTCATTTTCCTGGGTGGTAGTGGCGCCGGACGAGGATCTTTGGGTGGAATCCTGAACTGAACCAGAACTGCTAGTGCCCGTTCTCGTTTCCGTGCTTAGTTGCTGAATGTGTTTATCCTCCGCTCTCATCTCCCAACGAAGCTGCTTGACAGCTTTGATGTGCTTCTTACTCCGCTCATGCGCGTCGAACTGTTTCTCACTCTTAAAGGTTTTTCGACAGACGACACACTCGAAATAGTCTTGTTCAATCACAGATTCACTACTGCTGCTGAACATTTCTTCCTCTGTCTCTTCACTCCGTGCCCATTCTGGGATCTGTTGGTTGTGCAACTTCGCTTCATTTGCTGCTCGCGAGCGCGCCGCCTGCGCCGCCGCAGCATCCCGGAGAGATTTCTGCCGCTCCGCCTCATTCTGCACGGTGGCTTTGAAACGGGGATCTCGCTTCTTCACGAAGGCAACGAGAGACCGGACAGCGTCGTTGAATTCTCTAATACCCTCGTCTCTCAGTCGTTTGTTCTCTTTCTCCATCAGCCTGCGGACCCTTCTATCGGGTGCTTCCGAGTAGCGATAGACATCCTTCCACGAGAACGATTTCTTTGTCGCAAACCCGCTCCATATCGAGTAAAACGGGCGGATGCTGTCATAATCGTCATCTTTGTGGCCGAATGAGGGGTAGTCGACGGGTTCCAAGTCACCCCATTGGCACGCCAGTGCCTCTTCTTCCGCCAGTTGCTCAAAAGTTTCCCGCAAGCCGCCAAAGAAGCCAGACGGCGCATCTGAGAAATCCATACGGGGGTTGAATTTCATGATGAGCTGCGTTATATCGTCTGCGGTTGTCATTTTGATATTATGGGAATACTGCGCAGCCGCGGGGCCATTGTGGCCCGCCAAAATGGCGTCCCGATGGGAGTCATACCAGGCACGCTCCTGGGGGTCCGATAGGACTTCGTAGGCGGCCTGGATCTCAGCGAAGATGGCGGTGGAAGCCTCTACATTACCATAGTTTCTGTCTGGGTGGTGTTCTAGTGCCTTTTTCTTATAAGCCTTTTTGATCCTGTGCGGGGAGAAGGGGATAAAATCAAATTAGTCTCAGGTTTCACCACCGCATTTCCTAATACTCTCGTGCTACGCTGGCATCGGCGACCAGCATAGCACATAAGATAGGGCATTTAAAAATCAAATCAAAACCAAACTGGGGGATGAGGCGCACTCTTCTTCTGTAGCGGTTCTTCCCAAACCCAGCAGCTCGTAGTAATCCGTCTTCCTTTCCTCATTAGCTGGGGCGCCACTGTTCCCCCCCGCAGTGGAGGACTGGCTCTGGCCCATGGACTCCTCTTTGTCGATAGCAGCACAGACAATGTGCTGGAGAGAAGGAAAATGATTGGCGCGGTGATTTTGTGAAATCCCTTGGAGTTCCTGAGCTTAACAACGAGGACCGCCAAACGATCAAAATATTAAGCTTTTGTCCACAATGCGGCGGCTTAGTCATCGATTGAATGCGGAGCGGGCCAAGACCCGACGTCATTGCGTACGGAGGGGTGGTATGGTATGGTATGGAACTGGTTCGAGATGGTAAGAAAAGCGCTTGTTAGTGGTATTTTTGGGTGTCATTCGGGTATTACGGTCGGATGACAGCACGTGGCGCCCTCTGGGTTTGAATGCTTGGCAGGCTTGGCATCTGGCCACGGGGATCCAAAAAAAACCCTGGAAGTTGCTGTCAAAAGTCATTCATCTGTCTGTGTACTGTGTATACATGCATGTATATATAACTTCCATCTATTTCGTCGATTTGCCCGCCATCTGCCCCTGGGACCCTCTACAAACCACCCTCCGAGGCTGCTATAAACGAAATATCCTCAAGCTACTGCAATGTATATTTGCTCTCGACCGGTTCTCTCCTACATCTCCAAGATATCGGGCCGCGCTCCTGTTCTCCACGCCTCTGAAATGCGACATCCTTGATGGTGGTGGTTATCCCTATACAAATAGGTTATTGCGAAAAAGATAAATACTTCTCTCTTTGCTTCATCATCATCATCATTTTCTTTTGCTGCGCATAGGAATACCCTGTTGGAGTTGGTTAAATAGTACCTGCTATCCGTTTAAACGACTCCAGTAATGAAGTTTGCGCGTGACTACACACAGATCCTCAACGCTGAGGATTACCCTGCCCAGTGGGTTCAGTCTGCAATCTCCTATAAGCGCCTCAAGAAATGCATCAAAAAGGTGTGTACGGAGCTGCTATCCCTGGGATTACGCCCGGAAATCCTGAACCTGCTCTGGCATCAAAGCCAAGCGGCCAAGGCGCGAGGGTATGATGGTGCTGGCGATGATAGCCGGCCTTTTGGCTTCCAGTATTCCCTGAGCAGTAAGTTTTGGCCGGTTCGAGCTATGAATGATACCCCTTGTTTTTGGATAGGAGGCCTAACTATTTTTTGCAGAAAACCCTTTCACCTCGTTTTGGCTGCCGAAATTGACCTTCGTAATCGACCCCATGGATGGCTCCCCGATTGATGCTTTCGTCTCTCCTCGAACCCTCGAGTTTCTTCAGCAACTGAACAAAATTCCCCTTCCGATACCTGCGGCTACTTTGGCTAGACTGGACTCTGAGTTGGGATCTTTCACTGACGACGGCTGCCTGGAAGTGGTTGCCGATGGGGAATTAAGTCTTGTCAAACGGAGGATATCCCTCGAGAGCGTAGATGAAAACGCCGAAACAGCGCATTCCGTCGAGATACCGCTCTCCGCCGACTCCGAATTTTTCCAAATCCTGAACAAAGAGTTATCAGGCCTGGACAAGCTCCAAGAACGAGAACAGATCGTACTGAATGAACGGGCCAAAAACTTGCGCCAGCAAATTGTTAAGATAACGAAACCTCAATTCAGAAGATCGCAGTCCGCTCTATATACTTGGAGAGAGATATTTCGACTGTATATAGATATGCAAGTGTTTTTCTGTACCGATGAGCAAGGTTCGGGCCAGAGAGACTCCAAAGCCGCCAGCCAGCAGCTGGAAAAATTTCAAGCTACCTTGACGAAGGACCGGCGGATAAAAAAGCTTGGAAAGGAGGGTCGTGCTGCGCTTGAGACGTTCCTGTGCATCAACAACGCACTGCTGCAAAACCTGAAGTTCCAAGAGATCAATCGCACCGCGCTCTACAAGATCTTGAAAAAGTTTGACAAGCGCACCGCTCTCCCTGCCGGGACAATTTTTCCAGAACTCATGGTGGTTGAGGCGTTTTTGGCCGAAACAATGGCCAAAGCCGTCTGTTACACGATTTCCGAAGAAGTCCTTACTGTCATACCTCAGTTGGACGACTATCTGTGTCCTATCTGTTTTAATATTTCGTTTAAACCCGTGCGACTGCGGTGTAACCATGTTTTCTGCATCCGTTGCTTGGTTGTTATGCAAAGGGCTAAACAGGACAAATGTGCCCTTTGTCGAGAGGAGGTTGTATTGTCAGCTACAGGCGGTATGTTAACGTCTTGGTTTCACTCCTTTTGCCACGTGTGGGTAAGTCTGTGTGACATCGTAAGCTGACATGATGTATAGCAAATCTGGACATGGAACTTCTTGCATTCCTTGCGGCCAGTTTCCCAAAGGAGACGAAGGCCAAGCAAAAGGAAAACGAGAGAGCCGCGATGGTTGATCTTTATGGTAATTCTTACGATTCTTGCTCTGTGATGTAGCGTGCTATGTATTTCGATCTGCCTAGTTTTGTTAATTTTTTATTTTAGCGACGGTCTTTAATCACAATTAATACGACCTGACATGATAGCACGAGGAACGAGTTGTCCACTAACTTCCAGGATTATCTCCCTGTTCCCGGGGAAAAGGCAAGACCCCGTCGTGTCCATGAACTTGGGGGAGTCAAGCCTAGGGAACTTTTTCGCTTCGTTGCTTGCTGGGTATGACTTCTGTTGTGCTACCAGGACGAAGCCAGCTAGGAGGGCTGGCGGCTGTGATCACATTGCTCTGAACAGCGTTTACAACTTTGCTACAAGGGCAGTTGAACCCAAGTATATTCCTCTTCATCCGCAGATGATTTTTAAGTGGAATGGTGGATGGGATGGGAACTGTGAATGACGATATCATGTATATAATACCCCGATTTAATGTCTATATTGTTTATAGCTGTATGTAACTTGCATAATTAATCATTTAAAAGCCAAACTTCAGCCTCAATTTGCAGCCATTTCTAAGGCCCCAGCTCCAGCATCACATTCCGGATACCTTGGTATGATGCAATTGTAACTCTATTGCCGCTCGGCTCAGCGTGCGGAGTTGGCCTGCTAATCCAAACACCAAAATCCATACCAAGCTTATCTCCGCGCATAACAATGTTTCCTCCATTCAATCCCCAGTTTCATTCCTTCTGCCGTTTTCTCTTGCTATGAAATTATTTCCATCACATTGTTATCGCTCTGCGAACCGCCTCCACTCCAACAATCCATAAAAAATGGCATGGGCAGTCCGCCCCACCCTCGACAGCCTCCCAGACGAAGTCTTGCACACCATTCTCTGCTACTCTCCCGCAAGCACAGCACTAACCCTAGAACGCACATCCCGCCGTTTCCAAAGCGCGACAAACGTTCCTCTCCTCTGGCGCCTGTACTGCCAGAAAGATTTCAAATTCTGGGACCACCGCCATGAGTTCCAACGACGATTGGCTGGGCCTGTCAGCGCGGTGGACTGGAAGGCGCTCTATGCGCTTCGGCGCCGCATTGATGTCACCACCACGCAGATGTTAGATAGTATTCTTATGAACCAGACGGGGAGGATTGAGAAAACGCATCGCATTGTGCAGTTTGGGTATGATGCGAAGGATACGTTGCTGCGCCATGCGACGGTTGGGGAGGAGTGGGAGGATCATTTGGCGAGACGGTGGGTTATTTATTTGTTTTTGATTGATTTAACCCTCTTTGAACCTGGTCATTTATGGCGACCGATACTAATCTAATTTGAATAAAAAAATAGGTATCATAGCATCGCCATCCTCGGCTGCCTTCATCGGACAATGGCTATACCTGTATGGAATAGATTGAAAAACAAGGAGGATATCCCGTTGGAACGCGCGCTGGGGGCATTTGACATGTTCGTTTTGGAAGCTGGGCCCGGGGATTTTAACGATGTAGGTGGGGATGATATCGTTACCATCTTAATGCCCTCATCTCATTTTCTTTTTTTCAACCCGGGTCAGGGATTCTAATTGACAATGCTCTGTAGATCTCAAATTACCTTGAGAGTATCGTAACACGATTGTCCAAAGATTGCGCAGTGATCATGGAGCTAAGCCCACGAAACAGAGCGAGAAGGATAGCTAGGTATCTACGGGAACATGATCTAACCGGTATCGACCCAAAAAGGGAGTATTACAATATTGAGCACAATTTTATAGGTCTCGCATTAAGGAATCACGGCCATAATTCACTTCCTCTCATTTCTTCATCTATATACTGTTATGTTGCACGGAGACTTGGCCTTGATGCCCATCCCTGCGGATTCCCCTTCCATGTTCATGTCATCATACACCCTGCCGAAGGCCACGATATGGACGGAAACCCGCTCGAGGACCTCAGCAAACCCGGCGATCCCATGTACATGGACCCGTTCCGCTCAACAGAGGAAACGCGGGTAACTGAGCTGCAGGAACAGCTGAACTTTTTGGGAGCCCTGACGATGTCCCGGTCGACCTTTTTGCGCGAATCGCTCGTGCAGGAGATAGTTCTTCGCTGCAGCAAGAACATTCTGAACTCGGTCTTTCAGACCCCGCGCATCCGGGACACCTGCCTTGATCCCGTTAACGTGAAGTATGCCGCGCTTTGGTCTTCCATGCTCCTTGCGGAATATGCCAACCAGGACGGCCAGGTGCCGGGCGTCTTCCCACCACGGGACGTTGGTCATGGTCATGCTTCCCTGCGACGCCATCTGCCGGCGTTGATGGATAATCTTGCTTCCGATTTCCAATCGGATGTCTACCTCATCGAGGAGTACTTGATACCGCTATTTGAGAATCTGCCGGAATATGCCCCGCTACTGGAGAGTGTTCGCGTCCTGCGTGCGGGTGATGAGATCCCGAAACAGGTGCGGAGCCGCACGCCGGAACATAAGCATGTAAAATATAAGATCGGACAGGTGTTCCGACATCGTCGGTACGACTATGTTGCTGTCATTACTGGCTGGGACGCCGAGTGCGGAGCTGGGGAGCAGTGGATGCAGCGGATGGGGATTGATCGGTTACGGGCTGGCAGACATCAAAGTTTCTACCATGTTTTGTACGTGATTCCTTGTTTCCATATCACCCTCCTGTACCGATCTTTTATGCGGGTCGGGACCAGTTGCTAACATGTTGGGTTCTTCTTCTTTTTTTCAGGGTATCCGACAAAAGCGTACGATACGTGGCAGAGGAAAATATTGATCCAGTGTCGCCAGAAATTTCTCAGTTACCACCAGCATTTGTGAAGCTGGCTGGTAAGCATTTTAAGAGGTGGGACCCGGAGTCGCGGGTGTTCGTTAGCAATATTCGAGACGAGTATCCGGATGACTGACCTTGGTGATTGATCGTGGTTGACAAGCGGGGGTTGGGTCTCCTTTTGGGAAACCAATGGTTGGCGTTAGGATTGGATCCCCCATATATCGAAATAGGGGCAATAATGCTTTGGCTTGGATATTTCTCTCGTTCCCCCGTCCCTTCCCACCTTCTTTAAATATGAAAATAAAAAACCTTCTTGGGCTGCGCAAATAGCCTTATTGGATACCAACTCTATCCATCAATGCAGCGGTCTCTTGTAATGTCAGCCCTTCCAACTTCCCATCCTCTAGCTGCACAAGAATAGGCATATTTTGGAACTTGAGCAATGCAGCCAACCATTCCATGACATATTCCTCAAATCTTATGAAGGGACATTTCTCTAATATTTCCCCTATACGTGACTCCCACCCTTTGTCTCCATCAGCGCCAAGAAGGGATGCTTTCACTGATTCCCTCACAGACTCCCATTGGGCAACCTGAGCTTTATAATCTTGTGCAAAATTTTCATCATCATCATCACCCTCGAATTTGTAAGGATAATCCCACGCAAACGCCTCATTTGCTGCTTCCGTTATAGATTTGCCCTGTAACAGAATCTCCTCAATAGCAGCAAACAACATAAACCGAACCGGCAATTCCATCCAGCTGACGTCTGGTATGTCGTGGTGGTAGATCATCCCGCAGAGAGATATACACTCTGGTAAAATATCTAGGAGGGTGACGATGGGTGTATTGTCATCACCATCTTCGCAAGGGATGCCCATGTGCAAGTACATGTCCCGTCGATTCCGCTCTAGAAACGACCTGTCATCCATAACCCGCGTACTTCCATCCCCGCAGCTGATTTTGTGATCTTCATTTTGAAGTAGCCAGCGCTCTGCACGCTCCTTGTTCTGCTTTCTTTGGGCTTGGAGCGCGTCTTCTGACGGGAGAAAAGTGCGGGAGCCCCGAGTATACCGTCGGCACAAGAGATTTGTAACAGTGAGAATCTGAAGTTTGATTTTCACGTGTATGGGGAAGTTTGCATTATTATTATTAAGATCAGTGTTATTTCTATCATTCCTATCCTTGCTGTCGCTGCTGTCGCTGCTGGTATTGTTGAGATGATTGTATCGAAATATTTGCATGAATCCTGCCCGCGAGTAATAATTAGTTTTATAGTTAAATACCAGGTACCTCAACCACCGCATTGATTTGAAATACAGCTAAACAAATTCAATTAAAAGAAAACTAACCGTCAAATATCCCCAGAAGATTATCTCCATTTTTAGTTCTATGCCTCGACTGTGCCTGCTCGCCATTCCGTTGAGCCACTCGGTCCTCAACCACCGCGATTATTGTCTTGTAAACCAGGTAGTCGAGCGTCATTAGGTCCACTTCCAACTTCAGCTCTGTATCTTCTGGATCGGAGGTCATTCTTTTTTCTCTTTCGGATTGTGTAGACTATGTTTGAATCCTGACAATTCTCGAAAAAACCCGCCGTTGTTCCATGTATTGGTGGGTGAAGGTTCTATCTATATTTAGAGAAAAGTCGTGTGTTGCGGGGCTCGTGTTTGGCGGTTTTTATTGTGGCGCGAGACACAACCCACTCCTTTTCTTTCGTTGAAGATGAATGAATGAATAGTTATATATGTCAGTGTTGATTGAGGGCATTCACGGTCAATGAAGGCTTGTCCGTTTTTGGTTTGTACGCTCTACGGAAATTTTAAACAACCCCTTGAAACGAAGAGATACACGATGCTTCATCATGTGCTTCATAAAACGGTAAAATACTGGGTGCACAAATATCATTCCTTATATATAATACAAAATTAATATTTCAACGAACTGCCATACCCCAATAATTCAATACGCCAGTATTTCCTCAACTAACCCTTCAATGACCTTCTTGCGTGCAAGAAGACTCACCCAGGTGTGCACAGCAGGGCCGTAATCATGTCTTCTGGCCGCCGCGTAGTCCTCATCGGCTCGATGAGATTGTTCCTCTTCACTGATCATTATTCGTGTATCCTTTTGAGCAATGACGAGCTCCTCTCGATACGTTGCCAACTCATCTGGGGTTGCGGATATGTATTTGGCTCTGAGATCTTCCGGCACGTCAGCTCGCTCCACCTCTTCCCGCGCGATATTGAGGAACGGATCATGCCCAATACCGTTAACGTTTCCATCGACGGTCGTTGCTGGGTCATCCAGTTCCAATGGGGAAGCGCCAAGAGTAGATAGCTGCTCGTCTATAGTGGCGATGCACTTGATGTTTGTAGCAAGCCGTGCTTTCAAATCGATCAGAGGGTCTTTAACCAGTCCCAGGATCGAAAACTCAATCTGACCCTCCTCATATTCTGCCATCCTTGAAAGAATTTCAGGCTTCGCTAGATCCAACCACTTATCACCCGAGCAGTCGCCTTGAATGAAAGGGGGTTAGTTAAAGGAAACTGAAAGGGAAGGGAAAATTAAAGAAACTTGGCTTTGAGGCAGGGAATGAAGTGATAGTCTACCTAAATTTTGAGGCTGGCGCTCCAGCCCATCAAACTTCCATAGCTTCCCTTTTGCTGGGACGAAGCCGATGAAATGGAAGCCAGCTTCGCTATCATCATAATCCTGATTTTTCAATTTCTTCGCCTTGGACTTTCGGTTCATAGCTTCAGTCTTTAGCTGGAGGTCGGTGTTGAGGACGTCCATTTTTCTGTGGTTTGAGCTTGGAATAAGTTATCTGTTTTTCTATTGTGATTAGGCGATATTAGACCTACCTCGCAAACGAGTTGTGGACGCGTTTAACAAATTCGAAATTGCCGATTGCGTCCCCACGCAATGCTGGGGTAAACGACATCGTGAAGTCTTTGAAATGCTGCAGTTCTTCCCCTAGTTCAATCTCATCGACATTGTTGATAATGTTCAGCAGCGCAACACTTGCGCAAGCGTAGCTTGATGTCTAACAAGAAAAAAAAGGTGAATCTTTAGTAGATGTATTTTGCTTTGCATGCCCTCATTGTTGGGAGATACGGAAGCGAACCTGATTCGCAAACCAAATGCCCTCTGGGCAACTTGACTCCTGTTTATCTGGGTCATCTTCCTTCCACCGAAAGAGAAATATGAGCCCATAGACCGGTTTGCTGTTTCGATAAATTGGAATTAGTCAAAAATATCATAAATTATTATTGAATTATTGAATTGAGGGTGCTATCAAGAGATATAAGGATGTGGCATACTGGAGGAACTCTAGCATCTCATCATCTAGCGACACAACCTCCTGCACTTTAACCCCCTTAACACCAAAGTCCCGTAGCATAACATTAAAAAGAGCCTTTTCAATGTCATATTAGCTTTGAAGGAAGATATATTAACTATCAACGCGTAGGGCCTCCCGTAGACATACTGGCTCCGATTCGATCTCGCAGAAGCCGTTCCAGTGAGCTTTATCAGCTTTTGTTAACGGCTGCAGTGGCAAAGCCTCAAAGGTTTTTGGCGGATTGAGCCGTCGTCGTTTTGCCCGATCTGTCATCTTGTACTAATCTAGCGGGTGAACTTGAGTATCTGAAAGTTGAAGTGATGATCGTGGTGGTTCGGCTTGTGCTTGTGAGGAGGGTTGTAACTTCTGGACCAATAATAGCGAAGACAAGGTAACTATTTATATAAGGTATTTCTTCGAACAACAAGAAGGATGAAACACAGATAACGGACAAATAAAGAATAGAGATTCCTTCACTCCTCTACTGCATAGATATTCAATCTTCAAACGTTTCCACATCTCGCACTGGAGCTTCTGACGCTGATCGATCGGTGGTTGTTGGGTTGGAGTATTTAAATAGTTATTAAATATTTGGCGATGTCTTGGCACCAACCTCACGCGTCGACAAGCATTTTTTTTTCTCGCGCAGAGCATACAACTACATACTTATCAACTTGATATCCGCAGCCACAGGTCGACAAACAGGCCCTATCAGCTAGGGAGAGGAAGATCCAGCATACGTCCACTCTTTTCTCTTTTGCTTATTTGCCTTTCTCTCCTTTGTATGTGGATTTCACCGGCTAGTTGCAGCTTGGGTTGAAGTAAATCCTTTGCGATAGCGAGCTTTCGCCTTTGATTTGCCTGCTCTCCTAACATAACTGGAGAACAACCTCATTACGACGGGAATCGCAAGCTGGAGTGCATGGTACTGACAGGGTCAGTTAACCATCTTTTCGCGACTCGTTTAAATCTAACAACTCTGTCCATCCTGAACTTTCTCTTTTCCTGTAGGCTTGGATGGGACCTGGAATGAAAAGCCGGCTATCGTGTGTACCTTTACAACTCCCTTGCCGTAACCAAGCCCCCCCAAGCATGTCATGAACGGCACTCCTCGACTCCGATCTTCCTTCCCCCAAACCCCCCGCCATTCCCCACGTTACAGAACCCTCAGCGATGGACCGAGAGGGACTCCACTCGAAGCCCGGATGCGGAGCCTTCGAAACGAGAAACCCGCACCAGTGAGGCTGGAACAGGACGATACAAGCGCGCCGCTTATTCCCTTCAGTGTTATCGATGCCCCGTCTCAGAGACTATATGTGGTGGCTTTCTACATGGCCCTGAATGCGTGGCGCATGTACGAATTCTGGACCTCGTCAGATGATTTTGATTCAACCTGGCTCTTCTTAAAATGGGTCTCAATTGACGGCATCTTCTTGTTCGGTCTCCCTGCTCTGCGGATACCGTGGTTAGAATGGGCGTTTTCGACTACGTTGGCGGTATTCATGGTGCATGCTGTTGCCAATGCCTTTTTGATGTTCCGCATTCCTGTAAGTTTACGATGAATGAAGTCCCCTCCAATGCCAAAATACACCAAAGATGTATAATAATCTTAAAGCAGATACCTATAGAGTCGTGGATGGCTGCCCTGGTCAAGTTGGCTTATGACAGGGAGCTTTCCATATCAGAAAGAAGGGTTAGGCCGGCTGATATCCTCCGTAATTCGTCTTTGATTCTTGGCAAGCAAATTATTCATATCCTCCCTGAAGGGTGAGTTGTTTGTCCCCCAAATATTCCCGCTTAATATTGATGACTGACAAAAAGTTTTAGGTCCGCGGTACTGAACCCAGAGCAAACCTCGTTTTGTATCGATGGCCAGACAACCCAGGCGATGTTACCAATCCGTGTGAATCAGACTACGCCGATAATCATTGATCTATTACGAGTTGACCTCGAGTCTGGCCAGAATGAGACTATTTCAATTCCATCCAAACAACTGAAGCAGATGATGAAGTTAGCGAATAAGGGTCATCCGAGTTCGGATAAGTATAGCCCAAGAGATTTGCTATTTCCAGTTAGAAAAACAGGAATTTACCAGCTACAAAGAGTCGTGGACGATTCGAAGCTTGAAGTTAGGCGCAGCCCACTTGACACCCTGGTTGCTGCGTGCCCGAAAGCGGTTATTCGGACTTCGGCGGACAACCGATGCAAGGGCGAGCTGTCAGACTTGACGCTGGTAGTCGAGGGGACACCCCCTTTGAAGATCAAATACAGTCGTAAGGTTAATTGCATCGATCACGGCGTCTCGTTCCAGAGTATTCAGCCAGAAAATTTTAGATCACCTCTCACCAATCAGGTTCGAGTTGGCTCCCTGATAGATCCAAAGGACACAGAAATTAGCTGGGCGCAGTCTCAGAGAATTGAGGTCCCGCTTAACGAATCGCTGAGCATTGGGGGTGAATGGATCTATTCTATTGAAGAGGTCCACGATGCCTGTGGAAATGTCGCCAACTATTCTCTTATTCTTGACGATGGTGACCAACAGCCTGTAAAGACTTCGCCCCAAACTCAGAAATTCTTAGTTCATGAGCGACCTCGTGTTTCATTGACTGGATGCAACGCCCAATCCTACCTCCAAGTCGCGAAAGACTCTTCCATCGATCTCCCCGTTCATTTCCATTCCGTTGGACGCGACGAGCCAGCTGACGCTCCCTATACGTTGACGTACTCCTTCAGGAGCGAGGCTACTCAGGATGATACTTCCATTCCTCCCTCCGTGCAACAAGTCAACCTTCAAAGTGTCAACCACAAACCTCGAATCAAAGAGCCAGGATGGTATAGCCTTACTGCTATCTCCAGCCAATTTTGTTCAGGGGAGATCTTCGAACCTGCGTCTTGCTTCCTTCATAACCCTCCTGAGCCAAGTATTAACTTGCGCTACGAAAAGCTATATGACAAGTGTGCAAATAATTCGGTTGGCCTTCTTGTAGATCTCGACCTGATTGGTACACCTCCGTTTCAAATTCGGTATAATATCGAAACGACTACCGGAGTTCAGACGCGTCTCATATCCATCGACTCTCTGAGGAGCCAAATCGATTTTACTCCAGCAGAAGCAGGACATTATAAGTACGAATTCCTTGACATATCAGATCGCGTTTATCAGCCCCAATCATTGAAGGGCAAGGTTCCGACGCTGGAGCAAGATGTGAAGCCTCCTGCTTCCGCACAATTCCTGGGTCATGTGACCAGTCGCAAAGCCTGCTTTGGTGAACCTGTTTCGGTTGATGTCTTCTTCGTTGGAGAGGCTCCATGGGAACTACAGTACGAGCTCGTTCATAACGGGAAACGGATGAAACATACGCTTCGGAGCGAGCATGAAATAGCGACTGTTGTTACTGATGATCTTGTTGACGGCGGTGGATATACTCTAGGTTTGACAAGTGTGAAAGATAAGTCAAATTGCAAGAGGCTGTTAAAGGAGGAAATCAAGATTGATGTCCGACCTAAGAGACCTCAGGTTGCCTTCGGTCTACTCGACAAGAAACGCAGCATCCTTGCTCTGGAGGACAAGAAAGTGGAGGTACCACTACGGTTGGAAGGAGTGGCGCCGTGGACCGTCAGATTTCAAAACCTTGATGACCCTTCGATGCCTCTCATCGAAAGGACACTATATAATGAGAACAGTGTTGTCCAACTCACCCAACGTGGACGATATGAAATCATCGAAGTCAACGATTCTACGTGTCCCGGTTCTGTTGACAAAAAAGCAAGCATGTTCGAAATTGCTTGGATCCCTGGACCAAGAATTACAACTATCGATGGCATTTCCGTTGAAGACAAGGATGTTCTAGAAAAACGAGAGGTTTGCGAGGGTGATGAGGATCTCATGGAGGTGAAATTCGATGGCACACCTCCTTACACGGTTAGGTACGAGCAACAGCGTCGGCTAGTTACTGGCGGGATCTCTATGAGCCTCAAGACAATGACAGCGGCATTGGGTTCTGCATCTCTACGAATGGACACCTCAAAACCGGGCGTCTATTCCTATAAGATTATTGAACTGGGTGATAATCTCTATAGCTTCGATCATAAGAAACATGCGCCGCTCACCGTTACCCAACAAGTCAATCCTCGCCCTTCTGCTCGCTTTGAACAACCCAACCATATATACGGATTCTGTAAAGAAGAAGGCAATGCGGAGGAAGTAATCCCTATAATTCTGGAAGGGGTTCCGCCGTTCTCCCTAGAGATTGGGATCAAGCATTCTTCAGTATCGAAGCCGGAGGTGCTATCCATACCACACGTAGACTCCAACCGGTACAACTTACCCATCCCGCGACGATACCTCGACCTAGGACAGCACGTCATCAGCATCCAGAAAGTCCGGGATGCGCGTGGCTGCCAACGCACCACAGAATACGAAGGCTCCTCCGTTCGAGTCGCTATTTCAGATGTCCCGACCATTCTACCGCTGGAAGCGCAGGTGGACTATTGCGTTGGAGAGCGCCTCTCCTTTTCGCTATCTGGTCACGCGCCGTTCGAGGTATATTATACTTTTAACGGCGTGGAGCGGAAAGCTACTGTGCCGAATACTAGCTTCCGCCGCATTGCGGAAAAACCAGGTGAATTTGTTATTACGGCCGTGAGCGACGGGGCAAGTGGGAAGTGCAAAGCGTACAAGAATATCACCAAGACTATCCATGAAATGCCTAGCGTGAGAGTCAGTCGTGGATCGGTTTCTGTTGTCGAGATACATGAGGGTGGAGAAGCTGAGATGGTATTTGAGTTTTGGGGAACTCCGCCGTTTGAGTTCACGTAAGTTACTCCCTTTCACTCCCTCCCTGCTGTTTGTTTTCTATTGTCGTATCCTACTCCTTCTGCGTCGTCTTATTTTTGGCGTCTTTGGTTGCTTTTGAGATGAAAGACTGACTTTGCTCTTCCTGCACAGATATACGCGCAGTTCAATAGACCGGAAGGGGAAGAAATCACAGGTTTTGGATACTAAACACGACATATCCTATGAACACACCAAAACTATCCGAACATCTGACGAAGGTAGCTACGAAGTTGTTGCGATCAAAGACAAGTACTGCTCGTTCTCTACCCAGGATGCAGCAGGATCGGGCGGGCGGAAAAGAGGCTAGTGACAGGCAAGTCGCCTCATATACAGATTAGATGGCCCGCCCCCTTGTGTAATATAGATTTATTTGCGTCTATAGAGCCTTGATAGGCCGAGGGGTTGGGTTAATGTGTGGATCTCGTTTGTTTGTCCCTAATGATGAGAGAATGGGGGGGATTACATAGCATCGGCGTTATTTTAGGTCACCGTTTGTCAGTTTCCCTTATATTTTTTGTGTAGTTTATTGTTGCTCTTTTTATTGTAAAAAGGAGGAAATGTTAAAATCTATAACGTATTGATAAATGAAATTTTTCTACTTTCTTTGTTCTCCTATCTACCTATTCGTATTTTTACCGATTAACCTGAATCTTCTCGACAAGCTCGCCACCTACCGTGGCAATCTCATTCAAAATCGCTGTCCTGTTAGGCATGAGCTCCGCCCCATTTTCCTCCGCCCCTCCTTCAACATTCGATGGAACAGTCGAATAACCAATCTTCAACCCCCAGCCCCGTGGTTTCGTCGTCTGCTGATTCCAAACTCCGGCAATGATGCCGCCCCCGGACTCCCCATCCCCATGGAAAAATACAATAGCATGCCCGTACAAACAGGTCAACTCATCCACAAAGGCAGCAGCGGGCTTAAACCCCGTCATATTACCATCGAGTCCCCCCTGACCTAGTCCCTGAAGGTTCTTAAACACAACTTGATCCTTCTTCTTCTTCCGGCCGCCGGAAACGTATTTCGGATTCAACCGGAGCACAAAATCATAATCCGTCAGGGGTGATAGGAAGAGTTCTGGCGCGTGTAAATCTAACCTCTTCTCCATCACGAGCCTCATAGCCGACTTGGATAAGGCAGATAGCCTCGCCGCGACAACTCGTGGCGGCTTCGAAAACTGGGTCCAGGTGACACCGTCGGGGTCAAGGTTAGACGCGGCAAAAAGGGTGACGGTGTTCATCATCGGGTCGATGTTTCGCCAGGCGTCGAAGCGCGTTTGGATCTCAGATAATTGCTGTGATGTCAGTTCCTGGTTTAGATCAACAATTAACGGCTCCAGTTGCCAGTCCCAGTGGGAGAGGAAGTGAAGGGTGCGAAGGAAACCGGTAATGACGCTAGAGGGGGCATCCCAGGGGTATGGGTGGACGAAGACGCGGCAGACGATCAGTTCTAAGAATTCGTCGCGGAGGTGAGGGGTTAGGAGGTGGGAGTTTGCCCATTTTTTCACTAGACGGATGGTTGGGGAGAGAAGGGGGAAACGGGTCGAGAGGGTTCGGATTGTTTGTGTGTGTCGGGGGGCTTGGATGAAAGCGCGCCTGTGTGTGGCGAGGGCAGAGGCTAATTCTTCCTTTTGGCGCGCTGCTAGGTCTTTCTTTTTCAATTGTTGTTCCAATAGAGTTTGTTCTCTGTCGTGGTAGATGCGAAGGCGGAATGTGATGGTATTTGGGAGAACGATGTCGAGGAACGAAGTGTTGAGGATCTTGCTGTTTTCATTCTCTAGGCCTACTTGGCAGGAGGCTACTTCCCCGGAGTCTTGTAGAAGTTCCGCAATCTTTAGTAAAAAGGCTAGTTTTGTCATTTGGATGGCGGTCAGGTCTTCTGGCCACCGTGTTGAGCCTTCAAACTGGAGGAGGATATCGGCAGGAGTGTTTTGCACTAAACCGCTGCTCGAAACCTGGGTTGCTGTATACCTCAATAGAGGGCTAGCTGCCGAGAGCTGATGTAATGTGAGCGGAAGACCATCGATGCCCTGGAGCAATTTTTCAAGGGAACTGAAAGCATCCATATAAGGTTGAAAAGGAGCAGTGGGGTTCAATGCGCCGACGCCGTTGAAGTATTCCGCATCGAGGCCATAGCTTGCAAAAGTGATGCGGCTTTCATCAAGGCCAAAATGCAACTTCAAGATATGGGCCACAATTTGTTGCACAATTGGTGGGTCTGACTGGCGATCGGACCACACCAAACTTTCCACGATACTCCCATCCTTAAACCGCCTAAGTTCGGATTTGTCTCCCCAGAACTTTTGGAATGCAGCAGCGGCTTCTTTATCCTCAGCTGAAGGGCCGTGGTCAACTATCCGGTTACAATGTTCAGCATCAAGCAATAAACCTAAGGTGATTGATGGTCCATTTTCCTTGGTGGAAGGGCGGGCACCCAGCTCAACGGGCCAGGCAGGGGTGTCTGGAATGGAAAGATTGATGAGTTTAGCTCTGTCGCCCAAGGCCTTTAACAGGGTTTTGTAGATGGACGATTGGTATTTAACGATGCGAAGAGTTGCCGAGAGAGCAGTTTGCGGAGATATAGAGATAAGATGGTCAAATCTGCAGAGAGGATCATCAACTTTGAGAATGAAAACTCCGTTAAAATTGTCGCAAAGAGAGTCGTTTAACATTTTCAGCGTCGTAAGAGATTCGTGGCGTAGTAGGGCGTAGGACCAGGAGGACATTTTATAAAGGATGTTCACGCCTCTTTTTCCATCAAAGAAAACGGGCACGTCAGATGGTGGGAGCTTCGAGATCCCAGCTGCATCCAACATGAATGGTTGGGTAAGATTCTTGCCAGAAAGGAACTGAATTGTTGCCTTGAAGATTTGATAGCTGCTGTAACTCGGGGAGAGAAGCGGTTTCCCATTAGGACCGCCTCCTTCAAGAAGCAAAGCCACGACAGTCGCCCACTCAAAATGGCCGAAACCACCTTGTGTAAAGGAGGTTCCAAAGCCTCTCTGCTGAAGCCAAATTCGTCCGAGGATACATGCGTCCGGATAGGCTGGACACTTGACACTTGCCGCATATTGAAGTCTCAAGAAGCCCGAAACAGATGCCTCAGATCGAATAGCAGCGTTGTATATTGGGGTAGGGGCATGGTCCACTGCCTGAGTAGAATCTTGTTGTTGAGCGTGATCCGCATTTTTCTTTCGAATGTTGTTGCTGGTGGGAACAGTGACGGAGGTCGGGAAAATATCCTCCTCGATGGCAGTGAGGATGCGGATGCGGGATTTGGAGCGGATGAAGGCTTCATCGGCACCCTCTGTGGGTTCCACCAGAATAACAGGACGCAGTGTATCCCCCTCTTGGTAACTCCAGCTTATCTTAAAACCTGGCTCCGCGGCTTCTTTAATCCCTGCTGCAATGCATGCTATGTAGTATGCACGTTTATGGAAGTATCGATAATTGAGGTAATCCTTCCTTTGGAACAGGGAACGCGGGATAGTGACAGCGAGGTCAATTGTTGTAAGCTTCGATTTTATTTCGGTCTTGACTGCAAAGCTCCCAACGACGTTGATATTCGCAGGTGCGGCATATTCCAGTGTATACTTTGTATCCTTCGCAGGACGTGGGTCTGGGAATGGAGCAATAACCCCCGATCGCTTTCGCAGCTCCTTCTCCGCCTCAGACACGGTTTTGGGAGGGATATCTGGTATGTTTTCGATTATGCTTTTCAGCTTCCGCAACGGCTTTTCGACTCGGGAATGTAGCTTGCCATGGTCTGGCCGGAGTTGCGAGAGCAATTCATCCACCTGCAACTTGAAGACATTGGACTTGAACACTCCGCTGGCAACGGCAAGCTCAGCTGTAGGGGCATCCGATCGCGACCGGCTTTCCATCCATTTGGTTCCATTTCTAGTAGGTTGTTGAGCTCCATCCCCAATACTTAGCTTTCTTCGTTTTGCGCTGATTTCTGCCATTGCGAAGGCGCGAGACCGTGAATTGAGACTGGAAATAAAAGTAGAAAAGGGCCAATGGCAGGCAAATGGCGCTTGAACTGGAGGCTCAGCAAAAATGCCTTTGTGGCCTACCGTCGTTATGGCGGTTCCTGAAAAGCCTCAAATTTCGAAGCTTTTGCGGCCTGTTGTTGCTGGAGACGTTTTGAAGCTTCAACTTTTTTTCTTTTTTGCGGTTGGAGAATGAAGTAGTGTATTTTATTGGTGTATCGGTATTGTAATACGCAGGTCTAGCTGTTGTAAATATTGGCCGTATAGTGCGCATTTTTGCTAGATGAATATACCTAGTTATTTGAAGAAAATAGAAAATACAATAGCTGACCCTTGTTAAGCATGTAATTGATTTGGAAAAGACTTACAAGACGCCGCTTGCTAAAAAATGTGTATAAATTGGCCATGGGATCGGATCCCCGGTGATTTGGCAGCGTAATAAATGTCGTCTCGCCAATACGGCCATGGTTGGCGCTGACTCTTATCAACAACCCTCTCTTGTTCTTTTTCTTGCCCCTCACTCTTCATGTATCTTTTTCTTTATTATTATTAACTCTGCAGCAACAGTTCTGTCAGGTGGCTTATACAACTTATACAGCATACACTCGCTCCTGTTGTACTGGCGACAATGCTCAGGATTTGCCTTTGAATCTCTTCTTGAATTGCGCTTTCCCAGTTTCAGCACGTCTATCATACAGCCTAATATATAAGTTATATATCTATTGTCCCGCAAGATGTTCAAGCAGCTACCAGTAGGAGGATCTGTCCCTCCAGAAACTGACCATGTATGTTCGTATAAAGAATACGTGAAGCTATATGATCCAATGGCCTGAATTTATCTATCTACTATTATTTCAGAAGACTTTCAGTCATGGATTCCCTCCTGTTCTGTGTTGTGTGCCTTCAGAATGAGTCATTTTTATATGTGCTCTAGTTGGTTGGGTGCAAACAAGAGGACAGTCAAATCACACTTGATAAATAGAAAAAATATGAAATCCCCATCTTCTACTCTGATTACCCAAAATGCAGTTCTAGTTCTATGCTAACATAACAAATCTAGGCTGTGAGTGTCTCGCTCCCAACATGGAGAGCAAACGTGGGGTACGAAGAAGGGGAAAAATGGGTAACTGATGCCATGGAAAGTGGCTACCCACGCTTCTTCATCCACAAGAGCATCCAGGCGTTAGTTGCGGAAGTCGTCCGTCGCTTTGGTACGCCGGGGGAGGATTCTGCTACGTTATTCCCGTCTCGTAAGACTGCAGAACGGTGTTACCAGTTCATGGCTTCACGGTTACCAGCTGAGGAGGCGCAGAAGGTTCACATTATTAGTCTTCAACCGTCAAAGCAGAAAGAACCCCGCGCAGATGAGGGCGGTGTTGCTAAAGTGGATCTGAATATCACATCACCGCTGTTTTGTGTATTATACCCGGCTGCACACAGGAGCGTTGCAAAGGAGGTATGGCAACACACTGGTGACGGGATATCGAGCCGGCGAAGTGAATTCTGTCTAAAGGCGCTTGAAGATGGATATTTGATTGAAGAGAGCCTGCAGGCGCAACGAGACGAACGTACTATTCAACGGCCCAAAAAGGGCCCTAAGCGCTATCAGCGGAACGGGTCCATGGGCAACATTAGCAAGGACTCGACGCCGTCGCAGCCGCAAACGAAACCGCAAAAAAGCGAAATCCCCTCTTCGAAGGAGTTTGACATGTTCATCGAAGAGCGATTTGGCCGTAACTTGAGCACTGCACATGCCAATAATGCCAAGCTCGCTGTTCGAAGGCGGATTGCGGGCTCGCTGACTTGCGATGGTGAGCTCAGCGAAGCGCTGCAGTCCGCGTCGTCAGATGGACGAATTGCTGGGTTGACGGAGCAACACGTCTTCCTCTATCCTACGGGCATGAGTGCGATCTTCAACTCCCATCGTATGCTAATGGCTGCCCGGTCCCCGATGAAGAGCATTTGCTTCGGCTTCCCTTATGTCGATACGCTGAAGATATTACAGAAATGGGGCCCTGGTGTTCAATTTTACGGGCATGCGTCATCCGAGGAGCTAGATGATCTTCAGAAACGATTGGAATCAGGGGAGCGGTTCCTGGCGCTCTTCACCGAATTCCCTGGGAATCCGCTGCTGATGGCGCCTGATCTCGAGCGCATTCGAAATCTAGCGACGAAATATGACTTCGCGGTGGTTGTGGACGAGTCTGTGGGCAACTTCATCAACGTCAATGTTCTCCCCTATGCCGATGTGGTTGTGAGCAGCTTGACGAAGGTTTTCAGTGGAGACAGCAATGTCATGGGGGGCAGTGCCGTGTTTAATCCGCATGGACAATATTACCAGAAGTTGAAGACGGTGCTTGAGGCAGAGTACGAAGATAACTACTGGGGTGAAGACGCTATTTTCCTCGAGAGAAACAGCCGCGATTTCGTATCGAGGATTGAGCGCATTAATGCTGCTACAGAGGAAATCACTGCACAGTTAAAAGCGTCGCCTTTGAGTATGTACTGCTTCGAAGATACCTAGCGAGATTTCAACCTATGGAGAACAAAATAGAGCATATGCAGTTTACTAACGGCTATTCCAACAGTCAAGGATATATTCTACCCGAAATACAACCCAACTCGACCGTTCTACGACAAATGCAAGAACCCCAACGGAGGGTACGGGGGTTTGTTCTCCATAACATTCCATTCGAAAGAACAGGCGGTTGCCTTTTACGACTCCTTTGAAGTCATGAAAGGTCCTAGCTTGGGAACGAACTTTACCCTCAGGTATTTTCCATTCCGTACCTCTGGAAAAAGTACTATACTAACATGGAACCTCCTCCAAAAAGTTCCCCTTACGTTATCCTAGCCCATTACGGTGAATTGGAATGGGTGAGTCATTTTCATCTACCCCTTTTCACATTAGTTACCTCTTTACTTCTGGATCTCTTCAAGCAACCAAAAACAAGCCACTCACATACACCCTTCAGGCAAATTCACTAGGCGTCCCGACAGAGTTAATAAGAACGAGCATCGGGCTGGAGGACCCCGCAGACCTGCGGGCTCGTGTCGAGCGTGCCCTTGCAGCGGCAGCGCAGGTGTCGAGGGAGTCATGAAATAATATAGTGGATTGCTACGTATGACCTCTCCTAGGATTTTCTTGCATTTATGAGTGGGGAAGTGGGAGGCCAGGGGAAGAGACAGGAGCTGAAGCATGTCAGGGGAAAGGAGTCCTACACGAAATGGAGTGATTTTCTCTTCTTCTTTTCCTATCGCCCTGAACTCCTCTCCTCCGAACACGACAGTTGTCGCTCGTCTGGGTAGGATCAGGCGCGGTTTCATGCAGTACATATCCTCGGTCAGATTTTGTTTTGCTATCGTGGAAGGCGAATATGTCTAGGTATATATATATAGTCTAAGGGGCTTTCTTGGAAAGATGGGCAACTGAGGACGACTCAACTCGACTCGTATATTGGATAGAATCATGAGTGGTATATACATCACCAATTGTGAGTGTTTTCCGTTCCTTTAATTACCCCCCTTTTTCCCCCTCCACAAAAATCAACCAAGTAGGAGGGGGATTAAAGATGGGAAAGAGAATGGAAAGATAAAATACAATTTCCTAGGTTTAGAGGGATTACTAGGAAATAGGAGCACTAGGACATAATTTCAACAATATTTAAATGTTATGATGCATGGCATCGGATCCGCGATATTCTCGATAACCGCTTTGATTTCGATCTGTCGGATTTCATATTGTTCACGGTCAAGATGATAGCGTAATGATAATAACCGTAACTGGTGATAATAATATGTGCTATACTATAGTTACTGAATCAAACCATTGGTTGACGCGGTGTTTAGTTTCTCCGATCCTTACAAGGAAATTGACTTCTCCAACCTATTATGTATACAAGTCACGACATTCAACATACGCTCTTTATATGCAGCCTTGAAAGATCATTGTACGCTCTGCACAACAGAAAATTAATACCAAAATAGAGCAACTAACGATCAGAAAAAAAACATCCACAAATACAATGCCCATTGATCGAGCGTCATGGAGAAACGTTTGGCTATATGAGGCTTCTACTGGCAATTTACTGGGAGGGACTCATCAAAACGGCTCAATGATAGGAGCGAATCTCTTGTCGATTCTAGATGGAGTTCTTCTTGCCGTCATCGATGATCAGTGGAGTGTGAAGCATCGAAATTCTGGGATTACGATCAGCCAAACAAATGCAGCCCTTCAGCCTCACGAATACAACATTTACTGTCAAAGTAGATCATCACTTTTTTCACACAAAGCAAACAAACACGGTTACTAAGTGTTGAGTCTCCGTTCAGGCACTGTTCGCTTGAACAATGAACCGTGGGTCGCTCGACTCATTAGTCATAGTGTATCCGGTGAAGTGGATGCATTTCGTGATGGTGTCCGCGCGCGCGATGGAAAGTGTGTGATTTCTGGGATTGTGAACGTTCGTGCTCCGTGGAATACGTGGTCTGGCTTTGAAGCAGCCCATATATTTCCACTGGCCTGTGAAAATGTCTGCATGGAGTTCAATTACGGGCGGTGGATTATAGACATGGACTGCACAACTGGAGTCTCAGGAATCAATTCCATTCAACATGGATTGTTGCTGCGGGCTGTTTTACACTTGGACGTTGATAATTATTTGTTTTCAATCAACCCGGATGTACGCAAGTACCTCTGCAGCAGGACTAAATTTAGCCGCTCACTAACAAACCTATGAGAGGACGGCTATAAAACCACCTATTTTGGTCCAGATCCGTTCGGACTGGATGGCAGGACCCTGGATCCTGTTTGTCGTAACCCACAAGACCCCCATTGTGTCTCTGGTGCACTGTTGCGTTGGCATTTCCGATAGGCAGTTCTAGCGAACATGCGAGGTGCGGGTGAATCAATATTCGAGCATGATTTCCCACCGGGCACGGATATGTGGGCTGAGTTGCGAAATGAACCTGAACCCTATGGAAAGCGGCGTTTTGAGATGGAGCTGTCTTCCAGACTAAGGAATGTTTCACCTAAATCAACCTGATAGAGTAAGAACAGCATACGCTAGCTACAGAAACGCCGAACATAAATAACTTCCCGCATGTAACCACTAATATTTCCGAAGTCTATCATTCGCCTATGCCATGAGCTTTAAAAAAGAAGTAGAATGCAGACACACCGAAATACTGTAGTAGGTAGGTTTTTTCTACCTGCTATTATCGCGTTACAAATGATTGATTTGTCGTGCTGACTGTCCGATAACATATTTCGGACACAGTCCTGAACCCTCTTTTGAGGCGCCCCGTTACGTTATGGTTGCAGGGCTGGATAGGTCAGCAGAACGGTTTTATACCGGTATCGGTCGTCGTACTCGGTAGGTCTGGGTTCTAGCAAACCTTCGAGTTCGCTTGAAACCCCGCGCGTCTCCCGTCAGCCAATGCAGCCCATCGTCATCCGGACCGTCAAATGGGAGTGCTTCGATATGGGCAGGCTGATGATGCTCCTGAGGACAAAGCCGCGAGGTGACAGAGATATTACGCCTAGCCTGCTGGGAAGACGTTGCGTTGCCTGGAGAAGAGACCCTGGTGAAATCCCTTTTTCTGAAACCTCTCGCACGGGAGGCTGGTCAAGATTATGTATATTTCCTCTCAGAAAGAGTTCCATTCCCAGGCCTGGTCTGTTTCTTTCTATTCAACGAGTGTCGGAGCCATAATGATTGCTGCTGTACATGGTAAATCAAACTTTCGTTCACCGTTGTTCCGTTCTGAACCAACAAACATTTGACAAGATTCGCAAAATTTTGTACCGGATCTTTTCCCTTCACTTGGAGGATCACCGTTTTCATCGATGATCGAGCGAAGGATACCAGCCACGGGATTGCTGCATCTGAATAGGAATTGGAATTGAACCGTCCAACACAAAGAAAGTGCCGCTGCTCTGGCCAACAAGCTTTCAGCGGTCAAGAGAACTGGTGGAAGAGAAGAAGGTTAAACAAAGCTAAGGTAGTTATTGTAGGTACATTACATGTACATATATGAGGCGCATCGGGGCATCATGGCCTGGAAAAGCCATGATGTGGACCCACTAGTGCATGAGCTCCGAACTCCTATATCCCTTATTTCTATGGAATCCCGATAGGCCGATGGGAGTCGAGGATGGATTTACCTTACAAATATAGGGGATCTTTCCCCAGTTGAATCCTCCAAAAACCTGTCCATATATACCGTACGATACACGCGCTTTTGCCTGTTTACATACGCGTAATCACTCAGAACCTTCTTTAATCACGTTTAGAGCCTAGGGCAGAAGCTCTGCCCGCTACTACCCCGCTTCAGCTCCGAGCGACTGATCACTGCTATATTATTCGAGGTTAGGTAGCCTTCTAGAAACTATGATCTGGCATAAACCTCCAGATTCTAGTCAGAGGCTTCACACAATGGTGGCACCCCTTCTCCAAGCAGCGTTATTTTGATCTAGGTCAACACCTCAGCTTATAGACGGATCACTCCGTGGCTACTACTATTTTGCACTAACGCACTCCCTAATGTTTCCATGAAGCTCAAGCATGTTGCTATTCGCCAAATGGCTACTTCAGTGTATTCAAGAGTGTGCACTGGTGGCCCTGATGTCAACTTGAATCAGCACAAAAGATAGTCCAGCTGATGGACTAACCAAGCCCCTTGGACTGCAGAAATACCAGCGTTTTGTGGAGTTTCTCAAAGGATAAATAAAATAAATAAATAAATAGATAGATATATAGATAGATAGTAGAAAAAAGACGGCTGCTCAATTTAGCTAGCTAGCTTGAACATGATTCCTAAAAGATTTGGAATGCGAAATATATGGTCTTGGGTTAAATTCGAATTTGCAAGGATTTCTCCTGGGGGAATCAGAAAAAAAAAAAAAAAAAAAAAAAGATAGAAAGCAAAATAGAAAATCGTAGATGCCAAAGCAAGACAAACAACAGAGATAGTTCGAAGGAACTACGCAAGAGAACTGGAACCAAAGAAGGGCAGAAAGACGTATGCCAAAATAAAAGGGAAAGAAAGAAAGAAAAAGAAACAAACGAAATAAACCTCCCAGAATGTTCTGCTTATCATGAAGAAAGGCTATGGGAAAATTACAGCAAAGTCAGTGTTACAAATTTCCCGAAAACCAATACGTCGGAAATGAAAAGGTAAGAGACAACTCCTATCTACCCACCTCTTGATTAAAATCGTTGAATAAAAAGAGAAGCAAAAAGTAGTAAGAGATGAGACCAGAAAAATATGGGAAAAAGGACCAAAAAAATACAAACCAAATATACAAAGGAGCATCATCCCTCTTAACGTGTGGGTGGGTGAGAGGATATGACTACTTGAAGGGACGATCATATGTCCCATCGTCGTTCCCAACGGCACTCATGGGTTGACTGCGGAATCCACCAAAATCGCCGGAACCAGTCCGTCGGAGAGCCTGCCGCATGGTTTCAACATTCAACTCACCACCAAAAGTGCCAGGAGGGGGACTATGGCCGCAGAGCCGGGGGCTCCCGGCCACCCAACCCCCGCGATTAGGAGAGTTATCCAACCCCTTTGTAGAAGGCGATACGCTTGTTGGCGGCGATGTACCGAAACCGTGGGACGAGACCGGAGAGCGTACTGGAGATGGAGAGCGGTTCTGCGCAGCGAACAAGGCAGCGTTAGTCGAGAGACCCGCCATGTACATAGAATCGCGGTTTGAAGCATGGTCTGTTTCAGCATGTTCGCCGTTGACAACGTCAGCGAATGATACGAAGCTTAGGCGCCTGATGTCAGATGGGTCCAACCCGCCGTAATTTGAAACCGAATCTTCCGCGTCAGGGGGTAAATGTGGGTTGAGATCTTCATGCCAAGACGACGTCACTGCCTGTTCAGGTTGGCCGCCAGTCACGCTGAGCGAGGCAGGCTGGTGGAAGTTATGAGTGATGATTTCAACAGAGTCTGGATCGAGACGCTCGTCGGTCAAAGCAGCAGATGAGGCGCCAAGGATTGGGGGGATGTGGTTTTCTGTCATGATATGTGAGGGTATAGATGGGGAAGCTTGGGCTGGTGCGAAATCTTCCTGGACACTCCGTTCGAAAATTGCGAGGAAGCAGGCGAGTGAAGGCGAGGAGAAGCAGAACGGAATCCGCGATTAGGAGATGATGGAGACATGTAGGGATTTCTCGCACGATGTGGAGATGCAGATGGTCGAGTAGAGCTGAGAGAATTTAGAGGGGAAACAGGTCGCATGGTGGTTATGGGATTTGGGATGTTGGATGGCCGCTGTTGCGATTCGCTTTTGTCAACTGCGCTGGATTCGACAGACTTCTTAGATTTGAGTCGCCATTCATTATTTTCTTCGATATTCGTTGTGTCCGACTTCTTTGCCTCTGTCGAATGAATGCCTGGTTTGGTATGTTGATGTTGTTCCTCCTGCTGTAACTCTTGCTGCGGTTCAGATACAGATGGAGTTGCTGGGATCTCGTTGACAGGAGCGGTAACATGTGGTTTCGTGAAATCCGACGTCTTGTCGGCTGAAGAATTTACAGCTGCCATGACTGCTTGGTGGGTCGAAGGGAGGGAAGATTCGAGTTATAATATTATTATGAAGGAATCCGATCAAAAAATAGAGTCCACCTTAGACTTTGAGCAAAAGGGAAAATTCCGATAAAGAGTCTCGGGCTGGGCGAGTTAGAAGACAAAGTGCAGCTGAGTGTGATTAGGTTGAGAGAAAGTTCCCCACTCCAGCGGCAGACCAAGGGGGAAAATCGGTGCTTTATCCGAAGATACAAGATAAGGAGGGTAGTTGAAAAGGGACAGTGTGGAATATATATATATATATATATAAGGATGTTGTCTGTAGGCAGAGAGATATTTTAAGAAGAGGCAAAAACGGGGGTGTTGGAGTTGGTGAGACAGTTCGGAATAATAGAGGTGGTGGTCGGACTCAGCAACAAGAGCGTTGGGGGCTTGGTATCGAGTACATCAACGACGTCATGTTAGGTTAGGCGAGGTGGCAGGCAGGCTACATGGATGGGATGGGAGAGCGGGAATAAGGGAGGAAACTCGACGGACGATGTGGAGAAAGAGGATGAGACGGATACGTATGGGCATGAGAATGAAAGAGTGAGAAAGGAGATGGAGATGGAGATCGAAGTTGTGGAAGATGAAGATGAAGTTGAAGTTGGAGCTGGAAAAAGTTGAAGTTGAAGCGCGACAAGTTGCGGCTGACACAGTTACCGCTTGCCTGTAACGGGGCTGTATTGTACTGTACTGCGTTACGGTATATTACTAGTAACACAGCGACTCAAGGGCTGACAACGCAAGATACGGTATTGTAACATTAACAACTTTGCTCTAGGAACCAGCGACAGAATGACAATGCTATTCTTACGTATGCAAACAAATATAAATTTTAATATGCTATTTTATTATTGCTTCTATGTATGTGCTTTCCGTACGTAATTCCGGGAAACCAAAAATAATTACAGTGTCAATGGGTGTTGGTTGGCGGGATTACTCGTCGGAATAACCATGCTCCAGTCCCCACGTGATCTATCGCCCAATGTAACTTAGCGGCCCGACAATTTCTTCCAAGTCGCCAATTTCTCTTCCGCCGTTCAATTGAATCAATTGAATGAATATTTTGGTGTCTCCGTGCCCGTCTTCATCGCCCTTTCGTACCTCAAACCTATATATAATTTCCCTCTCTCCTCGCCTCTCCCCGGCTCAATCCCTCACTGCATCGGATTCTGCCATGTCTCCTGGCTGTTGATCGTTGTTCTCGCGTGGATCTCCCTTATCCGTGAGGACCCAATCCAAGAACACCCTGGGTCTTCTCCAATTCTTTTCTGCCAACATATATCCTCTATATCTTTTCCGTTTTTCTCTCACAATGGCTTGTCCTGTCACATATTCCCGGCGTAATGTCTTGATGCTACCGTTCTTGCTCCCATCGTGGTCGGAATCAGCCACCTCCGCCCTGGTATGCCGGAGATATCAGTCAACTTTCCGTCGACTGAAGCAACGCCTACGCGTGAAACCTGACGCTTCATTCAGCCCTCTCCCTCCCAATTCTCCCGAACGCATCATCTACAATCCTCCCTCCAGTGCTCCCTCAGTCTACCACACTCCTACCAAATTCCTACCACCAAATGATGTCCGCCGGAAACTGCGAGCTGCTTCATTCCCCGGAGACCCACTGCAACAACAGCAGCAACAGCACTCACGACTCCCGCTGGTTTTGCGACATAAGAGTCAAACCAAAAACATCCTGGGCGAACAGGAGATCGCGGAAATGCGCCAACTACGGCTAGAAGACCCCATGAAGTGGAGCAGATATGCGCTGGCTCAGAGATTCGGATGCAGCTCCCATTTTGTCATGCAGGTGTGCGATGCCGGCCCGCAGAAGAAGGCCATCCAGCAACAGGTCCTCGAGGCTATCAAGTCGCGCTGGGGCAAGAAGCGAACAATTGCTAGGGAGGACAGACAATTGCGAAAAGAGCTATGGGCTAGGGATCAATAATCTATTTATTCATATCTTTTTATACCTCAACTTGATCGGCATCATCGGCATTATCTTTCGTGGAGGACCTGATTACTTCTAGGGGTGGGGTGGAGATGAGATGTAATGCTAACGGCGGGCCGGGAAAACACACCCCTGCTCTTCCGACTGCGCTGGTTTGCGGCCCAATCCCTCTCTGACCGGGTGGTTACGGGTGACGAAGAAGAAAGGAAGAGGAGGACAAGGAGGACAAGGACTGGCCTCAATTGTAGAAACTATCACTGTACTATTTTTCCATTTCCATTTCCATTTCCTATTGTTGCTGTTAGATTACCTGTATTTTCTTATGCTCTGTACAGTATATACCTATATTCTACTATCAATGCATAAAAATAGAACCTTTTGACAAAAGTGTTAATCCATTGCTCTAAAAACGCGACATGCTTGGTAATATCCATATAAAGATTCGGGAGATCGAAAAAAGGAAAAAGAAGGAAAGAAAAAAAGGAAAAAAAAGAAAAGAAAAACAGATAAAACCCATCTTGACGCTACTCGCCCGACGCAAACAAGCATTTCATAAGAGGAAACTAAAATAACTCCCGAGAGAAAGAAAGAAAGAAAGAAAGAAAAATTCAAAATCAAGACCCACGGATGTTTTTTTCTCCCCGTCCGCAATTCGCAGCAATCCGTCGCCCAGCCTTGCCGTATCTACCCAGCTTCTCCTCCACGCCAAATGCTCCCCGCCTCGCTTCCCCTCAGTCGCATCGCAGCATTGCTCCCCCCCGTCAGACACTGTACCGCGCAATTGTCCCGGAGATATTTCAGTCTTAATCGATCCCTCTCGTCCCCGTCCTCGTCCTCCTCCTTTACTTCATCCTCGTCTTCATTCTGCGCCGCACCGCGCTCCTACAGTCGTCGTTCCATCATCCAACAGCAACCTGCCCCGCTCACTGCAAGAATATACAAGAGAACATTCTACGCAAATATCGACGATCCCAAGATGGCGCCTCAGCTGGAACCGTTTTTCAAGGAGTGAGTTGTGGAAATAGACCATTTTTATATTTGTCACCGAATTCATAGACGCATGGAGGGTATATATATATATGGTTTGCTGATATCAAGGCGTCTATTGTCGTTATGCGTAGGGTCGATAACCTCCAGGACCACTTCATTGATCGTATGTGTCATACTCCAATTCCTAGAAATGATTTGCTACGCAGTAGCCCTAGCTTTGGATAATTGCTAAATTGTCCCTATTATGATATATAGGCCTGAGGAAAGCAGTTGCTATCCCATCAATTTCTGCCCAGGATGAGAACAGAGGGGATGTGGTCAAAGTACGTTCATAAACCAACCATTATCAATACATCCCGGCGCAATCCTCAAAAGAACTACATTTCTGATTCCCTTATTACCTTAGATGGGAGACTTCCTTGTCGACGAACTGAAGCGCCTTGGAGCTGAAGTTGAGAAGCGTCCACTAGGAAAGGAGCCTGGACGGGAACATCTGGACCTGCCCCCAGTCATCCTTGCCCGCTACGGCAACGACAAGAACAAGCGGACCATTCTTGTCTATGGTCATTACGACGTGCAGCCTGCCCTGCTCGAGGATGGCTGGAACTCGGAACCATTCACGCTCACAATCGATGAGAAGGGCAGGATGTTCGGCCGCGGCAGCACGGATGACAAAGGCCCCGTCCTGGGCTGGCTAAACGTCATTGAAGCGCACCAGAAGGCCGGTGTTGATTTCCCCGTCAACCTGCTCTGCTGTTTTGAGGGTATGGAGGAGTACGGCTCCCTGGGGCTCGAGGAGTTCGTGAAAGCTGAGAGCAAGGCGTATTTCAAAGATACTGATGCCGTATGCATTTCGGACAACTACTGGCTGGGTACTGAGAAGCCATGCCTTACCTACGGACTGCGCGGCTGCAATTACTACTCTCTCACCATCTCCGGCCCGGGACAGGACTTGCACAGCGGCGTCTTTGGCGGCACGGCCCATGAGCCCATGACGGATCTGGTCAATCTCCTTTCCAAGCTGGTGGACGCTCAAGGCAACATCCTGATCCCAGGCATAAACGAGCTCGTCGCCCCAGTCTCCGAGGATGAGAAGAGTCTGTACACCAACATCAGTTTCTCCATGGATAACCTGCACGAGTCTCTTGGCAGCACCACCTCCATCTTCTCAGACAAGGAACCCACCCTGATGAGACGATGGCGGTACCCATCTCTCTCCATCCACGGCGTGGAAGGCGCCTATTCCGCCCCCGGCGCCAAGACAGTCATCCCCGCGAAAGTTATTGGAAAGTTCTCCATCCGCACCGTGCCCAATATGGAGAGCGAGGATGTGAACCGGTTGGTGTTTGATTATATCAAGGCCGAGTTTGCCAAGTTGAACAGCAAGAATACGATGGATTGCTCGCTGCAGCATGACGGGAAATGGTGGGTCGCTAGCCCCAAGCATTGGAACTTCCAGGCTGCGAGTAAGGCGGTTAAGCAGGTGTTTGGTGTTGAGCCGGATATGACGAGGGAGGGTGGAAGGTATGTTATTTATTCTTCTCGTTTCCTTTATTTTCTTATTTTTGCGCGGGAATAAATTTCTAACCAACGGTAAACCAATAGCATCCCCATCACCCTGACCTTTGAAGAAGCCACGGGCAAGAACGTTCTTTTGTTGCCCATGGGCAGCTCCACGGATGCCGCACATTCCACCAACGAGAAGCTGGACACGCGCAACTATATTGAGGGTACCAAACTGATGGGTGCCTATTTACACTATGTTGCTGAGGAGCCTGCTACGGCGTAAACAGACAGACAATCCTTTTGGTTTATCTTATTGTCCTGATACACTGTGTTTTCGTGGATGCGAGGGATGTGGGGGTGGCTTTTATTGTCCAGGTAGTTTTAATTTTGAACTTCAGCATTGTAGATGTTTGTATAGCTACATAAGTTAGTTAAGATGTTATCTATTAACATGATCCGAGTTACATAACATGACCGCCTGGTTAATTATCTTATTACATTCTAGCCTCACGACAGAGGATGGAGTGTCAGTCTTCGATTTTCCAAACCTTGTAGTTACAGGGGCTCCTGTTTCCCCAAAAATATGTGGTTGGGAACGCAAACGGTTATTCTCTCTTGGGATCCTGTTGTCGTCGTCTCTCTCAATATCTCGATCGGGCAATATTGACTTTGATGTCACGTGACTTCCTGGTGCAAATCGTTTTGCACGCGACGCGACATTGCGACAACTAAATATCTCAACAACAGCTCAACGATGAAGGCATCCCATCAGGTTTCTAAATAGCTGCACGAGGACCTGGAGCGTTGGGATTGCTCTGACTCTACAAAAAGCTCCCTCATGACCTGCGATTCGACCGTTGTTTATTCCTTTTCTCCCCCATGGCTCCGATCAAGCGGACTCGAGTCGATCCGCACCATGTCCCCGCCTCGAGTGCGCCTTCAGGTTCACAGCCTGGCCCGGTAAGAAACAATATTGAGATATATAATCAAGCAGCCCTTCCTCTTCGATTCTATAGAAAAAAAATTGTTAGGCATGGTTGGACTAATATACAATCCAATTATATAGAGAAAGAAGGTGCGCACTTCGGATGTCCTAGCAGTCCGAGGCGACAGTGACAGTGACAGCGACAATGACTCTACCAATTCCTCCCCTGCCTCGACTCCGTACGACCCCGCCCCCGCCTCCGAGCGCGGCGGCACAAACCCAGACCACAACCCCAGCGAACCTGAAGCCGAGCCCGAGTTTGAATCCGAATCCCCAACCGAACTCCCATCCGAACCCGACCTCGACGAGGAAACCATCGAGCACCGAGCGAGCCAATACGTCCAGAAGAAATTCTCGCAAAACGTAGAAAACGTGCCCGCAGAGCATGGCATCATCGAGCGAGTAGACTGCTACAATTTCATGTGCCATGAACATTTCTCCGTCGACCTAGGCCCGCTGATAAATTTCATTGTGGGCAAGAATGGGAGTGGGAAGAGTGCTATTCTTACGGCTCTCACTCTCTGTTTGGGCGGGAAGGCGTCCGTGACGAACCGGGGTCAGAGTTTGAAGAGCTTTATTAAGGAGGGGAAGGAGTATGTATCCTTTTTTTTTTTTTTTTTTTTTTTTTTTTTTTTTTTTTTTTTTTTGGGTCCTCTTGCTTTGCTATTCTTTTACAAGCCTTCCTGTGAGAAGCATCTTATGGATGACCGCGCACACATTTAACTAAATTATTTCTCTTTCTTTGCAGCTCTGCGACTATTGTGGTTCGCATTAAGAACCAGGGAGATAGCGCATATAATCCCAACGAATTCGGAAACTCGATCATTATTGAGCGACATTTCTCCAGAAGCGGCGCGAGCGGTTTCAAAATTAAAAGTTCCTCCGGTCGAATTGTGTCCACGAAGAAATCGGAACTTGACTCTATCACAGACTACTTCGCCCTTCAGATTGACAATCCCATGAACGTCCTCTCCCAAGACATGGCTCGCCAGTTTCTAAGTAGTTCCAGCCCATCGGAAAAATATAAATTTTTCGTCAAGGGAGTCCAGCTTGAGCAGCTAGACCAGGACTATCGCTTGCTTGAAGAGTCGATTGACCAGACTGAAGCGAAATTGTCGATTCATTTGGACCAGATAAAGGATTTGGAGGTCAATAGGAATAACGCCAGGGCGAAGCTCGCGCTATCGGATAAGAATGAGACTATGCGGGCTAGAATAAGAAATTTGAGAGCTCAGATGGCGTGGGTACAGGTTGAAGAACAGGAAAAGGTTCGTAAATATATATGTTCAATACATATTGGGGTAGGTATGTTTCGGGCTAACCTGTGGAATAGAATCGAGATTCGTGCGATGCACAACTTGCGGAGGCAACTCGGAAGATTGCAGATCTCGAGGCTGAACTGGTGAAAGCCGATGAAGTTTATCAAGAAGCTGATCGTGAACACAATGTAGCTTTTGAGGCAGTTCGAGCAGCAAGATCTGAACTTGAATCTCACGAGGATCGAGGAAAGGTTGCAAAGGAAAGTATGACTGAGGTTCTAAAAGAGCGCCGTGAGCTCCAGGTACGTCGAATATTATCTGGTTAAATGTCATTTTGATAATTAATTTCGAGACAAGGCAACACAACGCACGATCCGCGAATATTTGAAGGCGGCCGAGTCTGCCATCGCAGAAACGCAACGAAAAATAGACGAAGAAAAACGGCGACTTGAGGATTTAGATGGTGGGAACCATGCTAGGAGGTTGGCGGAACTCGAGGAGAGGAAGTCTCAAGCCGAAGAAGCGCACAATAGATTCAATGCGCACAGAAAAGACGTTGATCGCTTACAAGAGGATCTGAACAGAGCGGAACGAGAATTCCAAGGGAAGCGTGAACCGGTCATCAAGCAGCGGTCTGATGTAGAGCAAGCTGAAAATCGACTTCGCAGCCTCGTGCGGGACAGAGGACAACAGCAAAACGGTTTCCACGAAAAGATGCCTATGTTGTTAAGGGCTATTGAGCAGGAGCAGTACAAGTTTTCGAGGAAACCTGTCGGGCCTTTGGGGAGCCATATACGGCTGCTGAAGCCGAAATGGTCTGGAGTCCTTGAAAGCGCGCTGGGTGCAAACCTGGCTGGGTTTGTGGTGACGACGAAGAGTGATTCGAACACTCTATCGGCTATCATGAAGCGGGTTGGATGGTAAGTTTCAATGACATTACTGAGTTTGCGGCGCACCACGCTCTGTATGTTAATTCATTCCCATTAGTGAATGCCCGATTTTCATCGGGAATGATAATGGGACCATGGATACGTCCCCCAACGAACCTGACCCCCAATTCGACACAGTGTTGCGCGTTTTAGAGGTAGGAAACTGCCAACGATTATATCAACAAACGATAGCTTCTTTACTAAAAAAGTACATATATCATTTAGATCGATAACGATTTGGTTCGAAGACAGCTGGTTATCACCAATGGCATTGAGCAGGTTCTACTCATTGAGGACTTGGAAGAAGCTTCCGCGGTGATGTTTGATGGCCCTCGGCCGAGAAATGTGAAGCGATGTTTCTGCATCGACCGGCGAGATCGGCGAAGAGGGATTCATTTATCTTTTAGCCGGACGGGGGAGCCCACACAATCTCCAGTCCAAGCGTATACAGGACGACCCCGGATGAAAACTGACATAGAGTCACAAATTAGGTTCGTAGCCATTTACAACGTAATAAAACCCAGGCTCCCCATTACTGACCAGTTGTGTGCCGTATAGGATACAACAAGATGCTGTCAATAGCTTGAAACAGGATCTCCTCGAGCTTGAAACCCAAGAACGATTAGCGCGCACCCATTTTGAAAAATGCAAACAGGCACTCTACAGACATAAAAAACAGGTGGAAGATCTAAGGACCGCCTCGCAAAAAGCGGAGGACAGCGTTGAGGAGCTTCAGAGTGCAATTGACGGAGATACAACTGAAGATGGCCGGCTAGAAGGTCTGCACACATCTCTACAAGAAAGCGAAGGAGAGAAACGCACTTACGAGAGCTCTTTCGAAGACAGCGTCAACAAAATGGACAGCATAGTTGAAATCGTCAAAGAGAAGAAACAAGAAGTGGCGCAAATTGGACTGGAGATAGCTAAATATCGGAAAAAGCTCGAAGAGCTTGAAGGGGAAGAGTCCAGGATGCTAGAGAAACGGAGAAAAGCTCTCACTGATAAAAACGTCGTTGTTCATAGGCTTGAGTCTGTGAAGGGGGACAAGGAATACATAGCGAGGAAGCGCCAGGAACTCGTTGATATCATCTTGGATTTTAGTGCTAAAGCAAGTTCCATTTCTCCGCGTGTGACCGTTCCTCAGGGTGAGACGGCGAATAGCCTTGATAAGAAACTCATGAGATTAAAAAGGGACCTTGATCGGTTTGATAAGGAGTATGTATATTTTCGTTCTTTTTTTGGTCGAAGGAAGAGGAAAAGACTTTGCTAACAACGTCTAGTTTGGGAGATCGGGAGAAGATTGCCACCGAAGCAGCCGAATCAGAGGAGAAGTATGAAAGTGCTAGGCGGCAGGTTGCTGAGCTTGAAGAGCTTGCGCAGGTAATAACTTCTACTCTACTACAAAAATTTTCTCTCGTTCTTAATAACTAACAATTCCGCAGAGGTTCAAAATCACATTGACAAACCGGCGAAAACGATGGGAGAATTTCCGCTCTCTCATCACTGCCCAAGCTAAACTCCAATTTACATATCTGCTGAGCGAGCGAAGTTTCCGCGGCCAGATTCTATCAGATCACACGAAGAAATTGCTTGATATCCAGATCGAGCCGGACATCACCAAGGACAGTGCCAGAGGGAGAAATGCTAAAACTCTATCCGGAGGGGAGAAGTCGTTCTCGCAAATATGCCTTTTGCTATCGCTCTGGGAGGCTATGGGGTCACCGATCCGCTGCTTGGATGAATTGTACGTGGTTGACCGGTACCTCTCCCACTATACTATATTTTCGTTTTATATTAATTTTTTATTTCCCCTCCTAATAGTGACGTATACATGGACCATATTAACCGGCGAATGAGTATTGAAATGCTGGTAAGTTTCCCGCCCATGCTCCACGGTCCTCACGGGACTTACTATTTATCGTAATAGATGATCGCCGCAAGACGGTCCGTTGGGCGGCAGTTTATTTTCATTACGCCCGGCGCACGGCATGAAATCCAGCCCGCGCCAGACGTTAGAGTAAAAGAGTACGTTATTTCTTACCCCGTGTTTTCGGCACTACGACACTACGATGTAGGAGCTAACTCCAGATCTCTTTTCTTATCTAGGCTCGCTGAACCGGAACGAGGCCAAACGACACTGTCGTTTGCATGAGATTTATCTAGAACTCCATTCCGTAATATAATTTTTTTTTTCTTATATTATTATTGCATTGGGGCGGGAGGTTTGATTGATAGCGACCCTCAATTTTAACTTCAATTTTATTTTCTGATACATGTTTTGTTTACCTTTGCACTCTACCCATTTTCATTCCATTTTTATTACTCTCGCGGAATTTCTCTGCATATACTCCGGATGTATCGACTAGTTTTAAATTTCTTGATTACTACTCCGTACTCTTCGGATGCCTTGTGGTAGCTTGATCCCTCCCCAATCTACACCAAACGAATCAGTTGCATGGTGATGCACGGCACCTCAGAGCCTCTTGGGGACCGGATTCCTGGCTGCTTCTACGATTGATTATTAGCCTACCGCCCTGGCTCACCTGTCTTCAAGTACCTTCACCCCATCTTCACCCGGAGCTCACCCTGCTCCAGTAAGCATGCAACCGCCGCACCATTCTTTGCTGGCCCCTCCAGTATTTGATGGCCACCATTTCCCTGGCCGCCAGAATGAGTTTGCAATGCCTGATCCTCAAACTGTCCACTCACCTCTCCTTCACTTCCCCCCATTGAACTCGACAGGGGCGCCCATTTTGGCTCCCACTTTCCCACTTTCCCACCTGATATTCGAGCAGTGTGGCCTTCTCAGCTCACAACTGTCTACATTAATCTTGCACCATGACCACTGAGAGGGTGAGAGTGCAACACCTGTATAATTGCTGCCAGAACTTCAAGGCCAAGCTAAACAGTGTCTACAAGATACTTCTACAACAGCATGAAGCCACCGGCCGGACGCCTCCAGATGACTCAGACAATTACAAGAGGAGCAAAGCAACAGTGCAGCAGCAGCTTGACGGGTTTGGCTCTACTCTCTGATAAAATCATACTTGCGCATGCTGACTAGCGGCAGGCTGTGTGCTTCGAGCTTGAGACCACGCAGGATAAATTCCTTGAGGCCTTGACCTCCTCTAGTGTCAAGGTGTATTTTGACTATCTCGAAAGAACCCACAAGGAGAGTATCAAGCCCGCATCTTCTCTTAATAATTACTGGCGAGTCTTCAAGTCCCTCTACACCAAGAAGACCGACAAGACGCTGGACGAGTCGGAGTCGACTGCACGGGACTGCCGGCGGGTATGCTCAACTCCTGCAAGCGAAGATTCAACAAAGCTAACCACGGTCATTGGACAGTACAAGAATGTCGTCATCAAGCGATGGGGCCTTCGGAGACTCCCAAAGCACAAGCCCTCGGGCACAAAAGATGACGTGTATCGTGTCCTCCGGTTCCACTGGGAGCGCTCTCTACAAAGATCTATGCTGGTGAGAAGCAGCGTGTCTATGTCGCGGCTGGTATACTCATGTCCTTTATCTCCGGATCTCGGTTGGTGTCGCTTTTTGACACGCGAGTGAAGAACAAAGAGGATGTACCGGAGAAGTTGACCAGCAAAGCATCGGGAAGCTTGCTTTCCGTCAATCAAGCTTTCTCTGAATCAGCGCCCTAAACAGCATATAGGACCTGGGAAACGGAAGCGGCTTCCTTTGAATGACGATAGGGGGCTCCTGGTGTCAAAGCGAGCTAAGTCAGCTACCAGCCGAAGAGCATCGGCTGCTGTTCAGGAGACATCCTCGCCCGATCAAACTAATCTTTCAGATGTGAACATGAGCGACTCTTCCCATGATGGCCTAGAAGATGCTTCTGAACATTCTCCCTTGACAAAGGAGAGTGACATTGACAATGATACTGGCGACGAAGATGATGAAGATGAAGATGAAGACGATATTAGCTTCGCAGACAGTGGATATGACAGTGTTAGCCCCACAAACAAGCCCGATGGGGATTTCATCGAGGATGTGACAGATGATGAGTATGATGCGGGCCCTGAAGAGACAGGGGCCCTGCTCTGGAGGCATATTTCGTTTCACATCATCCGCTATTCACAGCCGGGGCGGCCAAACTTGCTCCTTGCCCAAATCACGCTTCTTCACACGAAAGGCTAGCACAAAAAGCCAAGAGTATAGGTCAACTTCCAATACTTTGCCGCCTAGGTCCGAAAACTGATGTCTGCTTGGAAAACCTTTGTCATTACTCACAGTCGAGAGCCAATCCTTGACCTCCTTGGACATCTTCTCTCCATGACTATTGATGAACGAATCTTCACTGCCGGATTCTAGCGGCTGGCGGATATCTATCCCACCGCACCGAGTTGGCAGGCAACTGAAAATCAAGAGAGAGCATTTGGACCAGCCGGTCTTTCGCCAACCCGCACATGACAAGGACGGACATGGAACATCTAAGGCGGTGCTACTCAAATCAGGTACATGGAATTGGTACCTCAGCGGACTAGGCAAGGCGATAGGCTTGAAGTACCCGCTGACGCAATATGTTTGGCGGCGGTCCCTGATCAACGCAATCAACAGTAAGTCGTCACTCCTGATCATCTAAAGCTCCTAGCATATTGTGTTCCCTGTCCTTCGGGTATTTTGCGCGAAGGAGTTTTGGCTGAGTGTGATGCATGACACAGATAAGGCGCCGTCATCTGCTTGCCACATCTCCAACAATGATAATTATAAAAATAATTGGTAGTTCCCTCAACTTAAATGCTGAACACTTCCTTTGTTTTTTAAGAGGTAGGGTAGGGTAGGGGGGTCCCCCAGAGCTGGTTAATCTAGCATTATCAGAAATGAAAAAGTGCCAGGCCGGCAAACCTTCATTAGATGCGCGTCCTCCAACTTCCATATATATCAACGGTCTCTTCAGTCACAAGCTTACAAAAAATCTGAACCATATAACACTATGCCAGCCATAATTCATTGTTATCAGTTGCGCTGGTGTTCAGGTGATCTGATAGAAATACCTGCCTAGACCATGTTTCAAGAGAAAACTCATCCACTGTTTGACTAGTTCAGTACTCCATACTCTGTAGTTAGACAAAGAAATCGAAAAAGCGGCAGGAAAGAGTTGTTTCAAATACCTTTTGAGGATGATATTTGTAAAACCATCTAGATCCCACGCATGCATCCAATGACAAATAATGATGAGCTTATATACGAAAAATGGAGTAAATAAATAAGTAGGTAAGTTGGTACATAAACAAAAAAGAAATTGCAAAGAAATTGAGAGGATGAGAAAAGTGATAGGTAGGAGAAAAAATGAAATCGGGAAAGGCAGACAAGCAGACAGTGAAATGCCTCGCCCATGACATATATTAAAGTTAGGGGGTAGAAAATGGTGTCTGTAAGAAGAAAAATGGCATGATATGATTATATATATATACCCTCTGCGCGGTTACCGCTAGTTTGGCTTATTTCGTGGTTTACATATGTATTCGTGCGCGTACTCGTTATACCTAGAGAGTAAATCCGTCGATGGGACTCCGCCTTGGTGCATGAAATTGAAGTGAGCGGCGAGAGCTCTGCCTTCGATAAGTACGTCTGTGAATATGGTAGCAAATGTGATGCGTCAGTAGTTTCTCATCAATATTTCAATTTGCAAAGAGTGGAATAAAAGGGCGCTTGTCATAAAAAACTGACTACGAATCCCAAACGTGGCGCGGTGGGGATATAAAATGGTACTCACGTCTCTGTAACTTCTTCGGCAAATCCAAAACAATCATATCCTCATCCCCCCTATTGTCCGGCCAATGCTCTACATCGGTATCTAGAATATCATCTCCCAGAATCACGAGACAATTAATCCGAATCCGCTCCCCTTGCATATTCCACGGTGGTTGGAATTTATATAGATCTGTGGTATTTTTCTCTAGGTTCTCCAGTAGTGAGTAGTGTTGCTGCGCCGCAATCGCCCAGCTCTCATAAGTGGGACCCCAGAAGTCATAAGTCAACTTCGCGACTGGGGTGCGGTGGAGGGCCTTGTCGTCGTCGACACGGAGCCAGCGATGTGTACCCCCGGGCGGCGGGTCTTTATCCAGCGGCCACTCGAAGTTGCTTGCACCGGACCAGAAGGGGTGGCTGGAAGGGCGCCAGTTTTCGGAGCCACTGCGGTGCTTGCGAGTCGGATCTGATTCGAGCTCGGGGAAGTACGGGTGTAGAGCACCTTGATGAAAGTGAATGAAAGACAAGGGAGGGCTGTTGATGACGTTCGCGGAGACGGCGAAGCTGTCCGGGTATTTTAGTTTGGTCGTGACCATGTGTGCGATGGCATCGTCCGCGAGCCAAACCTGATGAATGAAGGTAAGTGATATTATTCAAAAAAAAAAAAAAAAAAAAAAAAAAAAAAAAAAAAAACGGAACAACCCGACGCCTGTCCTTGTCAAAGACGGGAAACCAATAAATTTATCGCGATAAAGATGGAGGAGTAGCGCATACAATATCATCATCAAGCTTGACGTAGATCGTACCCCGCTCCACCCGCCTCCAGAGTTTTGTATAGTCTGGCCATTGCACAGGTTTGTCCAAGGGAATTTTCTTATAGCGGGGGGACCTCGCAATTATCTCGTCGAGATATTTGAGATCATCTTCATTTTTCGTGTTGGCGTACCACCACACCTCGTCCAACCATCCGCCATTTTCGATCAGATTCTTCTACTTAAACAGTCAGCGATCATTTCATTCTTACTAATTTATATACCCTTTCTTATAGCAAAAAAAAATGGCACCCTCCGGTTTCTGTTGTGCGCACACAACCAGAGAACGTGGCCACGACCCTACTAAGGAGCACCTATCTAAGATCGATAAAAAGAGAGGAAAGAGAGAGAAAAAAAAAAAAAAAAACCAACCTCAACATAGCAATTCATCGACTCGACTCGATCCCGCCTCCCGAAGAATACCATGCCTGTAATAGTGACATGTGTAGGTTTAACAAGCTCCTCGGTTTGCTTTTGTTTCGGTTGCTCTACTGGCTTCGGTTGCTCTTCTGGCTTCGGTTGCTGTATCGGCTGTCCCTGACGGTTGCTATCATCGTGCTTGGATCTCCACGGGTGGTGATCCAACGACTGTGAGAACTTGATCAGACATAGTAAAACGGCGATGGCAACAAAGACGAGAACAGCAGGCCTCCGTATTGACTGTGATGAGAGCATGGGTGTGGAAGTTTGGCTTGCGGCCCACCATGTGCTGTGGAAGCAGGTAAGGGGGGGGTAAGACCCTAAAAAAGGGGCAACAACCGAAGAGGAAGGACGAGTGTGGAAATGGTGGAGAAGAGCTTAATGCCAAGATAACTCACAGCCGAGAGGGTACATGTACAAGCTGGTGGTATACGGGGTACCATAATAATCAAGCAAGAGAGGGGGAATCAAAAAAAAAAAAAAAAAAAAACGAGCATCAAGAGAAGAAACAAAAAGAGAGGGCGAAGATTGATCGGACGAACCGACATTATTCCGTCAACTACCTGAGCAAGGGCCGGATGAGGCTCAAGGAAAAAATCGCCCGGGGAGGTCTGACCGCCGCAAAGACGTGGCAGGATTTGGGAAACAAAAGACATCGATCGAGGCTGGAGGGCCGAATCAGAAACAAATTCCAGCCAAAAAAAAAGTTAATTTGCTTCTTGGTTTCAAGTAGCTCGGTACTTCCGTCCACTTATAAGTTTTAAAGGGCCAGTGGACTCTAGCTATAATTATCCCCGTCAGAAGTTTATTAGTCCGACTAGCAGCGTCAAATTCCACATGGTGCGTTTTCAGCTTCACCTAAACCTAGCATTCGGTCCTTTACGCGTAGTTACTGCGTACGGTACGCAGTAGTATGTATGGAACAACTCTCTGATGTTCTGAATTTTGGTCATGACTCTGCTGACAGAATCGGACAGACCATCCATGTCGTTATTGATGGTTTCAGTGGGAGTGCGGAATAGGTCCAATCGCCATCTTCAACCTCAAATACAATACGGAGAGTAACTGTGCGGGCAAATGTTGGGTTTCCCACCAAAGGAACTGACTGGCAAGAGGACGGACACCGCTGGGAACTTTGGTCAGTCAGTTGGTTTCTTTCACCCTAAGTAAGTTAAGCATTTAGCAAGAATTGAGGAAGTACTGGCTGGCGTACCTTGGGGAAAAAAATAAAAATAAAAATAAAAAAATAATTTATCAGCGCGCCAAAATAGGATAGATCAACGTAGACCTCAGCTAGGCATTAAAGCTGTCTCAGTCCAGTCCGGGACAAATCTTAAGAAAGCCACAGGCCAAAAAAAAGAATATAGGTGAGATTCTTTTCAAAACGCCCCCAATAATAATGTCAAGGGGGGGCCGCCTCTTCTTTTCTCTTTGTACGGAGTACGCAGTACTCCGTAGTTAGTTCCAACATCTCCAGCTCTCCTCCCTTCCGTAGCGTCCGTAGCGTCCGTAGCGTAGCGTAACAGCGTAATAATAGCGTAACAGCGTAGACCAAGTCCAAGCCTGACCGAAGATACTTTTTTTGATAACTTTCGATACTTTTGATACTTTTGATACTTTTGATACTTTTGGGGAAAAGAAGGAAATAAAACACTTGGCTGAAACGGAGTGGGTCACGCACCAGTCACACTAGTCCTAATGTAGTTAGTTATATTACCACATACCCACATGCATATCATATGATTTATTAATATCTGTAATAATAAAATTCAATTTATATAGCTAAGAAGTGTCATCATGTTTTAATGAGTAATTATATTTAGCTTCAAATCACTCTGTGTTTTATTTATATGAGATTGTTATATATTCTGAGTTGATTTCTCTTTTTTCTTAAATATCTCATTTTTAATATCTTATCTGTCAATTTCATATAATATTAAATACTGATATTATTATAAGAGCTTTTGTAATGACTTTTAAATCACTTTATTTTGACAAGTTAAATGCTGAAATCATGAAAATCACTCAGATTTCAAAGAGTCAAATCAACTGTATATATAGATATGCAATTGAACACAGATTCAATTCTGAACTATTTTATATTATATTTTATAATGAATAACTTTGAGATATTTCTGAATTTAACTGATCAACTCTGAGAAATGATAATATTAAAAATATTATATTTACAAAGATTTAATATAATTGATATAAATGAGAAAAAATATATACTGATTTTATCAATAAATTCAGTAATGAAGAAATTGAAATATTTTTTATAACTATATGAAGAATTCTTTGCAAAGCAGATCTGTGAAAAAATCTATATAAAAGTCAGAACTTATTAAGAAAATACAGTTAAATCAACTTCAATTCTGTCTGAAATATAAGAATTAAATTTTGAAGAATTGAAAGAATATCATCTGATCAGATGAAATCTCTGTTATTTTTCTTCATCAATAAAATGAATATAAAATATGATATACATTTCATAAAATTTATTCTCAAAGCTATATACATGATTAATGAAAGAGATCATCTGAATTCATGTTCTAGATGTACTTTTTATATGATAAGAAAAGCTCATTTCATTATTGAGTCACAAAAACCTTGCAGAAGCATACTCAATTTCTTGAGTATATTAAGACTTTAAACACAGAAATAGAATCTATAAAGAAGCAAGAATGAGAGCTGTCAAATAACATTCAAAGATTACAGATTGATCATCAGCAGCCAGGTCAAAAACCAATATGAAAGTTCAAAAAGATCACAGGCAAGCTATCTCATAACAAAGGTGATGGAAATGATTGATATCACTATCAAGTTCAAATTCTCTTACTGAAGCTATTCCCCTTTGCAAAAGAGTGTCAAATTGAATGTCCAAATACTATTGTGCAAGAGGATAAGGCCTCTTCACACAGTCACTATATCCAACATCATATGTATGATATTCATGGGATTCAACAGCTGCTTTGGTGTGGGAATTCGCCTGATCTCAACGCGATTGAGGCAGCTTGGCCTTGGATGAAGCACAGAAGAATGAAAAAAGAAGCTCCTAAGAACCGCGCGGAAGCAGTTAGAGTATGTGTGTTTCTTCTTCTTCTTCTTCTTGTTGTTTGTTGTTGTTGTTGTTGTCGTCGTCGTCGTCGTTTTGCTTGTGGTTGTTCTTGTCGACAGTGTTTTGTTGATCTTTCTGTGACTAAAAGCTATCGTCCATTTTAGACAGGGAGATGAGAGCTGATTTTTTACACTGTTAACAGGTTAGCTGTCATTCAACGTGGGTTGACTCTGTTGACTGTTGAGTTTCTTTTCTAGATGTTTTCTATGGAGCTGAAAGTTTTCGGACGGACAGATCCATGAGCAATGATTTCTCTTAAAATACCGCGCTTCTTTAGAATAAAATAAAAATAAGCTTATCTTATATATATAGTCCTCTTGAACCTAAAACCAATTGCGATATCTCTGCCAGAAACAGGGTATGTACAAAATATGCATGCGCAGGTGTATATAGGTATGGAATAGTGAACCCTAAAAAGAAAGGGGAAGGAAAGGAAAGAAGAAAGAACAATGATCTTCAGGAATCGAGGAAGAAGAGATCTGAGAAGAGAGAGGGGTGATATATGTATGCAATGCAATGCAAAGTGAAGACCAATGCAAAGACTGCCCGACTAACGGTGAATCAGCTTTGAACTCCCCCTGCCAGCCTGCAAGGAAGAAACTCAGCAATCCAGCGTCTTCTTTATTTAATCCTGCTTCTCCCCCTCAACCACAAGCACGCCCCCATTCCCATTTGAGCCATCATTACTATTGCTTCTCGAGCTCTTAACCTCACCAGGCGCGGTTACCTCTTGATCTGCAGAACTGAAACCATACTTACTGCTCGTTCATCTGCTTAATCTCTTCAGCGGAGAGATATGGCAGCTGCTTGGCCGCGGTAGCGTAGCTGATATTCTCCGGGAATCCCTTTGCGAAGATAATGCCGATCTCCTCCAGGCTGCGGCGGGGCTGTCTCTGGATAGAAAAAGTAGATGACGGGAAAGAAGCAGGCGTTGACACACGCGAAGAAGAGGTAGGTGTCCCAGCCAATCCCGTCAAGCATGACGGGGACGACCATGACCAATGACAAAGTTGAACAGCCAGTTGGAGCAGGTGGAGAGGGCATTGTCCTTGGCGCGGATTTTGATGGGGGAGATCTCAGCTGGGTACAGCAATGGTAGCGGCAGCCAAGAGGGCCCGAAACTGGCGATGTAGATGAAGAGACCGACCGCGGCGCCGATGGCAGCCTGTCGCGTGCCCGGTATGAGACATGCGAAGGTGATCACCATAGACAAGCACTAGCCGGCCGTTCTGATCAAGAAGAGCTTGCGGCGGCCCACTCGTTCAATCAGGAGCCAGGATGAAGTTGCAAAGATGGAGTAGACGATCATGTTGACACCGCCGAGGAGCATGGCCATGAAATCAGCTCTGCGGATGATGGAGGTCTTGAACAGGATTGGGAAATAGTAGATGACAGCGTTGCAACCGCCCACCTTCAATACAGATCAAGAGACCTCGGTTGGACGTTCGCGAGCACTCTACCTAGTACGTTGGAATTGTGGAGGTGTTGACACCGTTGCCAATGCCGGTAACGATTCGCCCAATGATAAATTGGGCATATGCCCCATGGCCTGGAATAACGGCGACCTGGATAATGACACCAATGATCATGATAAATGCGCCTAACATAATGGCTCTGCGACGGCTCAGAATATCGCCTGACCAAATGATAGCCATTGCACCTCCCAGACAACCTATGCCCACCCAACATGGGAATGTTAGAAACTCTCTTCCGCTACGTGCAGAAAAAAGGGGCTAAATGTATCATTTGACTGGAAAATTACCAACTTCATAGATAGCAGGTACGAAACCCTGTTGCGTCGCATTATCACGGGTTTGGGGGAATGCATCATTGAATGGTTTGGCTAATAATGCCTGACATGATACCCTCTGTTGAAGGGTTCATTATCTGCCCGAAACATCTGCTACTGCCATAGCTTTCCCGAAACAAAGGCCTCTAAAGGGACTACTTACGATCATATCCGAAAAGCAAGAAACCAGTCGTCGCCACTGTCGAAATGGCAAGTGACAATTTGTGGCCTGTCAAGCCAGCGAATCTTGGGGCGCCGGGGTCGCTCATTTTTACTTTTCCCCTGGAGCTGAGCGGGGAGAGAGTACTTGGGGATCCGGGGCTTTCTCCGCTACTTCGATATGTACAGCGGAAGAGTGGATGCAGGTATGTATGGAGGAGAACCAGTAATATAAAAATCTAAAATCTAGATTCACAGAATCTAGATGCCAAGAACAGTTGACAGCGGAAAATGCTCAGCTACCCCGGGAATAATCTCACGAACTTGGACAGCAAGGTAAAGAACGAATTAACATGGAATTTCGAATTGATGTAAATGACACATCCCACAGCGACGACGACCGTAAAAGGAAAGAAATTATGAAAGGAACAGAGAAAAAAATCAGTAATAAAGGAGGGGAAAAAAGAAAAAGAGAAAGCTAGGATTGGCCTCAGCTTTTAAAACATGCATCTGTCGCCGATTTCCATATGAGATGCGAATAACTCCATGATGATTACAATTCTGGGAGCATGGAAGCACGGTGTACAGTAGGGTGGATGTTTTGTCACAGCTGAATGCTTTGATGGGGTGGAAGGGGGGTTTGTAGGGGTCAGAATTGTGGGCAGTGATATATCCCACCCCACCACACATTGAAATCGCTGGCTGTATTAGGATGCTTGCTTAATGATATGTGGCATGACTGGGACGGGTGAAGGTAAAAAAACTGAACATGATGAAGAAATTGGGAATATGCAGGCGCATATTTTCTCGGCTGTCGTAGTAACGCATGTATCCAGCCGCCGATATCAGATCGGCAAACTGCCATTAAGGAACATTTTGTTGATCGTTAGTAAGAGCAGGAAAGTTGCCAACAAATATCAATCATCTAGGACTACCGGAATATGCGGCAGTTGAGGTGCGAGTCAGCGATATTAGTTGGCATCGCGCACTGCATCGTCAGTAAAATATTCGCGAAGCAGTCTCTCTCCATATCCCACTTTTTCATCCCCCATTTACTGGGTAGTCCGTTGGGGCTGTTAACAAGAGGATCTGTGGATTGTGATCATGCATTTAAGTGCGTATGGGCGGAGCATCACGGCTAACTGACTGGCACCAGGATTGACAACCTGCGACGGGTGATATATTGATATGTTGATGCTGAGTGCAAGCTCTGATGCCAAAGTCACCGGCTGCAAATTAGCTGTAGATCGGAACTGCGCTCCAAAGCCTCCATCCAAGCCCGCTTCGGCTAGCTCTGCCATTGTTAAGCTTTCCTATGAGGACGTGGCTGATATCGTTATCAGAATGTCCCTTATAAAAAAGAAATTGTTACTTTTATTTAGGGTTGCTGGGTTGTCCCTAGATTTTACCATAATAAACTCTTTGAGCTTGTTTTAAGAGAGGATTTTATACCGACCAACTCAACCGAGTTCTTTTGTCGTATGTGTATTTTCCTCTGGCAAACTAATAAGTTTTGTCCAATATTGTCGAAAAAGAAGGAAAGCAAAGGACTCACGACTCCAACCCTCTTCCATAAGCTAGCAAAACTCTTTCCTATCCCCCATTCGGCCCTCTCTACCCCGAGGCCCTCCAGCACAGAGCCAATAACTATATATATATATATATATATATATTTGATTTCCCGATCGGCGAGCTGACGGGTCATCACAGCTCCGCCGGAGTCGCTTATCAATATCTAAGTCCGCTATAAATCCTTGATATCAATCTTCTGATTGGCAGTCTAAGACTGACGAAAGGGAGAAAACTGGAGACGAACCGAGCTGGATTCTGGAATGGAAACCCAACTGCGTAGAACGGTAGAAATTAGAACTTGAATTTAAATTAGTTATAACGGTGGATAAACTTTGTGTTGATTAGATGCAATCCGCTGCCCCACCCCGAAAGTCTTTTTCTTGTCAGGGATAAATGTAACATTTGTAGGAAACGTGGAGTAACTGAAAAGTTTGCAAGCCGGGTAAGTATCCTTTCTGAGAATCGTATGTTTTATGTAGATGTAGGCTCTGAATAGGCAAGTTTGCCGTGCACACATCCTTCGCCATTTGAGGGTCCGAAAGTTGGGCGGTTGTTGCAGTTTGAAATGGAGAGAATATCTGTCGACAATGTAGGACCAAAGATAGGTGTCGAGTGTCGAGCCAGCGAGTCTGTCAAGGGGATGTTAGCTATTTCAAAAGATATATCTCGATTTGTAGTTCAAAACTGGGAATTCTCCAAGTGTTCCTGAAGGATGGCTCCGAGCCCTGGCGATTCCGTGATATGTATCCGTGATATCTATGTATGTATGTACAGGAACCCCATCCCCTTTTCCCATGGTTGGTCGGAGATCTAGTAGAGTTCGCTCGCGGATTGGCTCGTAGAGCAAAGGGACGACTCTTGATATAAGTTTCCCGAGATATAGTTCTGCTATATTTCTGTCATGGGGTATAGAGATTCTTCTCGTCTGATGGAAATTGATCCGCCATCCGGTTATCCATTCTCCATAATACTGGTACATGCTGATAAGTATTGTAGCTGTAGAATATGCAAAGAGTACTCTTGTATGTCATATCTCAGAGATTCCTTATTAGGAAACCAAGCAGTGAGGCTGTCAGTCACGTGTGCTAGCTTGCTTAGTCATGGTTACATAAGGTCTCGCCAAACGCGTTTGGACGCGTCGGGCGACGGAGGTGGGTGAGGATGAAATTGCCATCACATATCGCAACACCGGATATTGAACGATTATTTTATGTTTGATTTGTAGACACACAGACATGTCGGACGACCAAATTCTACACAATACCCTCACGGAAAATGAGGAACAGCAGGCCTCATCGACCCTACGAGCAGAATTGAAGGAATGGGAGCGCTCCTTCGCCTCTGCAAATGGCGGCCGCAAACCCGGGAGAGATGATATCAAAAATAATACTGCCATTTGTACGGAAAGACAATAACCCCGTGTTTATTTCTTCTTCTCCTATTTCGCACCGAAAAGAAAATTAAAACAAATAGAATAAACCGGCCGCTAACCCATCGAACTGAATTTGCTGCTTCATCTATGCATGTTTTAGCTACCAAATACAAACTCTACTCCCGCCTACGCGCCCAGTCGTCGCAGGCCAGCGCCCGCTCTCCAGTTCCAGCGGAGGAAGTATCACAGCAGAGGAAACGCAAACGCCCCTCAGACACACAGGAAGATATAAGCGGGCCACCACCACCACAATTCTGCTCAACACCCCGAAAACCCCCCAAGCAAATCCCCGCCACACCCTGTAGGGGTGAACTATTAACATCAGCAACCACACCGCTTCCTGCAAACGCCCACCCATCGCAACTAGACCCCTACGATTCCCCATCGACATTACGTAGACTCTTCAGCCCCAGCTACCATAACAATCCCCACGAGTATCCCCACTCATCCTCATCTCCCTTACCCCTCCGCGCAGCCATTGGACCTACGCCGCAGCGTGATGGTAAGGCTCTGGGTCTATTTGACCTCCTCTCTGCATCTGGAGGTAGCCATCGCAGTAGAGACAGTGCTACTGCTGCGACGCCGTCCTCGAAACAGCGAAGGGGCTTTAATAGTCACCGGGGTGATAAGGATGACATGCAGACTCCTTCGCGGCGGAAGGGAGGCCGAGCCAATGCGGGAAATCGGGTTGACAAGGATGGAGAGAAAGATTATGAAAACTTCTTCGCCAACACACGCACCCCAGCGTCATCTGCTAAGAAGTTCTACCTGGCCAACTTCTTCGCGACGCCGCCTGCGTATCGGTATTCGACTGTCATCGATGGCAGAACAAGTAGTCATGATGACGACAGTAATCAACAGGCAGGTAACAATGACACAGTGAATGAAAAAAGAGGTTCAGCGTCAAACGATCCATTGGGCTCAGATACGCCTTCTTTCCTCCGCCGACGGAACTTATTCTCGTCATCGTCAAGGCCAAACTATCAACAACATGCACGCGTGGCCAGTGGGGCTAGCCTGCACGATCTAAGCCCCATTGCGGTTCGCATGCCGCAGAAACTTGTCGGGAGGGGGCTAAGTACTATCGTTCAGGGGTTACGGGATATTCAGGAGGAGAGGCTGGATGAGGAGTTGGATGTTTTGAGAGAGATAGAGGCGGAGGCGGCGCGAGAGGATGATATTATTATTAATGATAGTCAGGTTCCCGTCCATGATGATAGAGAGGGAAATACAACAACGCGACAATGGAAGAAGAAAGGACAGAAACGAACGACGCGACGGGTTATCATGAGGCCAGTCCGTGCGAAGGTGAAAGCAACACCGGAGTGGCCCGTTACTGTGATTGATGACGGTGACAATGAAGGTGGAAATGGAGGAAGCGAAGATGAGCTGGCGGCTATTTCAGAAACCCAGCCGCAACCTCAACTTCAACCTCCTGGTGCGAACAAGGAAAATGAAAATGAAAGTGAAGTAGCACGTGGTCGCCGTGGTGGATTATTCTCGGCATCTGACAAAGATAATTATGCCGACAACAATATCTCAGAACTCAACCATAACAACCCATATTCTGATCTAGATTCGGACTCAAACTACGAAGACGATACTACGGCCCCGGCATCACCATCTCACTCTAAGGGCCGGGCGGAGGCGAAGACGCAGAAGTTTGTTCTTAAGAGTACTACCAATGCCAATGGGGCGAAACGGAAACAGGCTACGACGGCAACGGCAGCTACTCAGAAACGCAAAGCCAAAACGGACGCGCATGCTAATTATCGCGCGCTGAAGATTCGGGGGAAAGGCTCCCATGCGAGGGGTGGCGGGAGGCGGTTTGGGAGGAGGAGATGACGTGACAATGGTAATTGTTTGCATGGGATGGGATGAGATATTATTAGACTAGTTGGGGGGAGTTCTACTAGTGCGGCCCATAAGAGGGGCCGGGTATATTATATGCTTTTTTGTATAGACTATAAACTGTGGAGTATGAAGTTAGGGCAGAGAGCCAAGGTGGTCAGTTAAACGAGTTTTGAAAGAGAAAACAATTTTTTTAACTTGGGAATGAATATAGCCAAAGGAGCAAAAAACCCGAGTCAAAAAGTTTCTATCATAATATACATGTGCGATGTAGCAGCCTGCCCATTTATGAAACATCTTTACCCCCTTTACGCCTCGCGCTATGCTGGTTCGAAATCATAAGACAAAATTAAAAAAGGGGACTTGCACCGTACCTAACCTCAACTTGTCACGTTTTAGATGCTCCTGATATCAAAACCGTGAAAAGTACGTAAGGGCTGCTCCGCAATCCACTGAAACGAATTCGAATCGAATCAACCCCCCAACATATATCTATTAATCCGGTTGATACCTATCACGCGCCCGCTGTATCCGTCTCGCCCGAGCGGCGGCACTATCAAAACGCCCCCTATCCTCCGTGCTCGTCGCTTTTGAAACCCTCCCACGCGGCCACGATCGTCCACGGTCTCTGCCCCTGTCCCTGTCCCTGACAGTAAAAGGCGTGTTTGACAAAGACCGGGTCAGTGTACGCGCATCCGCATGCCTACCCAAGCGCGACTCCATGTCCATGCGCGCTGCCGAGCGCCCCTCGTTACCATCATCGACATCATCATACTGCACCGCCCGATCCCAATCCGTCAATGAATTATACGGACTCCGCAACCATGCCTGCAACTCATGCAGGAACAACCGCGCATTTTTGCGCCCGATGAATTCCCGCAATAGTTCCTCCGCCTGTCCGCTGCTGCCTTTGACATCCACCGTGCGCAGAATTGCGATGATGTATTCGAGAAGGAATTCGGCATTGTTAGCTGCGCGGTGTCTGCCTGCCCCTGCTGGGGCGGTGGTGGAGGAGGGAGAGGAGGAGGAGGACTCTGTATCGCTGGTCGGGTTCAGAAACGCGAAGACCTGTAACTCGCGCCGGATCCATTTTCGCGCGCGCGAGACGAGGTGATCATCTTGGTTAAAATGTTGAGGGGTGAGTTCGCGGTATTGCGAGAGTCGGTTGGTGCCTACCCGTCGGGAGTAGAGTTGGTGGCGGTATATGTGCCGTCGGCGGATTACTGGGTCGTCTGGGGCAGGGGTGGTTGGAGAGTCTCGCCGGGGCCGATGACGTGGAGGACGCGGGAATCTCCTAGGGTGAGGGTGTGCTCCTGAGGCACTCTCTCGACTTGCAGTAGTAGTTGGAGTGTGTGATGGAGGTGGTAAGCGGTATACTCTTTGGCCGGAGGTGGAGCCGATTTCGGTCCCATATTTCACGCTTGTGACAGTTGCTTGGCCTGCAAAACGTAATTGTATTAGTTAGCTATCAGTGCCACATGTACGGAGTATATAGTTGATTGTCCACATACACAATGGACAAGCAGGACGCTGCTGTAGCCAGCTTAGGAGACATAAAAAGTCGAAGCTAGCATGCTTGCAGGGCTGCGCGGCTGCTGCCTCGGTGATCTGCTCGAGACAGATCACGCAAGGATTAAGGTGGACGTCATCACTGTTGGACTGGGTGTCAGCCACCTCATCTAGGGTTTTGCGGAGGATTTCCTGCTGCAAATCGACATCCTGTGCCATGGGAGACAAAAAACACCTGCAACTCTTCGATATCGTCAAGATGTTTTTCTTGATATCGAATGTCTGGAATCAAGAGGGAGGACGACGTTGATGAGTAAGCAGGATAAGACTCGTCCCTTTTTTGGCTAGTGAAACCACGTGATCGACCAGATAGGCAAGAATGCTGAGGCTGATCTCCAACTTGTAAAATTACCTAATCCGGTAATCATGGCTAACCATCCGGCATCAAACTTCAACCATCTTCAACACGGCGGAGACGGACAGCGGCAGACCGAACAGATCCTCGCTGCAGCACTGTGTGGTATATCTCTCCACCTCGCCCTTCCTGTGCTATATCATGTGATGCTGAGATCTGCTAGAGCTGTTGTTTCCGCACGATTCGCAAAGTATTCTAGGATGGCTACTCCGATGGTGAGCGGGCCCTTGCACAGCGAGGGCCGAAAATCTACATATACCACTACGGCGCTCAAACGATGGTCATGCCAAAGCGGTGGCGAACTACCTGGTAGGAGCTTGCTCATCACAACAACTCGTTGCTGTTCAGACTCACAAAACTAATTAATTGTGGCATTCATTCATAGCTGTCGCCCAGGTCAAAGCCATCCATGTCTACGATTTTGATAATACCTGTACGAGCCCGCATTTATATTCCTCCTTGAATGGAGAACCCCAAGGCTGACTAGATGTTTCTTCCTCTTCTCAGTATTCTCGAGTCCCCTTCCAAACCCGCAGCTATGGAACGGCCCGACGATTGGTTTTCTTTCTACCTACGAATGTTTTGCTAATGGTGGTTGGTGGCATGATCCCAACATTCTTGCGGCTACAGGAAAGGGCATGGAAGTAGAGGAGACTACAGGGTGGAAGGGATGGTGGAATGAGCAAATAGTACGTGTGCCAACATTAATATTGATACATACGGAACACCACTACTTACACATGTTTAACAGGTACAATTGGTGGAGCTTAGCATGCAGCAAAAGGATGCACTTACTGTTCTGCTCACTGGACGGGCAGAAGGTCCATTCGAAAACATTATCAAACGGATGGTGAAGAGCAGAAAACTAGACTTTGATTTAGTCTGCCTAAAACCAGAAGTCGGCCCCAATAGCCAACGGTTCTCCTCAACAATGAACTTCAAGCAAACTTTTCTGGAAGATCTAGTTCTCACCTACAAACATGCCGATGAGATCCGAGTATATGAAGATCGGATTAAGCAGTACGTTCTATCCGTTATTATTATTTTACTGAACCAAAATCTCACCCTTGTGTAGTGTTAAAGGGTTTCGCGAGTACTTTGAAAAGCTCAATCGATCTTTACAACTTGGCCCACCCTCTACCCCACGGAAACCCATTAATGCCGAAGTTATTCAAGTTGCTGAGGAGGCTGCTTTCCTCCCCCCCGTCGCCGAAGCCGCTGAGGTCCAGCGGATGATCAACTCCCATAATAAGGTTTTAACTTCGACGTCGGGTAATACAACCAAATCGCCATACGGACGGTTAAGGATAAAACGCACAGTTTTCTTCACAGGGTATCTCCTATCCAATACAGATTCGTCCCGTATCATAAATTATGTTTTAAACCCATTGATACCTCCTAATATGCCCGATTCGAACGATATTAAGTACATGGCCAACTCCATCCTGATTACGCCGCGCCCAATATCAAACTCCATTCTTGATAGAGTCGGCGGCATGGGGAAGACCGTGCGCTGGCGAATCACCGACACAGGCGTGTTTGAAAACAAACTATGGGCCGCTAGGGTAACACCAGTCCTAGACTCAGAAATCATCTACACCGAAAACCCAGAGCCACTCATGGTCCTCGCCATGCGCAAGGGCGCACGGCCCGCGGACGCGAACCGGATCCGTAACTGGCAACCTGTCATAGAGGACAACGCTCTCGTCTTCGACGCAACCGTCGGGCAGAAGATGGCGCTAATGATCGAAGAGGAACACCCGGATGAAGGCGAGTGGGAGACGCTACCGAAGAGTAACAATAAACGTAGACTTGTCCAGCAAAACCTCCGGGATGACGAAGGCGCGCCGCTACCGTCGTACTTGAGGGACTGGAACAACAATAACAACAACAGCCCAAACAACCCTAACTTGCGAGACCGCGAGCCGGTTCCCCGCAATTACGCGCCACATCACCATGTTCATGTACCCCATGGTCCTAGTCATGGCCAGCAAGAATTCCCACCTTACCATCGGAACAATCCCCCCTATTCACGCCATCATGGCGAGGGCGGCGTTGGCGGTGGCGGTAGCGGTGGCGGTGGAGGTGGAGGTCGACACTATGGAGACGAAGGAGGAGCTCCCCCTCGCCGCGGTGGAGGCGGCGCAGGCTCTAATTATCGAGGAAGTCGCGGACGTGGTCGCGGCGGACGTGGACGGGGACGTGGTCGTGGAGGAGGAGGGGGTGGTGGGCGAGATGGCCCACCTGGTTCCCATCAATATCGGTCACTAGATGACCATGCAGCCGGCGGCGGCTCGGGCGGCGGCGGTGGTGGGCATGATGGGCATGGCACGGGCGATGAGAGGGGCTTTGGAGGGGGTGGGGGCCCGGTTATGAATTATTGATCTCTGGGTACTACTGCTTTGCTTTGTTTTCCTCCTACACAAAAATTAATGGGTTTGTTCGATGATCTTTCTTCATTTTTCATTTCCTTTGCATTGTCCCATTACGTATACTATTCTCTACTATTCTTTCTCCACTACGTATGAACTTTCAACTCAGCCCCCTTTCCCCCCCCCCCCCCTTCCCCCATCCAAATCCATATCTCCGAGCGCAAAAAAGCCCACACCCTCGATTTTCTGCTTCCCTCTTTTTGAAGTCCGAGTTCGTATGAAATGTCTTTCCTATTTCCTTTTTTCTCCTATGTATATATATATCTTGGTCTTCCTCGTCCTCTCTCCTATTTGTTTTTTAACTATCTCATATTTTCCAATATTTATATAGCTTCTTCATAGCTTAACTATCAACGCTGCCTTTAAGTTATATATATTCCACCCAAACAACAACCACTTAAAACTTATTTGTATAAATAAGACTAAAAAATAACAGAAAAGAAAAGAAAAGAAAGAGCAGAAGCAGAAGCACAACACTAAACGAGCGCCCTTGTTGTGCTGAAATGCTTCCAATTCCCTTCTTGGAAATATTTTATGTATAGGTGGAAGAGGTCAGAAAGAAAGAAAGAAAGAAAGAAATATGGCGGGCACCAAAGTCGTAGAGTCTTAAAGAACTACAGTCAAGTTAAAAAAAGGGGCCCGCCGGGAGAAAAAGGGGCCAAATGTTACATACAAAAAATTGTTTTGTACAGGTGGTTAATCACACATATTTTACACGGCATCTGATAAGCAGTTAAAAAAAAAATTTCGGACGTTTCCCAGCTCTTTTCATTTATCAATTCAGTTCAAAGACAGGTAGATAAATGGCTTTCCATTCCATATTCCATGTTGTTCATGCCCATTATTCCCGTTCCATAAATCATTCCCATCATTGTATTCATCACATCATCGACCCAACCAACGTTGCCCCTTTTCAAAAAAAAAAAAAAAAGAAAAGAAAAGAAAAGGTAAAACAAATGACAAGAAAAGTACAAAATCCGCCAATAAATCTAAAACAGAAAATGACAAAAAAGAAAACCCAAACCCCAATAAACAAATAAAAAATATATCAGCCATCCGTCAAACTCGTCAACAAACTAATACTCAAAATCATCGCCAACAAACCAATCGTAACAATAACAAGAAACGCAAACGCAAACCAACCCAGTATCATCGCCGACGTCCCCACCCCGCTCCTCACAACCCCATTCCCCAAATCCTGCGCGATCGTACTGGCCGCCACAGACGCTGTATGCTGCCACAGCACGGATACGAGGATAAATACCGCCGAAACGAAAATCAGCGCTAGACTCGCCTGCGAGACGGGCCGGGAGGGAAACTGCTTCACCTCGAGGTCTTCGCCGTTTTCGCCCACCTCGTTGTGCCAAGAGGGGAAGGTGGCGAGGAGGAGGAAGCAGAAGAAGGCGAGAATTATGGCGACGATTCTGGTTTATAGAGTTAGCGCGTTCGCAAATTTATATCTATATATAGACAAATATTGGAAAAAAAAAAAAAAAAAAAAAAAAAAAAAAAAAAAAAGGCAAAAGGGGGTTCCAACGTACATCAAATACGGAAAAACAACCGCGTCCTTAAACGTCGCCGCAACCCACACTAGATTCAACGGATCTTCCTCGGACTGTAAGATATCCGCCAGCGCGGTGGCGTTTGAGTTACAGATGAACGCGCCGCCGGTGGGTTGGACGCAGATGCCAAAGTAGCCCACACGCACCTCGACCTGTGCGCCGCCGACGATGTTGTTCATGGCGATGTTGATGGATGGCGCGACGATGGCGGGATCAATGACTGGCTCATATTTTTCGTAGAAGAGGGATATTAGGAAGATTGTGGGAATTTCCGGGGAGGAGGAGGAGCAGCCGGCCAGGAGGAGGGCTGCAAGGTGTTTGTGCATGTTAGCGCTCTTGCCTTTTCCCTTTTTTTTTAAAGGACATTTTATACAATGGGAATGGAGACTTACATAGTAATATTATAGCAATGCCAATGAATACCATGAGGACATGGTGGTAACCGATAAGAGGTAGGAATTCTACAACGCTCAAAATATATAGTTAGTTAGGCAAGTCCTTCGAATTTCCCTTCATCTCTTCCATCATCAGACCCGTTGTGAATACAACAGGAGCCCAGGCTCACGATACTCATTCAGTCCCTCTCCCTCCCCTCCCTGCCCTCGGGCATTATAACTTGAACAGTAAAATGGAAAGAGGAGACCACTCACGGAGGAACCACTGGGTAAATTTTAACTCCGGCATCTTGGCGCCGGTCTCTTTTTTGCCCTAGCCTAGGTTCCAGTTGCCGGCGGGAGTTGGCTATGGCGGTATATAGCCTAGCTTCAGTCCTCACCTCAACGTTCGCAGGACACAACACAGAGACAAAGGGAAAAAAAGACCCAACCGCCTTCAGCGGAATGGGTTCTAATAGTCTCTCGTTTCCCTCGAGATGTTTTTCGCTTTCCCTTTGGCTTATAACCCTGTTTGGATGTGCGGTCCCAAGCACAAGTCCTGAGCGACAGCGCGCTCCCCGTTTCTTCTCTGTGGCGCAGACCCTGGAGGATACGCACTCGATCGGTTCTCCAACAGAACAACAGGGGTGTATGTAAAGGATAAGGATATGGCTTATCTGCTCTCGGATCGAGATATCTGATGCGACAATCACACCACTCTGTTACGTTTGTGCACAGAACAGAACTTATTTTGCAAATCAGCCTTCCCACTTCTTACTTAAGAGAACCCGAAAGTGGCAGTCTATAGCTTGCGGAACGATTGTCGAAAGAGAGTGGTTTATCTCTTGCTTGTGCTAGGAAGGGTGTAGTGCTCCCCGTAAATAGGTCAGAGAGGATAAGGATGGGTGAGTAGGGGTAGTTGTTTGCTTCTTGTAGCCCTTTGGGATGAAATATGTTTGTTAGACAGGGTAGCACGGCAAAGCGCAGAGAGCAGAGAGCAGAGTCTAGGGATGGGATGGTGTATAGATGTATATGTATGGAGATGTGGTGGGTCGTAGGAGGGTAAGCGGAGAAGATGGGGGAGAAGGTGGATATGTATGTATGATGTATGGAGGAGATAGAGGGGAAGATAAAGAGAGAGAGAGAGAGGGGGGGGGGAGCGAATATCCCCTTATCTCATTGAAACAAACGAGTGGATTTTGTATTTAAGAAAGATATCCCCAATCCAAGTTTAGAGTTTTCGTCTTCTATTTCTTCGGCGGCGTCGGTCGTCAAGTCAGGATGTACTATACTTGGGATAGGAGTACGGAGTACAGCGTATGCGGAAGGAAAGAAAAAGAAAGGAAGAGAGAGAGAGAGAGAGAGAGACTTCCCACCCCCATTCGCCTAAGAGGAAACACGGACGGATAGAAGGATTAAAGAAAAGGGAAACTAACCAGACCAATCGTAATATTCGTGGTGGCTGGAGCAATGGGAAAAGATGAGGTTGGAGATCACTCACAGTCCATCCCGTTTCGCATCCAAAAGGGCGGAGTGGTTTTTGCGGTGGCTGGGGCTTGTTTGTTTTGTTTACACCCGCCGGTTGCTGCGGTAACTGGCTGACTAAACCTCTCACCGCCCGGCAGAATCCCCGCAAAGGGGCTTAGTCAGCGCCTCCATCGGTCCATGACGTCACTCCACGCCGTCGAGAGGAAGGAAATATGAATCAATTATATAATATTTCTTCAACAAGTTTACAATAGTTATTATGTATTTCAACAACTCCAGACATCCTTATGTCTATTGGAAAAAAAAAAAAAAAAAAAGGGAACTAACACCTGCCAATCTGCTCCATACAATAAAATCTCGTTGGGAGTATCCACCAACAGTATCGTATCCTCATCCCATCTCTTCTCGTCCAGGCCATAGATATGGTCTCGGAGGTCTAGCTACGGCATTGATCGCGTGCTCCTCACTCTCGCACCGCTTCAGTCGTGCGAGTACTTCCAGGGAAATGTGTGAGTAGACTCTCACGTCCGGGGCGACATACCAATATTGTAGTATATCGCTGACACTGCGTAAGGCGTCACTGGAGATGTAGTGGTGATTCACGAGGTCGTAAACCATGGTATACCTATTTTGGCAGATGAGCAAGTGATTGTGTTCTAGAAATTTTTTTTTTTTTTAAAAAAAACTTACACCCACGGCCGAGTGTCCCAGCCAGAAGGTATTTGATATTCGCCACGGCCCTCATATTCGAGTAGCTTTGCGATGTGCGCGACGGTGACTGGTTTTGCGTCTGCGATGGCCGCGGTGGTGTATGGGTCTATTGTTGCGATGTCCGCGACGGTGACTGGGTTTATTGCTGCGATGTACGAGACGGTGACTGGATTTATTGGGGTGATTTCAAAGTCCCGGAACTCGAGGGCAGGGCTGCAAAAATGGTCATATTTCTGGTATCGGAGGATCCTATTCATCTGGCCAGGTTCAGCATGCATATTGATACGAACTGACGACGGGACATCACGATGAAGCAAGTAGATGGACCAATTATTGCCCAAGGTGTCAGGGGAATAAGCTGCACCGGAGATGTTGTAGATAGATTGTCAGACATGCATGCAATAAATACTTTTATAAGATGAGTGACCCCACGGTAAGGATGGATGGATCCTTTTGGAGCAATAAAAATACCTTCCAAATCCACCGCCACTCGGACGGATTTAATTGGGGTGTCCTCATTTAGAACAATACTGAAAGGAAAAGGAGGCATCAGAGGCTGCGGGACAGGCTCCATTTTGGGACGCAGTTGTCAGGCGTTATTTAGTTAGGTGCTGGTATAATAACCTTGTTGGATGGAAGTGGTACATGTACAATGGACAATGGACAATGGAGTATATAGCTCAAGTCCACAACCGTCTTTACATATTTAATATTGAAGATCGGCATAAAAATGTCATTGGAAGCACCCGCAATAGACAACGACTCCATGTTGGCGGTTTTACGGCACAAGACTTCTGCGGTTTATTGACGGATTGACGGATTTCCGACACGATGGCGGGCTCGGGACGTTGCGAGTTGGTGATAGATAGGCAAGTTCCCAGGAACAGAGTCTGTGGTATTTAGTTTAACAGGTTAGAGTCCCATCTGGGAATATTTAATCAGGCTGAACAGGTTTACAACCTTTTCCCATTCTTCATTGTCCTCAGCATATCCAAGAAACAAGAAGTTGGCATGTGGAATATTTAACTAAACATAGCTGTGGACAGTTCTATCATTGCTTAAATATTTCCTTTGACGACTGTGCCCTACAGCTAGCTACATAATAATAGACCTTGAAGATTCGTATGAAATTAATGACAATGAGGAGTCCACCGAGTTCATGCCTGCTGCCGTGAATATTTAAGAGGATTCCAAGATCCAAAACTGTCAGAATACCATCTCTTTGTTTGCTCCTCTCTCTACTCCGTACTGAGGATAACTTGGAACTTTGGCCCTTTAAATACTCTTTCTTGCCTTTAGGATCTTCAATAATTCCCCGATCTTTCACATTCCTGATCGATCGGGACTCGGGACTAAATATTCCATATCCATATATTCCATCCAAATCCAGTCGAGCAGGAGTATTTTCAGTTCACCCACCAACCCAGTGCAATCTATGCATGTCTTTCTCATCCAACAGCATACCAGCGTACCGGCAATGTCTGTCTCTTTGATTGAGCAAATCACTCAATCAGTCAGAGGTAATGACAATACTGTTATCAAAGTCAGTGAGGCTACAGCCGATTCCCTCACAATATTATTCCTGCTAGTTTTATTATTGGCAAGCTCTTTGACAATTTTGTACCTGGGAGGATTCTGCAGGAACTTTTACTCTCCAAGTTCATTCTTCTCATTATTCAACTGTTTTTCAAATAGAGAGTTCAATTTATTTAAATAATTTGGAGAAGTTTCAGATTATCAAAGATCAGTAACTTAAAAAAAAAAAAAAAAAAAAAAAAAAAAAAAAAAAAAAAATGAGAGAATAAATATATCTTATACATTGATAACATCTTGTAGTAGGAGGACTCTTGGCTGGTTAAAGCAGTTTGCCTCCAGGTAGTTAACTAGTTGTGCAAAGTCATTAACTTCTCATTATCTAACTGCAAGCCCGTAGAAGGTATGAGGTATTGAGCTAGCTAGGTCCACTCACTTGCCATAAAAGAAAAAAAATAAAAAAAAACTCCTAAGAACACCCAATCCTGATAGAATAACACCTTTATCCATACTGTAATATCAAAGAGGGAAAAGAAAAGAAAAGAAGAAAGAATAAAAATATCTCTAGAATCACAAACACTCACCTACCCACTACCACTACCCGTGAACAGAAACTGCTTAAAATCAACAGCAGCCCCTTTTTCTGTCTGCCTCCCCTTTTCTTCCCCTTCATTCAACACATCCACCTCCAACTCCACCTCACTCTCCCCTTCACTATCCGGAATAATCAAATCCTCACTCCCCCGACTTTGATGCTTCATCATCGCTGCTGACAAACACCGCTCTCCGCCGCCTCCAGGTCTAGAGTAGCAGGATCCGGAACGGGATGGGGTAACTCCACCATCATCATCAACAGCATCAACACCCTCCGACTCCCCTTTATTATTATCCTTTTCATCCCCACCCATTAGCGAAGTCTTTGCCGTCCGCAAAGAACCCATAGACTTCGACCGGTAGAGCGCAGACTGCCCCAGCCGCTGCAATGCGGTCATTCGGGACGGTTGCCGTTGCTGCCCCTGTGCAGTATGCGGAGCAGGGCTCTTCTCAATTTTCCCCCCTTCTCCTCCCACTTCTCCCTCGCAATGTTGATTTTGATAAACATGTTCATTTCCTGCCGCAGTCCCATGATCCGCCTCGGATCTCCTATTCGATTCGACATACCCAAATTTATCACGTAATCCCAAAGAACAAGACGAAGAATTCACACATGCATCACCATCATCAAGACCTTCGTCTTCATACTCCAACATCCTGGCAGAAAGTTGGGAGTCGCTACCTCCAGTCGAAATACCGGTCATCGCTTGCGTCAACCCAGTCGTAGTAGCCGTGGGTTCTTCCTCGGGAAAATTACGATTTAGTAGTGCATCAGCAATACTAGATCCTATATCTTCTATGGATTCTCCCCCCTCTTCAATTTTCGACTGCGTAATCGAAAGCCCGTCCTCAGACATATTATTTACCCCATCCGCATCCCGCGTCTCAGCCTGACTCACCCCGTCAGGAAGCTGCAACATGATATCCTCAACAACATTGTCTGAAAACACTCCAAAATCAGCTCTTTTAGCCTTCTTCGTCCGCGCCTTATCTGCATTACTAATCCCAGCTGAACCACTTGATTTAGCCCCGACTGTTGTACCCATCCCCGTACCCTTACCGGCACCCGCAAAGAATCGACTGCGCTTCTCAGTCCCCAACACCGCGGCTGCAGCCTCCGCCCCCGCTTCGTCCGCGTCAGAACACAGACGCTGCCGTTTTACAGGCTGGAATTTCGACACAGTCGAAGCACTGGCAAGAAACTTCTCCCTATCGCTGCTTAGCGGTGTTTTGGTCGTACGGGGCGGGAAAACCCGTGTGGAAGAGGTAGATGGGGAGGCAGTATTTGGCGGAAAGAAAGACGAGGTGGCCCTTCGGACATTCCCCCTCGTTGGGACCGAGCTGGCAACCCACGACCGTCTGGCATTTGCTTCAATAAGTCGCTGCTGACTAGGCGAAGGGGTGAGGCTGTTCGGATCCAGTTCACCCAGTGGAACGCGTTTGGGTGTGAAAAAGGAGTCTATCGGTTTGCTTTGTTTCAAATCTGTGGTGGATGGTAGTGTTTGTCGTCTGGAAACCAACAATCGCGATCTCTCTGGGTACGAGGGTTGTAAGTTTATGGGCTCTTTGGTTATGGGGTCCAGGTCTCCGCACGCAACTCCAATTGCCGTGTCGGGCTCGATATACGCGCCGACGAATGGCATGCTATCCAGGCTCGTATGTTCAGGGAGTGGGGAGAGCGTAACCAGCTTTCTAGCCAGAGGACAAAAGACTAACTGGTGCAAGAAGGTAAGTTCGGCCCTCTTGAAATCCTCCAGATACTGCGGCGGCACACGAGCACCATTCCCCTCAAACTGAAGCATCTTTAAAATCTTCTCAACGGTCTTGTACTTCCTGACATTCCGATACGCCGTTTTGAGCCCCATCTTCGGCAAGTTCGCAAGATAATCACAACCAGAAAGAATGCACATGAGCCGAAAATCGGCATCTGTCCAACCGATAAGACTGATATCGCGACACGCTGTGAAATCCCCCCGATTAATCTCCACGCAATCCCCATGCTTATCCAACTTAGACAGCAACCTTTTCGCCCCAAACACCAACAAATCCGAATCCTCGGAAATTATCCCATTGATCATCCCCTGTTTCTCAAGATATACTAGCTGCGCGTCGGCCTCATAAGGCGCAACGACATACTGGATCTTCAACTTCTTCAGCTCCTCAATCATCAGCCGAGCCATGTACGGCGTCACGTCGACAGCCTTCTGCAGCTCCTGGTGCGCTTCCGTCACCCGGCCCGAACGGTATAATTCCAAGCCAAGCTTCTTGCTCTCCTCGCGCCGCTGGGCTCTCGCTGTCTCAGTGCCGGCCTTGCTGGGGAGGTGATCACCATCGAAGACAAGGTAAGGGGTTACACCAAAGTAAAGCAGCATGCGGACGCGGTTCATGGCAAAGTCGACATATCTGGGGGATTATATTAGCTGAGTGTGGTTTTTACGGTCGTGGAAGAAGAAGAGGAAAATAAGTTTTTGAACTTTACTTGGTATTATGCTTATCGAGAGCGAGGTCGATGGCACACGCGACGGTACCTCGATGTAACCATCCATAGGCATCGACACCAAAAGTCTGGCCCTTAAATTTCCGCAGGTTACATGGCTTCTGGATAGATTTGAGGAGGCCGTGGAGCCCTTTAATTTTATGCAACAAAGCCCGAAGTAAGGTATGTTAGAAGGAAGCCAGAGCAGTACGGAGTAGAGTACTTAGGAGAGTTTCCCCGCACATTCCATTGGAATTAGAGAAAAGGAAATAATATATAGAAAAATATATACCTGTAATCCCCATCCTAACTCTGACAAAATCCCCCCTCCCCGCCTCGATATCTCGAGGGAGGTGCCCTAGACAATGTAGGAATCGGGGGTTTGTTTACTTCTGTACACACCGTGCAGGCGGGAGAGATTTCCAGCGCTTCAAGCCATGCGACTTTGGTTAACCAATTTCAGATCCAAAGAGGGAAAAAAGGAAAAGAAAAGAAGAAGAAAATTGACTTCTGTAATTAAAACATTGGAGGAGAAGGGAAGAATTGTTGATTGAATAGAATCTCCTTGTCTCCAGGCAAGTCAAACCAAGCGCTTGCTTACTCAACTCTTGTTGCACGCGCCGGGAAGACGCGACGGAGCTGGCTACGGTTAGTCATCCACCCTCGGCAGCGTGGTCACGTGGGGGCGCTCTCCTCCAGGGCTGTAACTACTGCCGCTTCTCACCGCGTTCGGTAGTTCTGCCCAAGCTGGAAATGTTATTACGCAGTACGGAGTAGATAGATTATTGAAGCTATTATTATATTAATAAGAAAAAGATAAGAAGAATGAATAATATTCCTGCGATATTTTTATTATAAAAGGAATTTTCTGCAAGGTTGATCTTAAATTTACTGGTTTTCCAACAGGAAGGACAAACAATAGGAATTGAAAAAGAAGAAGACCCAGCAAAATCCTATCAATCAATCAAACAGCCACAGCCCAGCTGCTTTATCGAAATTCCACTCCGTCGACAACAGGAAGAGAAGAAGAAATAACAAAAAATGGCGAGAAGCCTCAACAAAGTCCAGAAGCATATCTCCAAAAAGCGCGGGAAGGTGGATTCACTGCACGAGAACAGTCGCGATGCAAAGCGACTGCGACGGGCTGGCGGGAGGGAGCATAAATTGGCCGTCGCGGCTTCGGTGACGATGAAGGGGAGGCAGTCGTTTGGTATGTTCTCTCTTGTTTTTTTCTTCTTTCCTTTTGGTCTTTTTCGATAATTACTTTATCGTGGTATACAAAGTATTGTTATCGTAATAGACCATGATCACTAATTCTTTTTTTTTTTTTTTTTTTTTTTTTTTTTTTTTGGTTTACCTCCAGTGGACCGAGTTCATTTCTTCAAGGAAAACATCCCAGAGCCACCCGCCTCCATGTCGGATGGGGATATGGTTCAGTTGATTACAAGGTGCGCATTCATCATCAACAACAACAAAGTCCACTCGCATGTTATTGTTTCAAAGACATACTCATATATCTTTCAGACCTAATCTAATCAAACTGATATATTACAACAGATTCATCGCCCGCAACCAACCCGAACTAGATCAATTACAAAAAGAGCGACGGCCGGGCAGGCCACCGGTGAAGCGCGAGGAGATCCTCCGGGAGAGGATGGAGGCGGAGAATAGAGAGTTTGAGAGCGGCTTCTGGCTGCCGGATATGGGCGCTGAGGACAATGTGAAGAAACTGGGGGCGTGGAATGGGGAGTGGTCATCGATGAGTACGCTGGGGTTTGTGAGGGTGGCTAGGGATGGGACGAGGCAGCAGTCGATATTTCCGCCGAAGGGGCTGTCGTGATGTTTATATATAGATTTTACTAACCTCCGTTTAACGATATTCAGATTTGTTAGTTCTTTTCTTCTGCAATGTTTTGTCTGTTCTTGAAGATAATGTCAATTTCCTTCATTGATCTGCTATGAACCGAACATCATCGCTCCCAAAAGGAGCAGAGGACAGCATCCCTTGTATATGAAGTAGCGGTAGAATTCGATGTTGCCATTGCGCTTGATTGAACATCTCCTTTAATTTTTCGCAGAAGCAGCCTCAGGCATGGAGCTTATCAGTCTATCAGGCGCTAAACCCGATCCAGCCAGCTCCAGCTAAATTTTTCCGGGTTTCCGTTTCCGGATAATTAGTCCGGGCAATTATTAACAGGAAAACCTCTACCAGAATAATATAACGACGACGTTCAAAGCTCCAACCCTCTACACTCACAACCTCACTTAATTCTTCAACTCTACAACACTGTAACTGTAACCTTATATACTACCTCTATTCACAATGTTCCCCCTCCGTGCTTTCACCCGCTCGGTTCCGCGCATCTTCTCCAGATCCATTGCCATCTCTGCCAGAACCGCCGCCCCAAAACCAAGCATCTTCCAGTCCACATGGATCCGTCCCAGATATATCTTCCCTGCTACTGCTGCTTTCTCCACAACTAGAGCAAGATGGGAGCCTGCAGGACAGTGTGGGTGGTTGTCTTCTATTTACTCGTTGTTTTAGATGAAGAATTGAGAGAAAGGAAGAAATTGGCTAACGTGTCGCATTGTAGCTGATCTCGAACTGGCGGCCAAGCTGAATGAGGAAATGAAGTATGAGCAGAACAACTCCACTGTTGAGACACCACCGGAGTCGGTGCAGTATTATATTGAGAATAGCCCTTTTGAGGTATGTTCTGATTTTTTGCGACCAACAACTGGATTCGAATTTCACTGACATTTTTCAACATCCAGATTCTACACAAGGAAGGCGAAGATGAAGTTGTCCTCACAAGGACATTCGGAGATGAGAAGTACGTAGAGAAACCAAATACACCACGTTATTCAATTACCAAGATAACTCCCAACTAACACCTACCCAAAAGCATTCGAGTTGCATTCACCCTCTCAGACATCCAAGATCTGACCGAGAGCGAATCTGCCCTGGGCGACGAGCATGACGACCTAAACACCCCCATCAACCAAAGACAGGACAGAGACGGCCAAATCCCCGTCGCCCCTGAGGACAAAATCTCCGCCGCCGACCAAGAAGACGCAGACCTTGAAGACGACCAAATCCCCAGCTACCCAGCCCGCGTCAGCGTCACCATCGAGAAGAAGGGCAAGGGCGCCGTGCAGATCGAAACCCTCGCCCAGGACGGTTACATCCAGATCCAAAACGTCGGCTACTTTGCCAAGGCCGATCTGGCGAATGCGGCCAGCGCTGAGAAGGAGTGGACACGCCAGAGCCTGTACAGTGGCCCACCCTTCGGCAACCTCGATGAGGACCTGCAGACTCTGATGGAGCAGTATTTGGAGGAGAGAGGAATTGACAATGCGCTTGCCGTGTTCGTGCCGGAGTTTATCGAGTTTAAGGAGCAGCAGGAGTATATTCGATGGCTGAAAAGTAAGTCTTTTTCCCCTCCTGTTATGATCTCTCAATTTCTTACGTATATCTTAAAAATTGCGGATGTACCTGAGACTAACTTTGTTCTTCTCTTTTTCTTTTCCTACACAGACCTCAAGACTTTCATCGAGGCTTAGATGGCGAGGATCTCTTGCTCTCCGGATTTCCTAGCTGCATAAGTAGCCCAACCGCAAACGCCGGCACCGCTTCCCTGTGCTGTAACAACCCCTATTCCTCCTTCTAATCCCATCCACCTCCTCTATGTAAAATGACACCCCGAACCCCCCATTAAACATATTAAAATCTCATAAAACCTTCACCTCTGTATTTTATTATAACTATTCTCTTTCGTACTTTGTTAGGCAAGTACGAACGTCAAAAGAAAGATCATTTTTTTGTGTGTATTTTATATTCATTATACGGAGTATATAGTTCATCTTCCTCATCAAAGTATCCATGTCAATGTTACTATTTTTCCTTTTCTAATTCTCCCCATCCTTTCTCTTTTTACGGTAAACAAAACTAGGGGACATGATGCGTTGTTGGGGGTAAGTTGTAAAAGGGTTGAAGTTATGTGCAGTATTTTGGCTCAACCACCGGAAGATAGAAGGAAGAACAAGCAAAAGAAATTTATACGATCCATTGACGTTCAATGATATAAATTTTGAAGGGGCTGATAACTTGGTTTTCTAATTTCTGCACTCCGTATGCACGCAATCTATTTGCGCGTTAGAAGAGAGTGGGGCTCAGTTTTGGGCAAAACATAGGTCGTCAAAGGGCACTCACTCCACGCTGTATCAAAAATCCTTTATTGGCTGATACATATACATACGCGCCTACTTATAGAAATATTTAGGGGTAGAAGATACTTGAGTAACTCAATTCGAATCCGTTCATTTGCTCGCTGCTGGGATCTAAACTCCAATCCCGCCCAAAGGAAATAAAAGAGAAGACCGGAAAACTCCCTCCCAAATCATACCCTGTGCAGAACTCATCTGATCACATATAATAAGAATAACAGCGAAACAGAGCCCTTGCCATCAAGTTAATAACTCGCATGAATACCCTCCCCCCCAAAAAAAATTCAAACAAACCATCCATCCCTGCTCAAAACTCCATAGCACTCGCCCCACTCTCTTCCGCATCCTCCCGCCCCCTCTTCCCCATCCCTACCCCCGTCCTCTCCGCCTTAAGCAGGCCCGCTACGAACGAGCGGAAATAATCAATATACGGCTTTAAACTAGTCTTCTCGTAGTCCTGCACCTTCCTACCCCTCCCGTCGATATCAGCGGTGCTGGACGGCAAAACATCCCCAACCATCTGTTCGTCTTTCACAGCAGCACCGTTGCTATTAACATCGTTAGCATCGTCATCCCTCAACTCATCCCCGCCCTCCCACGCATTAATCTCCGCAATAAGCTCTCCGACCGTCGGCACGCGCAGCGGATCAAACTGCTCAACCCGCCGAATATCAATGGGCACACACACGCGGCCCGTGCCCGGGTGCACGACGAAGGGGCTCTTGAGTAGGTGGATGAGTTTCTTGCCGACCTCCGCGTCGAGGCGCGGGTAGGTATATTCCAACGCGATGTCCTGCTTCGCCTCTAGGAGCGCTTTGGTGTCTATGGGTCTATTACTGCTGCTGGCGCCGCCTCTCCCCTTCCCATCCTGCTGCTCAGCGCGCGACTTGGTAGACTTGGCTAGGGCGTCGATGTCGTTCCATTTGTTCACGCTTGAGCGATCGGGCGCCGAGTCCCATTTCCGCCGCAGCGCGTCCGCGAGCGGTTTATCAGGGAGCAGGGAGAGGAGCTGCTCCGCCTGCTCCGGTTTGCTGAATGTGTCCTGCTCAACGAGGATTGTGGAGGCGAAGTACGGCTTGAGGATTTCCAAGCTGCGCGCGATGTGCGGGTGCAGGGGGCGTTTGAGGTTGACTTTCTTACCGCTCTGGCTGCCGCCGCGGATAGCTTCGAGGTAGCCCGTGATCGCCTTGCGGCGGTCATCGGGCAAGTCGCGGGCGCGCCGGTCGCAGACCCAGGCGTGCGCACCGCGGCGGCCTGAATAGACCCAGAGGATATGCTCGAAGCCGAAATCCTCGCGCAGGGCTGCGTCAACGACTTTGATGGCCATGGTGGCGAAGGACCAACACTTTTGGCAGATATTGGCCTTCGTGCAGCAAGTGCGGATGTCGTCGTAGTCTGTCAGATCGATGTCAAAGACTAGTTCTTTGGAGACGGGTCTGAAGCGGCTGGCTTTCCGGAGAGACTTGCGGTCGCGCGGGTTTGTGCTGTAGATGGGTCCGATTTCAAAGCGGGTAGGTTTTAGGTGGAGGATTTCTTTGCGGAGGCTGTTTTGATCCTGTTTAGTATGTTATTTCTCCAGGTGTAGCAGTTCGTTTTTGCTTCTTTTTTTCTTTTTAGGTTGTTTACATACAGCTCTGCGGTTGGGAATGATTGATAACGTAGAACGGCATTGTTTTGAAGTGTGAATGAGAATTCTCGGTTCCCAAAGTCCGGCGAGGGTTTCACGCCGTGGTTTAGCCATTGGAAGAAGTATCTAAATGGAAAGAGGCGTAGGTAGAAAGCGTGCATTATGTCTGAGTCTATTTGCACTGTAGCGGGTTCAGATGGTCTAGACACACGATTTAGATTCGAATTTGCGCAGCGTGAGAGGTTGTAAGGAAGCATACATACTTGGGAGGCGGCTCTGGGGAGCTTTCAAGCTTTGAGGTCGCAGCAGCGCTGGACGCCGGAAACTCTTCGTCATCATCGTCGCTATCGAATAGATCTTCTAGTTTGATAGCCTCTATGGAATTGGGCTTTGCGGCTTCTCCTTGTTGCGCGGTGGTCGCCGCGGAATCATCATGGTTTCCACTTTCAGGTTTGACATGGCCAGTATCTGACTCCGGACCATCTGGTAAAATATCATTGTCTTCTTTGTCGGAATTTGACATAGTGGGCAGCGTAAGGTGATTGCTTGTGGTTGCAATTCTGCAACTGTCCGATGTCTGATATCTGATTTCTTTTTGCCGGTCGTGGGAGACGCGACAGAGACGCGACGCGAAATCCTATTAAACCTGACTAGGTAATTTATGCGCGCGTTTACCTGCCGCTTAATTTCAGTGCTACTATTGGCCGATCTAGCGCCATGGAGCACCTTTTGGCAACTTCATCGACGCCCGAAAAGGCAATATTAACTTCATCTTCAACTTATACAAGCTACAAGACGTTCGTTGCTGTCTGAACAACTTGGTAGCGCTGATTTGGAGCTACACCTCATGCTACAGGCCTGCCATCGGCCTATAATAAGCTGCTGACATTCCCTGGTGCTAAAATAGCCGTTCACTTCTCCAGGTTACTAAGTTTTGCACTTTCGCCTGTTTATGTACCCGTGTGTATTCTGCGCCCATCCCATCATGACGTTGATCATATAAGCCGATCACTTCCTGAAGGCTAAATGACAATGGCTCCTGTCGTGATTTTTCGGGGTTACAGACCCCTGTCCGCTGAACTAACCTAAAACCTGAAGATCGATCATAGGGCGTGGCGTTGCTCCGTGTCCGCCGATAACCGGTGATTGGAATCAGAGCTCGGAACTCACTCAGGCATGGATTGCCCCGTTCATTCAAACACCAGAACGCAGTCTACACGTGTTTATGCAGGCCATTTGGGATGGTGTCTGCTTGGATTTGTAGTTACTGCACGGACGGTTTTCATCATCTCCAATCAGGTCTGACAAACCAGCCTCTAACCACCCTACTGCCAGACATTTATCCCAGTGCTAAACCTAATCAAGGATCAGGAAGAGCCCTATCTTAGTTCTTGGAGCTGGACAGGTTCCGCCCTTCCGAATGGGTTAAATAGCGCTAAGGAAATTGGAGATGTCGGTGACTCGAAGGGCAGGGGAGGAATATAATGCTTATTCCCTGAGCGAAAATTGGCGCTTGATTTTTTGACTTCGACATCTTTGGGAGCTGGATACATTCCAATCCGCTTCAAATATTTTGACCTTGAGCGACGTGGAGCTTGGTGCTCTTAATTAAGTTGATATCAAAGTATCTTGATATCGCAGCAGGGACGCTCCTTTCTTTCATTCCCCCCCGTTAGCAATTTTCCACAATGAGCAGAACCTCGGTGCAGCTATCACTCCCGAGCACATCTCACCATGCCATTATAAGTCCTCTACCTACAGCAAACTCCGGACGTCTCGTGGCGCCTGCATTGGTTGGCTCTAATAATGGATCACAAATGGAATTGGTTCAAATTCCTCAAACGGCTGAAAATATCCCCAATAATGAGGGGACACGGCCTGGCCGTATGTCCAAAGGAATGGCAGCCGTGATAATCATCTCAGCGTCAAGCATGGTTTTCATGAACTCGGTTTTAAACGGCATGTTGACAGTAGGATTGCCATCAATTGCTCGGGATACCAATTTGCCCGACAGTCTCATGCTATGGTGAGGCATTGCCATTTCGCGGTCTATCCTAGGATTTTGTGTTCTTGGTATTAATTTACATCTTCAACTTCCAGGCCAGCATCGGTTTTCGGCCTGACTTGTGGCTGCACGCTTCTGCTCTCAGGGTCCATCGGGGATCTTATCGGCAGCCGCACCGTCTACCTCACAGGTAGCCTTTTGCTTGCCGCGTTCACTTTAGGCTGTGGCCTGGCAAGAACCGGTATCCAGCTGATTATGTTCCGCGCGATTTCCGGAATCGCCATATCGATGTGCCTACCCGCTGCTGTTAGCATTATTACCACCTCATTCCCCACGGGCAGGGGGAGAAATATTGCTTTCGGCTGTCTGGGCGCTGCTCAACCAGTGGGCTTTTCTATGGGCATTTCCCTCGGGGGTGTACTGGTTGATACCATTGGCTGGCGATATGGGTTTTACATTGTCACTTGTGCCACCGCCCCGTTCTTTCTCCTTGCCCTCTGGGGAATTCCCAAAGATCCTCGCAAAACAGCCCCTGTTACACGCCAACGCTTAGTCTCTGAAATTGACTGGGTAGGAAATGTTCTCATATGCGCCTCTCTCGGAATGTTCTCCTACAGCTTCGCGTACGTCAAGCGGCCCCCACTTCCCTTCCAGCCTTATATTCAATATATTATCTACATAAGCCATTATTACTAACATCCCCTTTTCTAGTATAATGTCTGGCGGCATAAAGTCTCTCATCCGTCCCGGGAATCTAGTTGTCCTCATTCTATCCGCCCTCTTCCTCGTCGCCTTCATACACTGGGTAATCCGCCAAGAATCCCTCAACCGCGTCGCCCTAATCCCACCGTCCCTCTTCCGCTCCACCCAAAGTAGCCCCAACCGCGCCCGCAACTTCTCCGCAGTCTGCATCTCCGTCTTCTTCACTTGGGCCATCTTCAACGGCCACCAATACTTTACAACCCTCTACTTCCAAAAGGTCCAACACCTCTCCTCGCTGGAAACATCCGCCCGCTTCGTCCCCATGATCGTCTCCGGCGCCCTCGCGAACATAATCACAGGCCTCGTCGTCGGCCGCATCCGCGCTGATATCCTCTGCGTCGGCACTGCGGCTGTTTCAGCCATCGCACCGCTCCTAATGGCCTTCGCTGACCCGTCGTGGTCCTACTGGACAGCGGCGTTCATTGCGACAGGAGCAATCCCGATATTGGCAGATACTCTCTTTACAATTTCCAATCTCGTGATCACGTCTATTTTCCCGCCGAAGACGCATGGGTTGGCTGGTGGGGTGTTTAATACCATCTCGCAGATTGGGATGTCAGTGGGGCTGGCGGTGACGGCGGTTATTTCTAATGCAGTGACGGAGGATGAGAGACGACAGCTTGCGAGTGGTGGTAAGGTTGGCCTGGGCCATGATGAATATGCCTTGTTGAAAGGGTATAGGGCCACGTACTGGACATTGTTCGGGGGGAGTGTTATTATTGTCGCGCTGACTTGGTGGGGATTGAGGCGTATTGGGAAGGTTGGCCTTAAGACAGAGTGAGCGGGGGAGCATCATTCAAAAACTTTTTTTTTCTTTCTTCCTCTCGCCTAGGGGTGTGGATGATTGCCTTTCGACGCAACATTTTATGCTCCCTTATGCATATTACTTGCATTTCTTGTGATCTTGAGATATGGAGGATGAATCGGCTAGCGGGAAGTTTGGCTTTCAATTTCAGAAAAAGGTAATACAAGGATAGATCGTGTTCAGAAGAAGAGTTGAAAGTTTTGTTTATAATAATCAGGTTCATTTATTCATCGCTAAGGTTATCTAAATTGACCTCTCAATTAAACATGGAGGAAGTGGGTATATAAACATAATGCATCCCCGTACCTAGGCTCTAGACACGGCGACGAGCAGGGGTCTTTCCTATATTCGTTTCAGTGTGCCTCAACTAGTTTACTGCTAACCCGAGTTTTCTCCTTCAGCAAACCCTGAGGTTCCTCTGCAACCTGATCATTTTGAGCCTGCTCATCTCTGATCTTCTGAAGGAGTGTTGGATACTATATTGGCAAAATTGACAAGGGGGTCAGTATCAGCTCTCTATGTATAGATAAAACAAAGTTAGCAAGGAATATACACATACCCAACGCTCTCCAACGTCTGGATGACTCTTAATCCGATTCATCAGTGTCGCTTCCCCTAGATGACCCCATCTTCCCTTCGAAAACGTAAACTCAATATCATCCTGCCGGATGCCGTTGCGCTTGATAACCTCCTCACGCAGCGCTTTGACTTGCGTGGGCACGTCCATGCTTTCGAACGTAGCGTCGTAGCTTACACCCTGGAAGAAGGGGACGCTGTAGCGGGCACCACTACCCCGCGCGGGGCTTAGGACGCGGTGGGTAGTGCTACATAGACAAATATAATTAGCTAGAGTCGCTTTCGGGGATCAAAGGGACGGGAAAAAAAAAAAAGAAAAGAAAAGAAAAGGGGGGGAGGATTAAAAGCCCACCTCTGACAAACCCCCTGCGTCATAGCCTCCAACCCCTGCCCAATCGCTACGACAAACGTCCCATCAATGGGCGGACAATCCACCCACTCCCCCCGATGATTCTGCACCTGCAATCCACGATGGTGGCTCGCCTGCAATAAATAGCTCGTAAGCATACTATCCTTATGCGGGCCCACGCCCTGGCTCTCACCCTCATCCCCTTCAATGCCCAGCTCTTGCAGATCCGGATACTTGACAATCTTCAGCTTGTGCTGCTGCTCCTTGTCGAAGAAGCGCTCAAAGGCGTTCGCGGGCAGCCCGATCGCTTCTGCCACGAGCGAGATGAATTCCATACTGATCGCGCCCATCTTGGTCATGTACTGTTCGTAGACGGGGCGGAAGTGGGGAAGGGATGTGGGATCAGGCCATTGGTTCGGGGCTAGGAGATTGTGGTAGAGAGGGTCGGATGGGGAGGGGGTGGGATGTGTGGTTGAGAGGTCTATTTGTTCGCGCCAGTCGGTTTTGAAGCGTGTTATTTCGTTGCCGAGGCGGGAGTAGCCTGTTTAGAAGGGATGGAGGGAGTGTAATCAATTATTAGCCTTTCGGTTCATTTGGTTTTGCTTCCTATATATATCATCTTCAAGCGGTGGTAGCAATATCATACCCAGAAAACTAGGCGCATTCTTCATCTCAATCTCCAACTTCTTCTCCTCCGGTAGCTCGAAAAATCTCTTCCCCTGCTCAATAACCTCCTGTATCAGCTTATCATCGACGCCTGTGTTCTTGATATAGAGGAACCCGACTTCCAGAAGCGCGTGGCGGAGTGAGTCAAGGAAGGCCGGCTTCGTTGCGGGGTTGCGCGCCTCGGAGAGATCGAGGATAGGAATGGAGCTGAACGACATTGTTGATATATATGTTTGTATATATGATGATATCAAAGAATGTGAGTGGACGAGCAGGACATGCTTCTTATATGTGTTAGACAGACGGGATTAAACCCATACCCGGTGGTGTCATTGCGGGTAGGAATTGCGGGCGCATTTAGTGAGGGGATTTGGAACTAAATATGACGACAGATTTATTTATCCTCGGCCGGGAATAGAAAAAGTTTATATTGTTCGCCGCCGAAGACAAGGGACAAGGACCTGGCAAAGCCGAAGCTGGTATATAAAACTGGCATTTATCTCAGATAGCACAGCGCAATTTATATACAAATGAAATCTAACAAGTTAACTCAGGAGAGAGCCGCGGATTTGCAAAGAAGTTGCCTGTATTAGAAACTTTTTCACAGCCCGCTAGATATTTAACTTAGCCAAATCCTATTGAAAAGAAAAACACCGCATCCTCAATTCAGTACACGAAGGCCTTGCCATCTATTCTATATTTATATGGCAACCGTATTCGCACTGGTGTTGAAATGTTTAACAACATCCTCAAACAACGTATCAACACCCGGCAAGACAAATGATGGTCCAATGTCAAAGATATCAGTCAGGTTGCCCGCCCGACTTTCCCTCGGCGCACCCTGACCATGGTCGATTTGCCGTGTTATCGGCAGAGACGCTCCAGCTCCAGCTCCCACAGGCAACGCACGTTCGAGCGGGCCACATGTGCCGAATATGTTCTCCAGGCCAGTCTGTATCAGAGAAGAGGAAGCATCGGCCGTAATCTGTGGCACGAGCTGTTTCCAATCGCCCGACCCGACCCGCTGGATCTGCGCAGCGGCATCGACCAGGATGTATTCACCGGTCCGGAGATTGGGGAGTAGAGCGCGACACGCGTAGTCTAGGGTTGTCTGGAAGATAGGGCCCAGGGTTTTCATGTCAAATATGGCCAACTGGTGACGGGGTTTCCCTTGTTTCTGCTGCTGCTCCTTGTGTGATTTGCCGGTACCTTTCCGCTTAACGCAGGCGAAAGAGATGGCGAAAGTTTGGCTTTTATGGTTCATGGCCAGGAACTTTGGCAGGGATCCCATGGGGTAGATTGCGTCATCTTCCATTTGCAATACTAACTTGACTTGATCGGCCACAGTATCCCAAACGACCAACTGGTCGGAGAGGATGACCATGTGCCGGTCTAAAAAGCCTACCTCGGGCGGTGTGCCAAGGTACAGGTTATCCCGTGCGTGGCAGATCTCGCCGCTCTTGGGGTTGATGAGATAAACTAGCCTCGCTCCGCTCTGATCAGTCCAGCAGACAGCGAGAACCGAACCGTCGTCTGAAAACGCCAGGCTGGCCGATTTGGAAGACGCGGAGGATTCCGAGCCCTCTGCGAATTTTTCGAGCGCGATGCTATGAATGGCTCTCCAGGTCTGGAGAGGTTGATTCTGGTTGTCTTTGATCGTCTGGCCACTGCGATAGCGTGCACTGGGAGACCAGATTCGGACAACGGCGTCTTCCCCAGCAGTGACGAAAGCTGAGCCTGCAGGATTGGATGCTAGATCCAGCACTCGCGCAGACCCGAGCGAAGAATTGAAGTGAGGCGCATCAATCCGGGTACTTAGTTCCCACTCCTTCATGCTTTCATTCCAGCGCCAGAATTTCAAAAAGATTTCCCTCTTTTCCTTTCGAGACGTAATCGTCGTAGGATATAGAACGCTCACATCTTGGGGATACTGCAGCCATTCATCAACTGTTGATAGCCACTCCCCATCTGACGTTATCCCGAGGAACTTGACATCAGGTGTTGTTAAATCTGTTCCTTGCGGTCCGGTCTTGATTACGGTGGTATTGGTTCTAGCAAGCGCTTGACGGGATACGTGTTGGTTGGTGAGTACATCAAAGGTCTGAAGCGACGATGCGCTGGGGGGACTGCCTGGTGATCGGCCGGGGGAGGAGGAAACTGCCGCGAGGAGATGCCCGGAGTGTATGGGGTGTAGAACGGCAGGTAAGCGAGCTAGGTCGGTTTCGACTTGTTTCAAGGCTACTGATCTATCCTTTTTCGTTCCACGCTGTAATTTCCGCGCGACGATATCATCCACTTCTGATGGTAACTGTAGGCCGCTCACGCTAGCAATAGGGCGCAACTCTGCTGTAGAAAGGACCATGGCAGAATTATCTGCAAGCCGAACTGCGTAAAATTTCCCTGTGCGAGACACGACAATGGAACAGATGTGTGACGACAAATGGGGTAGGAACTGTTTCCTTCCTGTATCAAGCTGATATTGTACGATGACAGTTTCCGAACCGCCCGAGATAATATAGTTACCTACATAGACAAGGATTAGCTCTAAATTTCAGTATTCTGTTTATCCTGAAGGGCAATTATATATTTACCGTCTTGCGACCATTTCACAGTTTTGACAGCGTTCCGATGCCAATGCAGACGGTTTGTCACTAAACTTGTTCCGGCTTCGGATTTGTTCTCGGTCCGCAGTAAAGAATTGAGGATATCATGATAAATCAAGATTGCACCCTCCTTGTCTCCCAAAGCTAGGTCGACTACTCGTGTGGCAGGAGAAGATACCTGGTCCAATGGCGAACGTTCTCGGATATCAGAGCAGGTAACAGAAATCGGTAAGGCAACCTCTAGCCAGGTATACTTTATAGAATCCAACGCTTCCAGTCGCAGCTTAGCTGTGTAGCCCACAAACAGCTGGTAATCAGCAATGGCTATAATGACCCTTCCATCAGAGGATACTTTGAATTCGTTGGGCGTTGTGGACATTTCCCGAATGACTCTGGTATTCCAGGAATCGGATCCCCCCTTGGTGTGCATGGCTATCTCTGCTTTCCTCGAGCCAGCGTCATTTATTGAGACCACAACATCCTCATCTGAGGAACCCTGGCCACTGGAGCCAGTACAGATATCAATAGCATATATTTTGAGAGCAGCATCCCAAGTTTCAATCACTTCCCCTGACGTCCAGTCCCACTTCACAATGGCTCCAGAAAGCGTCGACATGTAAAGATGTTCCGTATCGACAAGGGAGAGTTTGCAGTCAGTAATGCGCCGCATCTCTTTCTGTATCTCCAGTGTCCGTACCACACTGGAGGTCGCTACAGAATAGACCCGAGCGAAAGTGTTGGAGAAGAGTATGAAGTGTCTATGTTTTTGTTAATATCGTGATTCCGTACCATGGTAAGAGATAAATAAAATGAGAACGGGGGGAAGATGGGAGCTCAGTACTGACTTTTCATCAGGTGTGATAATCGTGTCAATAGCACTAAATCTTCCGCCAACCGTACGTGATACGGACCATTGAGCTGATGCCCCTGGTTTCTCCGAATGTTGAACCTCCCCTGATGATTTCCCCTTGCGCTTTGAGACAGTGGTGGTCGTTTTAGTCGTAGAGACATCACTAGTCACAGTCAGGGAGTTATCCGCTGACTGAGGCCCCTTCTCCTTTTGACCATGCTTTTCCTTGTTTCTTGGACTTTTCGAAGGTATCTCTTGGTCTACACTATTTTTCTGTCCTGGAGATTTACCAGGAGTGCTTGATGGCTTCGCAGGCTTCGGAGAAGTGGATTTCTCGTTGTTGGTAGTAGAAGCGTCACGACCGATCTTACGTCGCTTCGTCCGATTTTGTTCAGGACCGATCTTCTGGTCGTCTTTCGCATCATCAGCCGCCAATTGCCGTTTATCCGCCTTCCGTACGGGAGATATTTTTGAGGTCATTCTTCTGAGGATTCGGAGGAGGCAGACTCAAAAGCACTTGTTAGGCGGGTCCAGGTCAATGTCCTAGGGTAAAAGGACGCACTGCAAACACATAAGGTATATCTGCAGCCTTCTGCTATTCCATCGAGGTCTGAATAATAGTGATTGCGTGTAGAATCTCCAATGCTCTCTCCCGCACTTGGGCAGGAGAGAAAAAAATATATAAAATATGCGTTTGCGCTAGAAAAAAACGATTGCCGGCAGAATCGCACACCGCCTCTGCGGTCCTTAGTTACATAAGCAGCAGTCTTTGGATTGCGGACAAAAAATCCATGCCGCGAATCAACTACGCTACGGCGATCTCAACGTCCTGCACAACGCTCTTGTCGCTATCGCAAAGATTCTAGAAGTGCTGTGCGTGTTGAAGGCCCCATATTATACGGGTGCAGCTCAGTTTTACTCATTACACATCCTCGCACGTCTAACCTCCAAACCCCCCTCATCAACCACTGCCACCTTTTATCGTCTTTTCTCCGCCGAAGCGTTCACAATGATCATCCCCGTCCGCTGCTTCTCGTGTGGGAAGGTATGTGTCTTACGCAGGCGCAGCAGTTTATTCACTCAGAAAATGAATTTAACATAGGTATAGGTTGTTGGTGACCTTTGGGAACGATATCTAAAGCTCCTCGATGAGGGCGTCCCCGACGGGTGAGTTAGCTTCAGCGTTTGAACATACGTATATATGGATCAAACGTATATATGCGCGAAAGGAGACAATTGGCTGATAAGGGGCAAATCTCACGTAAACAGGGATGCGATGGACCAGCTTGGTTGTAAACGATACTGCTGTCGACGAATGCTCATGACCCATGTTGACCTTATTGAAAAGCTTCTCCGGTAAGGATACAAAACATGCATTTTGCATCTACCTTCAAGCCTAGCACTTTGTTCTCCTTACTGTTTTGTACATATTCATGTTTGGTTCCTTTGCTGATCATTTGGTGAATTATATCTATGTATAGGTATAACCCTGCGGAGAGAGACCGAGCGAAGACCCAGCTGTAGCTACTTAAGCTCTTGCATCATAAAAACAACTACGTTGTTGGATCAGGTTCATGAGTTATTATTTCTATGAAACTCAAATCTACGGAGCTCCGCAAAAACACTCATAACCCCTGCGGAATACAATATCAACGTCCATTTTCTAGCCCCCTTCGGACCTCCAGATAACGCCGTGATGATGACCGCCTTTTCTGGCCCCTCCTCACTTCGACGAAATCCAAGCCGATCTACATACTGGTCAAAAGTCAAAATCCCCTTTTTGTTATTATAGTCAATCATGATTTGACGAACGACTTCACATGAATCCATTGCACCTGCCTGTTACTTCTCAGAGGGTTGGAGAATATACGATATAGAATCAATACCTCCCTCCCCCAAATAACTACGACAAATTTGTATACTTTTATTTTTCCTCTTTTTCTACTGGATAACATACTTCGTCCATAATTAAAGGCACACTAACTAATGCTTGAGGCTCATGGGAATTTGTTTATTGATGGGACTGGATAAGGGATCGGGGGACGTGCACAGCGCATTTGAAATGATTGTTGTTGCTCTCTATGATGAATGGGAGTGAAGGAAAAGAAGGTATATTTATTCACTCTTTTATCATTAACTAACTACCCATGGTTCAGATGAGAAAATGTACACTACTATATTCATTAGAGACAAAAAGAAACGTATCATACAGATGGAGGAAAAAAACTATTCTTTTCTTTGCGGTGGGCTGGACTAACTGCATTCCCACCCTCTCCCCGCTCTTCACAAGCAGCAGCATTACTCATATCAAACTAAAATCAAGGGGCAACGATTGAACCTACGCTGTAGCTCTCCATCGCAGACTTTTTGGGGGCCAAACACTAAGAAACCTTGTTGCACGTTGCAATGATGCATGGGTGTTGTTAGTCGGTCTTCAATATTAATCTTGTAGTAGTTGCCGAAGCAGGGAGGGTTTTACAGCTGGGACCTTTTCATTACCTTTCTTTCTTCTCTTTCTTTCTTTCTTTTTTGTTCTAACTACCATCGGAGATCGGCCGTGGAGAGTTGCGAAGAATCACGGGACAGGGGATAATCCAAAATAAGAGTTGAATGGACTGTCAATTTCATAATATTTTAAGCAGGAAGTTGACTTATGATATTTCCCCTCAAAGGGGACCCGTTTCTCAGATACACATCTCATGCGTGGGGCATATATACATGTCGCTGTTCAGCAGTGCCTTCGCCATCTTTTCGAGACGGCGCATAAGGGGGCGTCCTCACGATATGGACCCCGGATCGGGACAAGGCAGTTGCGCATCCGATGTTCGTTATGTTATCGAGGAGATATTGTACTCAAGTGCCTGGACAGGAAAAATTCCCCGCCCAAGGCAGAGACAGTAGGTAGGGTGTACCCCCCCCCGCAGCAAATAAACACTAGTTAACTTAATAATAATACCAAGCTAACCAAAATGCGGGAAGTTAAAAAAACATCCATGGGACAAAAATAAAAAATCCATCAGCACTAAGAAATAAGTCTTGGTCTCGAAAAAAGATCGAAGGATGCTTGAAGTTATTATTATTGGGACACTGACAACTTGTCATGAATTTGTTTCGTTCCGGCCCACGCTATGATGTGAATAAACCCATTCTCTGGGGATTCGTTTGCTGTCCCACCACCCCGTTTCCGCGTCCATTCGTCAGAAACAACTTAAAACAACCGCTGTTGGGAATGCGAGAGCCTGGGACCCGGGAGTGTTGGTCTCTTGCTAGAGCGGAGTTTCTTTATGATCTTGGTAGAAATAATAATCAATAATAATATGTGAATAAGCACACAACTGATCAATAATCAATAATGGGTTAAATATGGTCGTAGTCAATAATAATAATAAGAACGTATCAATCGGCCCCCAACTTCGTCGAAGCACTAAACAACTTATTTAAGTCAAGCGGTGTCTGTCGATGGATGCTCAGGCAGCCTGCGATCCATAATAAAAAAATCATGAATGGGGTTGGTTGTATGTAGCTGAGCGGGCTGGCTCTCGGGGACCTGGAGGCAAAGTTCTTTCAGCAGCCACTGACTGGTCTTTGGAATAAATAATGTTGTTCCTTTTGCTGCTCCCTTGGAGTTGGGTGCGCCCTCTCGGGGGGAGGGGGGGGGGTTGGTTTCTGGTCTTTGCGAGTGGTGCGGTGCAGCAGGCCAACCACACCTGGGATATCTGAGCTGGCCAAAGCAGCGCGCGAGACCGCTAATGCAGCTGTCGAGAATCAACGCGGGCTGTGAGTGGTGGACGCGGGCTCTTGGGGGCCTTGGTGTGTGTCGGCCATCACTTTTGCCCAGCGCTTAAGCACTGCTGAACTGTTTGTAGCGAATCCCTATCCAAGAGGCCCTGCGCAGTTGGTCTGGTCGCGATTGGTCTGTCTCTGCATGGTTTACCCATGCTCGAATTTGTCGGCTAGTTGGATTCTCGAACTAAGTCTTCAACTATTCCTTCTTGAGTCAGTAACTTATTAGTCGTTCAAGTGTGTCTTCAAGCAGGACGCGGACGAAGGACTCTCAAACCGGGGGAGAAGAAGAAGAAGAAGGAGGAAAGAAGACGACGAAGACAAAGCAAAAAAGAAGCAGAATAATCCCGACAAAGCGGCCATCCGAATCCCTCCCCTTTCAAGATACTCCGTACTTAATCACCTAAGGACTTGGACCGGACCCGTGGGCAAGCAGCGCGTTCCTTTGATTCTCTGCCCGTTGATTCGGGGTTCCTTGACGAAATAACTACTAAATAAGTTATAATAAATAAATAAATAAATGACTAGTTATCTTTTGGCCCCCTCTCTTTGTCCTGGGTCGGTCAACGACTCAACGCGCTGCTCAAGCCTCGCCCTCCCCACCACCACATCCCGCCAACAGACAGGCGGACGGACAGACGGACAGCCCATACGATACGGACGGACAGGCTAACCCTCGGACTACACGGGTGAGCTCCAGCAGACAGGGAAAAAGGACGTGCAGTGGAATAAAAGTCCTGTGCGGCCCAGCAAGTGGTCCATCGTCATACTCGGAATCTGGTTCGTGGTGAAGAAGCTATATCACAGACCGGCATCGTTGGTCTTGTTCCAACAATCTTTTTAATACTCGGCCATTCCATACGGTTTGTATAGCTAGAGTTGCTGACTCTAGTGGCTATTTAATAGTTACCAGTGAGTCTGCTCCCTTTTTAGTAATCGTCCTACGGAAAATGAAGTACGTACTGTACATAACTATGTCGAACACCTATTCTGACCTATCTTTGGCCGACTTCCTCCAGTCTCTGGCTCTCCATCCAACAATCACCAACATACCATATTATCCGCATCCTGAGAATGGTCATTGAATGATATTGTCAATCCCTATCAACAATCCGATCCCCCTCTCTAAGAGAAAAGGTGGAGATGTTGGCCGTTAGATCTCCAGCGTCCGTTTCCTCCGGCAATCAAATATCTGCTTTCTCCCCATATTCGGCTTCCCCAAGCTCTCCAACTCCATATTCAATGTGAGTTGGGACTCAAACCTAGCTGCAGTTTTTACAGTTATTCTGTTCCATGGCTCTCTGACTTAGACTTCCCGTACTCTACTCTACACAGGCAATCCGATAGACCCCCGTCGACCCAGAGATCTCCATCCCCGTCCCAAATGTCTTCCAACTCTAAAACAACCGAGTTTTCTAGATCTTCTCCCAAGGCGTTCACTCCAAATGGATTGGATCCTTCGGACAACCAAGATGGCATCACTAACGGGGATATGGAACGCTCTATCACAAGGACTGGAAGTGCACTTAGTGTATGAAGTCTCCCACTCTACGCACACAAACAAACACACACACCCACACCCACACACACACACACCCCGCACAATAACTCGAGAGCTAGCTTCAATTAACACTTTTGTAGATACGCACTTCCGGCGCCGGAGTGAGCGACTTCAAACCCAGCTCGGACGAAGACGATGCACCCCAATCCGTAATACATGTTCCGTCCGGCTTTGGTAAATTTGTAAGCTTTTCCTCCCCTTTTTCCTCCCCCTTTGTTTTTTTTCTATTATTATTTTCTATTTAGAACATCTATAAAAAAAAAATATGTCACGGGAGACTAATAATTTGTAGCTAGACAATGTTCCTTCGCCGCGCGCAGAGCCCTCCAGGTCATCGTCTGCACTATCAGACGTGACAGTTACTTCACCCCTAGCGGGTCAAAACGACAACGACAACATCAACAATAATGTGAGAAAGGTTTGGCTCCACTTTTGACAAGCCGAGATGTGAATTTGATACTAAAGGACCCGCTTCAGAAACCCACTACTCCAGTATCGCCCCCGCCAATCACCACCACACATATCGCACCCCCCGAGCACTGGTCAGATCGAACAACCCCTCGTGCTCAGACAAGACAGGAGGTTGAAGATTTCAAAAAGAGAGCTAGGAAAAGCAATCTTGAAGGTGGGTGTTTTCTCATAACCGTAGAAGTATATATTACCAGTTTAACCTGACGCTGGCTTCTCCCAGATATACCGGAGACCTTTGATGTTGAGCAAGCTGCTGAAGATACCGAAGATGAACCAGAGACTCTCCGGGATATGGGAGAGATCACAACAACTTCCGTTGGCAAATTTGAGGCTAGGGAGCACGAATTGAAGGCTTTAAGGACGGCATTATCAGAATGCTGGACTTTATGTAATACTCTAGCAAGCCTAAGTTACATTCATCGCGAGCGATTGTTTAACTTTTCGGGGAAGGGAGATATGCAGGAACAGGCCTGGAAATCGTGCTGGAAACTTTGCCAAAATCTTTACGAGAACCGCGATAACGATGACCACCACACCTACGTGCGGCCAACACTAGATCTTTGCCGGGACTTTTGTCAAGCATTGTTCGAAGTTCGCGTCCGCGATAATGAGGTCACCGACTCGGTGCTGCGTGTGAGTTTCGAGCTCAACAACCATCTGTATAATACGCATGATCGAAACCTCCCCGAGGCATTCCGACACCGGACCCTGGACTTTTATATCACGCTGTGTCATCGCCTTATGAAACAGCGGACACGACTGGCAAAGGAAACAGACACGCTACTAAAGGCCTGTTGGTCCCTTGCAGAGATGTTATTCAGCCTGCGGCAGCGCAGGCGAGAAGGCAAATCCCCCGACGAAGAACTACTCGGATCAGCGATTCAGGCTTGTTGGGAACTGTGTGATCTTTTCCGCCAGGGATGGACCCAAATTCGACCAGACCGTGGCACTCCGCGGCCCAGCCAGACGACTTTCACACAGGCATTTTACCAGGCTAAACGGTCAGAGTACAACATTATGAGTGATGAAGATACGCAAAGCCGCGGAGGAAACCCCGAAACGCCCACAACCATATTCGAAGACACCGCCACAGTCTCACCCGAAGAAGCACATGTCCCTAACATCCTCCTCCTAAACCCGAGCAACAACCAAGTAACCCCTCCCAAGTGGTCGTCCAACTCCTCCACATTATCCGGCTACTCGCAATCATCATCTGGCAAAACTGCCTCGTCCAACAACACCGTCAAATCCCCCGCCGAGGACCCGAACCTCACCTGCCTGAAACTCCTGATCATCCGCGCCGCCATGAACAGCGGCTTCCAACGCGGCACGACCCAGACCTTATCAGCGTTTGTCAAATCGCTCTCCTCGGATTCTTTCGGGACGCAATTGTGGCAACGCACGCTCCTTGACAACTATAAGAAGCTGGTGGTGTTTGACTCGGCGTTCCGCGACGTCGCGCCGTCCGCGCGGGCGGGCGCGGTGGATGTTGCGAACGCTGTGCGGTCAATGGTTCAGCATAATGGGCAGTATATTTGGCTGCAGGACCTATACCGGCTTGTGTTTGGTTTCCATACTGAAGAGGCGATGCACCGGAAGAGCGTCACGGTCCAGACGTAGATTTCTTTTTCTTCTCTGGAGAAATTAAAGCTGACTGCCCGTGTGTGTGTGTGTGTGTGTGTGCGTGTGTGTGTGAACAGTTATGCTACGCTTCGAAGAATTTTGATATCTATTTATTTTTTTCACAAGCGCGAGTCGCTAATCTGTTATTTAACATTTATTACCCATTTACTATCTTAACAAAAAGATACAACAACAACCCCCTTCTCCTACGGGTTTTCTTCTACCATTCTCTTCCTAAACCTTTTTAACCTTCCTCCTTTTCGTCGTCGCAGCTATATCTGCCTTAGCTTTCATAACCAAACCATGCTTCTTTTACTCCCCACCCAGCCCAACCGCACCTCGAAAATTGAACATCAACAATCTAGTTTGAGCTGGCGAGGCCGTAGTTCTCCCCTTTTGCATACCCCCACCAACCCCTTTCCTCTTCAATAACATGAACTACATACTCTATACATACCACAACATCCAAACCACGCCGCATCGTAATACCTTCCCCGGCTCTATATCGCGAATGATATTTTTTTTTCTTTTTTTGGATCCATCCCTTATTTCTATTTTTGTAGCAGGGCCTTTTTTATTTTTTATTTTTAGTTATTTTTTATAAATTAAACTTCTGGGGCCATCAAATATATGGATATTTATTCCTCCCGGCCCCCTTAACCCCACCCCACGTATTAATACCCCTTATGTTCCTTTTTTATTTTTGGTTAAATATCCATTAGCAGCATTTCACTAGCTATATATATATATATATATATATACGACCCTTTTGGCCGTCTTATTCTCCATTCTCACTCCCCATCTCGTCATTCTCGTTCTCATTTCCATGCATCATTCCGCCATCTATATGATACCTTTTCTCGCTCGAAACGGTTTTATTTTAAGTGTTAACCAAGAGCCTGGGATGTGATTGATATTTTTTTTTGAGAGGACATGTTAGTTGCATAGTATTTATGTAGATTTACCCGTGGGAAGAAAATAATGTTTGTGGATGATGATGATATTATTGCTGAATATCAATCTAAACTCACTGACTGCAAAGTGATTTATTTAATTGGTTATTGTGCGCTTGCATCCGAATCCAGGTTGGATACAAGCTTAATTAAATACCTGGAGGGAAAGATGTTGTTTATACTTACGTATTATTCTCCTTTGCGACGGGAGGCCGTTGGTGTAAATAAGATAGTTAAAAGGGTATTTAACTAACCAGGCCTAGAGCCGCCCAAGGAGCTAAATCGATGCCCAGCCAAATCAGAGTTGGGTTTCGTTGTTCCAACCGTTGATGCATGCATACGCAGTATATGTACTGTATGTACATGTACATTATTATTTACATGTATGTATGTACATTATTATGATGCCGGCGGTGCTATCATTGTCGACCAACTAACTCTTTGTCTGCGCACGATACCCTCGTTATTTAGCCATTGATGGATTTCCTCGCAGACGACCATCACCAGCCCGTCGGACGATAAATAATGTTGGTGTCCCCCCGCGGATACCATCGCTGGTGGAGAGCGTTGCTCGGACCCATCTTCTTCCCGCGTCGAGGCTCATCCCACGGCCATATCAGCGTCCTGTTGACCTCCTGCATCGCCTTCTTTGCCGTCGTCGATTACCTCATCTTCACCGCGTCGTCCATATCCTCCCCGCGAGAGTCTACAGACACAACCGTCGTTCCCGGGATAAGGTCCGTCTACGTGGCTAGCACGCACTGGAACAACGAGGCGATCCTCCGCAGCCATTGGAATGCCGCCGTTGTGGAACTCGCAAGGAAGTTCGGGAAGGATAACATCTACGTTTCTGTCTATGAGAGTGGGAGCTGGGATGATTCCAAAGGCGCCCTGAGGGAGCTGGATCAACAGCTGGAGGAGTTGGGCGTCGACAGGACCATCATCCTAGATCCAGCCACGCATGAGGATGAAATCAATAAACCGCCTGGAAGGGAAGGGTGGATTGATACTCCGCGGGGGAAAAGAGAGCTCAGACGCATTCCGTACCTGGCCCATATGCGGAATAGATCATTGGAGCCGTTGGAGAGGCTTGTGCAGGCCGGGAGGACGTTTGATAAGATTATCTTTTTGAACGATGTTATATTTTCGGTATGTAAGTGCTATTTATATTGGTGAAGGCAAACGGGGCCCCGACCTCCACAAAAGGTAGGGACAACGGAACTGATATTGATATACTTTAAAATCTAAAACTGCAGATGACAGATATCATAACTCTTCTCAATACCCGCTCCGGCTCATATGCCGCGGCCTGCTCGCTCGATTTCGGAAAACCAGGCCTTTTCTACGATACATTTGCCCTACGGGACTCGAAGGGGTCCCCTGCCTTCTCGCAGCGCTACCCCTACTTCAGTGCTAGACGCTCGCGCAATGCTCTTATAGCCGGCAAACCCATCCCGGTCCAAAGTTGCTGGAATGGGATAGGTGCGTTTTCCCTTGGCCCCGGAGAGATATATAAAACACTAACCCTCCCCCCCCCCCCTTCCCGCGCACAGCAATCTTCGACGCCGCGCCCTTCCAAACCAGCACCAACCCACTCCGCTTCCGCGGCATCCCCGACTCCCTCGCCAAATACCACCTCGAAGGCTCCGAATGCTGCCTCATCCACTACGACAACCCTCTCTCCGCCACCAAGGGCGTCTGGCTGAACCCCAACGTGCGCGTCGGCTATAACCTGGTCGCCTACGAGGCTGCGGCGGCGCGCGTGTGGCCGTCGACGCTCGATGCTGTGCTTGTAGGCTGGTGGAAGGGGTTTTTTGCGTCGATGCTTGATTTGCCGTGGAGGTCTAGGGCGGTTGTGGGGAGGGTTAAGAAGTGGGCGAGGGAGGGAGAGAGTTTTAATAATGAGAAAGAGAGGAAGGGGAATAGAGAGGTTGGGTTGCCGTGTCTGATCGATGAGATGCAGATCATCGTGTATAATGGATGGGCGCATGTTTGATTTGTTCCTTTTTCCCCCTCTTTTTCCCTCGTTGTGGAGGCGTGATATTCAAGGGAGCTTGTTTTGACATTTTCATTTGCATATATTTTTTTATATATGTATTATAGATTTTTCTTCGTTCTTTTTATTTCTTTCCTGCTTTTTTCTATTTCATCGCGTCTATTCTCTAAGATCCCCCCTTTTTTGCTTTGGCTTGAGAACTTGGCTTGAGAACTCGAGCCGGAAAATCAACTTTGGGATTTCATAAGAACATTCCATGTTGAGGCTGCGTGTTTTCTGGTTCCTCCTATCTCCCCGCGCTTTCTCATTTCTTTCATTCTATCATGTGGTTGAAGATGAAGAAATTTACCAACTCGCAACCCCCCTCCTCCCATCAAACCCACCCCTCAACGCCTCTGCACGCACAACCTTCCCTTTCAAAACCGTCTGCTTCACAATCCCCTCACAATCCGCCGGCCGCACCCCTAGCCAGCCAAATCATCTGCTCCGCCTCGCGCCGATATATCAACACGTTCGCGGCGAACTTGTGCCCTCCCACATGGGACACAATATAGGATACCTACGCCGCCGGGCCGGGTGTCGTCCTCGTCGCGGTAGAGGCCCAGCGGGCGCAGGTGGCGCTCTAGCTCGCGCCGGATGAGAGGGGCGGAGATGCCGCAGCGGGCGTCGCGACGGTTATGGGAGCAGAGGAGGATTAGGTGGTCGCGGGGCCAGGGGCGGGTTGTTAGTTTGTGGTGGGATGGGTGGACGGGATGAGGTATTTTGGCCGTTTGGTTTGGCTTCAGCTTCTTCAACTTCTAGCTTTGGTGATGATGATGATGATATTGTGGCGTCCTAGTCTGACTATATCTCTACGTCTGGCTCAGAGGGGTCTACGAAACGCTCCATGAGCTCTGGCAGTCGCGAGACCGTTACTCTGTCGACAAAGGTGAATGAGGGCAAGATGAGGACCGTTGTAGCGTTCTCCTGCCCCAGTCCTTGATCGCCATTGGTGATGTGGTTAATACGCTCCGGATCAATGGACAAGTTCGACGCCGAAATCATCATTTTCTGCGAAAATAAAAATAGGGCTCTTTATTAACCAGGCGTCTCTCAAGGTGAAAAACAGAATCTATAGTTATACAACACGAGAAATACTTACCCCCCTCCTCGGTTGAAACGCCCCCCTCTTAAACCCCTCCATCAAACTTCCCCTCTCACCCTCAACCCTGGGCGCCCAGTCCGCCCTGCCCGTCGCGACAAGTACATGTTTGATGAACGGCTTGACGCTCCCGTACAGCTCCCTGTTGGAATTGAGTTTGAACCGGGCTGGGAATTTGATGGTGCAGTCGGCGCAGTCCTGGTCGCAGTCGGGCCCGTCGACGGCGGGATCGACGATGGGGAAGAGGTCTGTTTTTTTCTCGATTGAACTGGTTTCTGGGGTGGAGAGCGATGTGGAGGTGAAGGGGTTTTGGTATACGAAGGAGAAGAGGGAGCGGAGCATTGTATTTTTCTCTCTCGCCTTTGGTACTCTTTTCACTTCTTTATTTTTACGAATTTTTATATGTTTTTTTTTTTTTTTTTTTTTTTTTTTTTTTTTTTTTTTTTTTTTTTTTTTTTGTATTCTCCTTTTCGTATGTATTATTGATTTCCGGCGCAAAAGCAGATTATAGAAATGGGTAAAAGCACAAGTATCTTTTGGTTCCCTTTTTTCTCAGCAGACAGAGAACCCGTCGATAAAAGAAATGCTTCTGCCTTGAGGCTGTAGTTGGTAGTTGCATACACATATATTATTGTTTCTTATATGCGCCGTCACCTTGCCGTATACTCCGATATCTCGGTCAAAACCTCCAGCAAGCTCTTTATCTCCGACCCCGAGCTCGACGGAACGTTTGAAACCAGAGACATGAGACATGCAAATAACTCTCTCCGCAGCTCCACAAGTCCAAGCCCAGACACAACCCTCTAGTCTCTCTAGCGCTGCCATCTAGCGCCAACAGTTAGCGTATATCCGCCTTAGCCCCCGACTCAACCTCGGCTTTTTCGGCTTCGGGCCCAAAAAGGCAATCCTGAGTTGTTGTTTGTGCCCCCTTTAAGTATCTTAAACAGCTTGCGCCGACCAACCATGTCTTACTCCGAGATTCTGCTCACCGCTGGATGGATGTGCTTTGCCCGAGAAACGACACATGGCTAAAAATAACAAAATAATTAAACATAAATCAATAAAAAACAAAATAAAAAAAAACAAGGAACACAAGCTCGGCTGTCTGCCATGGCGCCCCCGAGCCGCAGTCCCGAACCGCGCTCAGAAGCGACAAACGCGACACCCGCCACGCATGCGCTCCATCAACCTGCTTCAGACAGCGGCGGCGTTGGCAGTGGTGGTGCATCCTCGTCGCAGGATACCAGGTCTGCGGAATCCACCCATCGCAAGCGGCGGAGAAGAACTATTGCCTGTGCTCCTTGCAGGAATAGAAAGGTCAAGTGTGACTTTGGTTATCCGACATGTAACCGATGCTTGAAGGGGCCCGGCCCCGATGCCTGCATGTATGAATCTCCTGCCCATGCCTTGCACCATCAGTATCAGCATCAGCAACAGCAACATCGAAATCAGCAATTGCCTCATCCATCAGCATCAGCATCGGCATCGGCATCGGCATCGGCATTAGCGTCAGCGTCAACATTAGCAGCAGGCTCATCGGCCTTCTGGCCCCCACATCCACCAGAAGCAAATAGGTCCAATGCCCACCCACAGCCCTTCATAGCTGCACTATCAGAAACCCAGCATCTCGACGAGGCTCGGCTTCGGGGACTGCAACAATTGCTACATAGCTTAACTCAGCAGTCGAAACTGGCTAGCAATGCAGCACCGTCGCCCTTTTCTTCAGCCAATGCAGACTCGCACGCGTACAGGTCCCAGCTGGGTTCGACCCCCGCGGAACCCACTGAATCTTCTGCGCGCGACGATGCGTCAGTCCAGGCGGAGCCGTGGAGCCGCGAGATTCCCAATCGGCACCGGTTTGATGGGAATGAGGGCCGGACGCGGTTTTGGGGATGTAGCAATGGGTCGAAGTTATCATTTGAGGTGAGTTCTTTCTTGATATTTCTGTTTTTATATACAGAATTTCTGCAATGGGTTCGGTATTTTTTATTGTTAAAATGAACCTTTCGGAGTCCTCGTGTTTAAGTAGCAATGCCTAACGGTATGGGGAAAATAACTAAATATAGCTCGAGGGCCTGAGCAGCTTTATGAAAGAGTTGAAGGCTACAGCCTCTCTTCGCACGCTACACCACGAAATCCGAAAGATTGGGTATAATAAGCACCAGAAGCCCTTATCTGGAGACCTAGCGACAGACAGTCGCTTCCTGAGGAGCCTTCTTCCCACCCGACCAGTGGTCGAGAATTTGATGAACAGCTACTTCTCCTACGTGGGGAAAATGCATCGCATTCTCCATATGCCGTCCTTTCGCGCACAGCTCAATGAGCTCTGGGCGGAAACGAGTGATATCCCTTGCCATTTCATTGTCCAACTCTTCTTGGTCATGGCGTCTGTGTGGAGCGTAAACACGCCGAGTCCACTTACCGCAGCCGGCACGAAGATTTTATCCCATACCGTCGCGACGGACTGGATACGCTGGTCCGAGGCATGGCTTTTCCACGCAAACATCAAACGACCAAACCTGGTTGTTTTACAGGTGCGGTGTTTGCTCATGATGGCCAAGGAGGCCAACTACACTCAGAAGAACCAAGCCTGGAGCTCTGCGGGGACGCTGGTAAAGCTGGCCATGTCTGCAGGATGCCACCGCGAGCCACCGCCAGAAACCAAGATTTCGGTATTCAATGGGGAAATGCGCCGAAGGATATGGGCGACGATTCTCGAATTGGACTTGCAGGCGTCGTTGGACCGTGGCATGCCTCCGACACTGCAACAATCGGATTACGATTGCGCCCCGCCTCTAAACATCAACGACGAAGATATTTGCGAGAGCACGACAGTTAACCCCGAAGAAAAGCCCATCAGGGACATGACAGACACTTCGTTTCAGGTCGCTCTGATGCAGTCCATGGGCCTGAGGCTGCGGGTATGCGCCCTTGTCAATGCGCCGCGTATTTCTCTATCATTAAACGAACTCGCACTGCTAGAAGAGGAGATCAAGCGGAACCTTTCTGATATTCCGGATTGGCAGTATACTGCTAACCCTGACCCCCATGAACCCCCCAGCGCTTTTTTAACCCAGAAACAACAAAAACTTCTATGGCGAACGCTGCTTGAGTCGAATTTAAGACGCTGTCAGCTTTCGCTTTACACCTACAGCGTCCTCGGGGGTTTTCAGGGCTCCATAAATACCCATACGACGCAAGCGCGTCTTGAAGTCGCCATGGTGATTCTCTGCCAACAGCAATTACTCATTGATAGTATCGGGAAACTCGCGTGGTGTGCGTTAGCAGATGTCACTTTTCATGCTGCATTTACTATCTGTCATCATCTGCACGCATCCGATTGTGGTTTCAGTGAGTCCTTTTCGCTTTTTCCTCTCTTACAGAATATGTTCTTATCGCTAGTGGGATGAACATGTCATTCAGCTAACAACGATTTATTTTGTTTGATTCTCCGCAGCATCGTCTATAGTCCGGCAGATCATCCCCAGCATTACAGATATCCTAATATCCCTCGTCCAGAAAACGCTATCATGGCTTGAGGAGAAGTTCCTTGTTCTAGAAAAGGGGATGCGCGAGTATTACTTCCTCTGCGTGTCGATTACGCTCGTCAAGACCAAGCTGTGGCCCGAATCAGCATCGACGTTCAAGCAGCAGGCTGCTGACCGGCTGCGCATATTGAGTTATAATTTATTTTCGAAGTATATTGGAGATGCTGCTAGTACAAATGAGGAATCTCAGGTACGTTTGTTACGAGCTCTTTTCTTGTGTCCTTTTTCTTTCCTTTCTTTCTTTCCTTCTTCCTTTTCTTTCACTTTATGATACAGGGAATTTCGTCGCTAACCCATTGTCCCTAGAAGGTTGGCCCTTCTCAGCAATCAAATCTCGTAGCTCCTGCTGAGGCACCCCAGAGTATATCCTCCGTTTCGTTTGAGCAGCTGTTTTCAGCTACCTCTGTGCTGGCTGATGAGGTTATTGGTTTCGACGTATGTTCTCCTCTCATTTTCCCTTTTTTCCTATTTTTGAGTATTTTTTACATCTCTCTAATTCCCTCCCTCTCCCCCCGCTTCCACCTTTCTTTATCAAACTATACCTTTTAATTTTCAACGGCTAGAAGTATGAACAAGTTCTTTGGAGTATCTAACTTTTTATTATTCTTTTGATTTTTACAACAGGGATTCGAAGATTGGGATTGCTTTAATTATTTCGGAGGCTCATTTTCGAACTCCGGGATGATGTGATGAAAGCCCTAATACACTGATGATAGTGATCCTGAGGTGGACATCCTTTACCGAGCCGCGAGCGTGATAATTCGTCTACTCGGAGGTGGCCACCATATTGAGATTCCTCTTCTATCAACATAGCGTACAATTTAGTGTTTTGTGATGGGATATAGACTTCTTTGGCTGCATATGGATATCAATTACGCTATCTTCTTAGAACGTCACCAAAGAGGGAAAGGAAAAGAGAAGCAAAAAGAGAGAAGAAAGGCACACAACTGAAATCCTCTCGCCCGAAGATATATTTCCTTTCTTGAAATATTGAGACATGATCGCCAGGATGCTCCCCAACACATTGGCTTAACTTTCGCCTTGCAAGTCCCAACCACCGTCTACATTATACACGGCTCCTGTTACAAATGAGGCTGCATCACTGAGCAGGAATAATACCACGTTCGCGACTTCATCTGCCGTCCCAACGCGGGATATCGCACCGGGTATATGATTAAGACCTCCTTGTATAGCACTGCCTTCGTCAAGCAAGGGTGTTTGAATCGAGCCCCTATTTATCTGATCAGTACCACTCTCCTTTTTTTAGACATTACACTCCTCTGGTAACCATCACTTGTGCTACTGTCCAGGGTATATGACATTGAGACAAAGAATAATTAATGAATCAAGAGGGATATAACTCACGGCGCAATGCAATTGACTCTAATACCCGGCGCAGCCTCCTTAGCCACCGATTTCGTCAGTCCCACAATACCATGCTTGGTGGCCGCATACGTCGCCGATTTTCCAAACCCCATCACACCCTGGATACTCGCGGCATTAACAATGCTCCCAATCCCCTCCCCACCAGCACCAGAATCAGCATCAGCACCCCTCCCCTTGTTCGCCATCATGGCCCTCAATTGAGCTCGAACACAATACATCATCCCCGTCAAATTCACCCGCAAAAGCAAATCCCACTCCTCATCATCCTGATCCACCAACTTACGGACCCCATGATTCTTCCCAATGACGGCCGCCATATTTGCCGCTCCATCTAGGCGGCCGAACTTGTCCACCGTCGCCGCGATCCAGGCGTTGACTTGCGTGGAGGAGGAGACGTCCACTTTTGTAATGAGGATGTGGTCGGGCGAGGAGCCGAGGGCTGCGAAGGCTTCGTCAAGGGCAGGCTGGGAGATGTCGGCGAGGGAAAGGAGGGCGCCGTTTTTGCGGAGTTGTTTGGCGACGGCGAGGCCGATGCCTGATACCCCGGTTATGGCGTAGACTTTGGAGGTGAAAGAGTCCATGGTTCTTTTTTTCCCTCAGGCTTTTCTCTTGGAGTAGGACAAGGGGGATTCGATTATGTGGTCTTCGTGGTAGAGATTGTAGATAACTCTTTTTGGATTTTGCGGTTTGGTTTTCGCCTTGGTGATATGTATATGGCTCTTTGCTCTTATATTGGGTTTTGGGGGACACAACGAGAAGGCGTTTCTGGATGGGGTTCAGGAGGATTTTTTGCACACAGAATCTAACTAGCTATTCGCCGTTGTTCTTGAGGAAGAGGAGGAGGAACTGAAGATTTATATACTCAAATTCCACGCGACTGGAATCACCAATCAAAAAGCAAAAAACACAGGCAAGATATCTCTCGATAGAGTTTCTTGAGTCTGGACTCTTCCTCGATGTCCAAGCTCAACTCTTTTTACTATACAAGTCGATCCGTTGCGACAGAGGGAGGAAAGCGGTTGACTCGATGAATTGAATTGCATATGTGAAATGGAGGAGTCCGAATAATTGCAAACTACGTTTGTCAGAAGTTGACTGGCGCACCCGGATGGACGCAGGTGGAGAAACACATGTTACGGTGACTATTCCCTACGTCGGATTGTATGTATGTCCATACGAGATACGGAATACGGCAGCGGGCAGGGAAGAGCGAGGTGGGGTAGTTGTTAGTCGGTAGCCCTGGGCGAGGAGGGGGACAATCTGGAGATAGTTCTGAGCCATTCTGCACGGTGTATGTAGATCTTGCATATTACACATTTCTATTTTGTCACTGGCAGCCATGTGAGTCAAAAGGTTCTTGCTCATGTGTTATTAAGATAGGCAACTAACAATGCAGGAAACCAGGCCTCTTAAGAGGAGGGGGTACATGCACATTAGATACATTTGAGTACCTCGAAACCCTTGCAACAAGTAAAGCCGCGCCCTACATTAGGAGCAAAGCCCCCGAATACTCCCTGCAGAAACATGTATACGCAAAGAAGGACGTATGGCGGTATCGGAACAAACTTATTTCAGCAATTTCATTCGAGTCTAGTTGCAAGCTTGAGGCGAATCGAACCTTATGGATACGCGACTAGGGGTAAATAGACCGTCGAATGATGTCAGATCGACTATACTTACTACCCACAACACATGATGAATTAATGGCCATATTGAAGTGCTCCAAGCAGCTGTACATCTGTGCATACATAGCTATATTTAGGTCAGTGATTTGGGTGATGAACTAGCTCAGAAAGATAAAACCCTTGCCCCAAAGCCTAAAGAACCCCCCTTTGTGTACATGACTTCATAAGATGAACTGACAACACATATAGAATGAAGAGCCACCATCTAGATGCATAATGGCAAGCTGAAAAGACTCTACTACAGTTATCACTTCCTTGTCGCATCATGGTATGTAGGAGGAACCGTTGCCTGCTCATTTATGGCTGGCGGATACACCTGTCCCTGCAGCGGCACTGATGCATCGTTACCGCCATAAAACGGAACAGCAGCAGCAGCAGCAGTAAGCATTGTACGCATTTTAACCCTCTTGCTCCAGCAGCCCGCCGCAACGATTCCCAAAACCACACGAGCGACCACGCCAACGGCGATCCCGGCCTTTGCACCCTTGGATAAAGGCTTGCGGGCATGAGGTAGCTTCAGAGACTCGGTGGGGATGGGCACGACGGAGCTGTCGGTCATTTGGAAGCGGATTTGGATTGGTGTGGCATAGACGATGCGCGCGGTTCGGGTGGTGATGGCCTCGTTGGGTGGAAAGGGGAGGGAAACGGGGGTGTTCAGGTATCTTTTGCAGAGCCTGTCGGCGTCATCTGCACATTCGAAGGAGCTGGTTTTGGTTTGTTTTATACTGTAGTTAGCGTGATGAACGGGTTGTGGTTCATGTGCTCTGAGAAGGGGAGGAATAGGCAAAAGGGGCCCCCTGGAGGACACGCGAGAAAAGCGGGCCAGGAATTTTTCTCTTTTTAAGAAAAGAAAGGCATCAATTTACGACGGGCAGCAGTTGATTGTTGTTTCCACCCTCTGTGCCGACGAGGACAAAGTGCAAGTCATATATTTATCCCCATGGACAAATCCCTGGCCTGAAATATCTTCCTCTCGCCCAATCTGGCGGGCAGCAGTCATCGCCGCCTCCGGGACCCTCGCAGCCTTGTTGAAGGCCGGGCCATCCGCCAATGTCGGTAGTGCGCACTTCGGTAGCGCAGCTCGACGGCGGCGTGAAGGTGGTTGTGAGCGGACCTCTGGGTGTTCGGTATGTATCTAGTCGAGGCTCGCAGTTAGCGGCGCATAGGGATGCGGCGGGAAGAAGGTAGGATATAATTAAGGTCTGAAGGAACATTATCTATTTACGTGTGAACTTGTAGTTAAAATAGTTTGCTATAGTGAACTTGAGCCGCACGATAGGGGAAGGGGGGTTCGGCAAGGGATATAAAAATTTGGCATTTATACGCAACAGACTCAGATTATTTATTTGCAGCACACATCATCTGCGAAAGGGTTCGCGATTTGAACAAGATACTTAAGCCACGGCCACCCAGACACATTTATCCACCTCTTTTTCCTCAAGTGCGGCTGAGGTTTCTTTGATCTACATCTCGAGAGTGCTAAGTATCCAAAGCTTGAACTCCACAACGGGTAAAGCAAGGAACTCTAGGAGAACCAACCGACTCTTGCATCGTCCTGGTCCCAAACACGAGAAATTCTGGGGCAGCTTTGCAGATCCAATTTAGGACAGCTGGATACTTAATAAGTGCATAGGGGGAAGACCGTTGTTGGGACTTGGCAGAACCAGAAGCAAATAATAAGGCTGGGAACATTCCATCTTCTAACCCATCATTAAAAACTTCCACCTGTCATTTCCGCACAAGGCGGCGGAGATATATGTATATATATATAGTAGCATCGTGAAGAAATACAAAAACGAATCAATGGCCACGACTCCAACACCCAAGTAAACAAAACACCTAATATCCCCGAGAGAAAAAAGGAAAAAGGCACGTCGTCACTCCCTTGCCCCCTGGAAAGGACAAGACAAGATAGAAAATCTACTTCGACCAGGTAATCTAATTCCAAAGGCTCCATCATAAAAGAAGAAAAACCCAGCTCCCCTATCCAGGCATATCCTGCCCTGCACCTTCTCATGTCATATATAAACGCAATCATGTCCAGCCAATGCAACCGCAAAACAGCAAACTACAAACAATATATCTGGCATAGAGGCAAAAATCTCATAGACACAAAAAAGCCCATCCGAAAAAAAATGTACACCAACCATCCCACACTTCTCACACTCTCTCTTAACTCGCCATAGCGATGTAATCTTTATTCTCCACGGTAACGCTCTTAGTCATGTGGTTAACCTTATAGACGCCGACGAGTCGAGAGGCAAGCTCGAACTAAATTAAGGGGTTTTGCGTATTAGAAGATATATCCCGAATAAGTGTACCTGGAGCTCCAAGGGAATGGGGGTAACACTTACCATGTTATTTCGCAAAGAGATAACGATGAACTGGGCATTCTTCGTTCGCTCTTTGATATATGAGGCAACAATGGAGACCTGCAGAACAAAGAAGCAGAACAACATAAATCAGTAAACTGGCCAAATTGCCCATCCGCCCCTTCTCCTGGTTTGTACTCACATTCCTAAAATCCAACGCCGCATCAATCTCATCCATAACGTATAATGGCGTCGGCCGGTAATGATGCAACGCAAACACAAGCGCAAGACTCGATAATGTTTTCTCACCCCCGGACAAATTACCAATGTTCTTCCAACTCTTCTTAGGAGGCATGACCGAGAATAGAATACCCTCCGAGAAAGGATCAAGGGAATCCACAAGCTCCAGCTCAGCGTTTCCACCCATCGTAATCATTTGGTACATCTCCTTCAGCCGGAGCGAGATAGTGCTGAACCCTTCCATAAAACCTGTTAGGCGGAGGGAGCGGAGAGTGTCGAGGCGTGACTTCGCACTGTCTCGGTTTGCGAGTGCGGTGGCTAGGTCGGCGGAGCGTGACTCATGCTCAGCGACACGGCGGCGGTATTCACCTAGGACAGAGAGGTCAACGGAGGCGTTTTGTGTCTTTTCCTCCAGCGCAGCGATGGCGGCTTTGAGTGACTCTTTGCTCATATCGGCGAGCTCATCCTTGGTGTATGTTGGGAGGCTCTGAGCTTCCTGTTCTTCGCCCAGGTCACTGATATTCTGAAGAGATAGCTTGGCTAGTTTCTCTAGCCAGTATCGACCCCGTTTTTGATTTTCGGCGAGAACCTTTTGATTCTCTTCGAGTTTATTCTTCATTTCGATTTCAGATGCACGAGTTTCGTTCAACTCAGCTACCTTCTCGTCCAACTCCGCCTTCAATGAGGCGAGTTCCTCTTGTTTGGTTTTCAAAGCCTAGAAAAAACGTTAGCAAAATTTTTGTTGTCTCATCCCAGAAGCACCCCACTGACCTCCTGAGCCTCCTCCGTCTTTTGTCTGGTCCCATAAACATCATTGTCCTGACTCGCAATGTCCTTGGCCAATTTCTCAAGGTCTCCCTTCACCTGCTCAAGTTCACCCGCCGCATCGGCACGGGACTTTTCATGCTTGATGCGCAGCTTGTCGTTCTTAGACTTGGAAACTTCAGCATTGGACACTTCCTCAGTGAGAAGATCAATCTGTTCCTTAAGACCATCGACCTTGGCCTTTTGACCCCGGAGTCTGACACCTCCAATCTCCATGATCTTGTTCTGGAGGACTTGGATCTCCTCCTCAACTCCTGCAGTTTCGGCATGAAGCGTCTCAATTTCTTTCTGCAAGGACGATATGTGTTTCTGAAGCTCGGCAGATCTGGTATCATCACTCTTCGAAGGTTTAAGTTCCACCGACAGTTCCTGAACGCGCCGCTGGGCATCTGCCAAATTCCGGTTGGAACTCTCGATTTCAAGCTGAATTCTTTGAATCATAGTCTCCAGTTTCGGAATCTCATCCCTCCTCGCTTTTATCGACGTTTCAATTTGCCGCTGCTTGTCCTGGAAAGCTTGAAACTTCCTCTCAATCTCATCACGATCAGCTTCTAGCTTCATGACCTGCTCCTTTGAAACTTCCGCAACGGGTTTTGAAGACATCCCACCCCTGGCAACACGGGTGCCACCACCACTCATAGTGCCCGACACATCAATGAGTTGTCCGTCCAATGTAACAACACGCCATCTTCTCGCACCGTAAGCGATTTTGTTAGCATGTTCAAGGTCTTTGGCGACAAGCGTATTTTGTAAAACACTATAAAATGCTGGTCGAAACTTAGGGTCTATTGGCTTGACAAGATCGAATAATCGTGGCACACTGTCGGGTGTAAAGACGGAGGACATGTCTCGCTGGGGCAGTCGGTCGAGAAGTATAAAGTTGGCTCTTCCTAGGTTGTTCTTGCGTAGATAGTCGATACATTGCTGGCCCACTTCAACGGAATCTACCACTAGGTTCTCAAGGGCTGGACAGGCTGTTGAAATGGCGACATCATACTTTTCATCAATTGTCCCCAAATTACCCAGTCTTCCATGAAACCCTTCAATACGTCCGGATTCTTTTAACCGCATCAAGCCTGCAAGAACGTTGCCCTGATTTTGCGTACTGGCAAGGCTCGCTCGAGCTTCGTCCGCCTTTTGGCGCGCGCTGGATATCCTTGACCGAATCTCCGGCTCCTTTTGTCCAAACTTTCTTAGCTCAGTTTCAAGAAGCGTAGTTTCATTTTCAAGTTCCACTTTCTCCGCTCGGCGGTTTTCCATGTCCGTCGTCTTATTGGAAATTGTAGCTTGGATGGACTGGATCTTCGCGTTTGCTTCTTCAAGAGCAACGGCACCTGCATTACTTTTCTCGCGAAGAATATCAAGCTCGCTCTGCGCGACGGCAACAGCTGATTGCTTTTTGTTGATCTTTTCATTCCAAGGTTCAAGTGACTTCTGCTTAACGGCGATTTGGTCCGAAAGGCCCTGTGTTTTACCCTTGAGTCCTTCTCGGATAGCCGCAAGCTCTTTCTCCTCGTGCCTCATCTCCTTCTCCAACCCTGCGATTTCAGCTGTTTTCCTTTCAATATCGTCCGCGTGTTTCTCAACCAGACTTGCGCACTCAGAGGCAGCCAGACGGCTTGCTTGCATAGCCTTTTCAAGCTTCTTCTGCTTCCCTAACAAAAACTTCCGCTTTTCTTCGAACTTGACAGACTCCTTATCATACTTAGCCATCTCTTTAACCATCGCCTGCGTGGCTTTCTCCATTGCCTCATACTCCTTCGCGCCGCGTCTGTAGGATCGCTGCAGTTGTTTGATGGCATCTTCGCTGCCCTGATGGTTCTCCAACTCCATATTCAGCAGTTCTTGCATCTGAAGTATCGCCTCTTCGGTCACCCGTGTATTGTCATCGCATTCGTTGATGTAGATTTGATAGAGGGCCGACTGTTTCTCAGCCAGTTCATTTTCGTCCTTGATGTAGGCAATCGCTTTGTTCTTCTTATCCTCAAGGCTGTGCTTTTCCTTTTCCACGTGCTGAACGCGGTTGTTTTTCTCAAGACAGACTTCATTCAAAGTTTCTACTTCAGCAGCTGCCTCTTCGATAGGGGCTTTATACTTGGACGTTCCAATAATATCCTCCAAGTACTCCAGCAGGCCGTCATCATGTTCGTTAGCGGCCTTCGGTTTCATTTGAGCAATGGACTCAACCTCTCCCTGCAGGATCAGAAACCGTTTATGGTCAAGATCAATCCCCCGGCCTTTCAAAAATCCCGTAACAGTTGTGAAGTTAGTCTCCTTCTTGTTCATGTAGTATTTGCTAGAATTGTTTTTGAACGCTCTCCGCGACACGATAAGCTGCGACTCCGGCACAACTTCGTGTCCTCCTTCGGGCAGATCCAAAATTTCTTGGAAGTGCACCTCAACCTCACAAAATTGTAGATCGGGAAAGTTCGCAGAATTATGTATAAGCGCAGAGATCTTCCCCTGTCGCATTTTGCTCGCTCTGAAACCAAACACGAAGAGAAGCGAGTCGATAACGTTAGACTTCCCAGATCCATTCGGCCCCACAACCGAGGAGAACGAAACGTGAAACGGGCCCACGACCTGGCGCCCCGCATAGCTTTTAAAATTTGTCATAACAAGGTGTGTGATGACCATTCGTGGTTTGGGAGCTGACGGCTCCTCAACCGTAGGCATAGCAAGCGATCGAGACTTTAGAACTATATCCATTGGCTTCTCCAGGTTCGTGGACATTGGATTTATCATTTCAATCGTAGATATCTCCTTCTCTGGTTGGGCTCTTGGCGTAGCCTCGTTGACAGTATTTTCGGTGATGTCCGCCAGCGGTGCGCTGCTCTGGCAGCGGGAAGGTGGGTGTAGCTCGGGTTGAGGCTGAGGCTGAGGCTGAGGTTGAGGTTGGCGCTGTGGCTGGGGCTCTGGAGAAGCTGAAGGCTCAGGAGTTGGAAGGGATGACAGTGCGGATGCGGAAGAGGACATACGACTTTCGCGCCTTCGACGCTGCTGCGAGGGCTCTCTACGTTTTCTAGGTGCCGACGGCCTTTTGGATGGCGTCTCTGGGTTTTCTGCTAGCAGAGTGGACTCATCCACCGTGTCCAAAATTTGTGACTGCTCCATATCATCTCCCGTTCTTGGCCGCCGTGTTCGTTTGCTCTTGTCCTGAACAGCTGTTTGCGGGGTTTCGGAGGAAAGGCTGGCAGTGGTTCGCCTTCTCGAGGGCCTCTTCGCGACTGGGCGCTTTGGAACCGGGGTGTATTCCTCCTCATCTTCCTGTTCTTGCTCGTCATGGCTTGATAGGGTGGGGGTAGCACGGCCTGTGGAGGCGACATCGTCTTCAGAGGTCTCGTCGACAACAAAACTCTTGCGGGCAGCAGCAGCGCGCCGCGAGGGCCTAGAACCGGATATGGATGTCATTTTAGCATGTGGTGGATGTGATAAATGCGCCCTGATAATGCCGTGGTTAATGTGTAAATGTAATTGTTGTCTGCGTCGGCGTCGGTGTCGTTGTCGTTGTCGTTCGGATGAATGTTGGTGTTGAATGTTGATGTCGATGCGGCTCCTGTCGTGTTGATGTTTACATTTAACCTAGTTAGGAAATAATCTACCGTCCCATTATATAATCCGGTCTTGGCATCAACCCGCTCTCCCAAAAACGCTTTTATCTTGAAGCAGTTGGACTTTGATTTGACGCGAAGAAAGAGAAATCAGAGAGGATTAACTATAACGATACTCTGATTATACAATCAGTATACAATATCCGATATGGCCCCCTGGGAGGAATTTGACGTCACGTTCTCTTTCAAGCGCGATTCCAGCTACGATCCAAAAACATATGACCAAATCATCGCTAACAGACAGGCTCTCGAGAACGTCCTTTTCGTTGACAGGCTCCTCAAAGCTCTGAATATTGATGCCGGTAAATAACAGCCCACTACCAATTGGACTGCTTAGATATTAATATTTAAATGGCGCAGCTTCGCGAGTGTACCCCCCAAGAACCAACCAAGCCCTCCGCGCGCTCTACGCACAAATTGTCTCCTCATCCTCGCCAAATCACCACAAGCAGGCGTTGATATATTACATTCTCAGAGACCTTCGAAGCACAAGCGGTGGTGATGCCAGTCTACTGTTCGCGCGACGATGCTATCTACCAGAGAAATACAGACTATTCATCGAGGGACTGTGGCATCTGGATAGATTGGAGTTTAGGGTTCGTCATATACCACCATGACTGTTTTTATACCATTTTTGAATACCTGCTAATTGTTAATTTCATCATATAGAGAGCACTAGAATACCTAACGGAGCCCTCCCTACTCCCTACTTTCCCTGATGAAATACTCTACACACTCGCAACCCACTCGAAACAAAGGCAGCAGCAACAACACCGCAACGAAAACGATGACGGCAGTCTCGCAACAGCATACTATCTCACCGCCTCCCCACCCTTGGCCTCTCCGAAAGCTCTAAACGCCTACTTCGCCCTCCTCTGCCGTACCCACATCACAGAATCCTTCTACTTCGCCCGCAAACAACCCTCCCCATCCTCCCATCGCGACCTTCTCGAACAACTCATTGTCTTCGTCCTATCCACCACCAAACCGGGTGAAACCCGCGCCAAGCGCGCAATGGAGCTTATCAACCTCCCATTCAGCGCGGAGGAGGAACGGTGGTTCGAGGATTGTTTGTTGACGGGGAAGGCGAGGCATTTACCGGGGGCGAAGGATACGGTTATGATGCGCCGGGTGGCGACGGGGCGATTGCAGGATTTGAATGCAGGAGGCTTAGAGGCGCTGGGCGGGAGGAAGATTGAGGGATTGAATTGGGACGATTTGAAGAAGAATTTGAGAGCGAGTTCGTCGGCGCTTGGAGGTTCTGCGGGGGTCGGGTATTAATTGACACGGCATGTAATGACTGGTAGCTGTATTTTAGCCTAGCATTTTAGCGGCGCAAGGGATGGGTTTGGCGAATTGATGCTCTTTTTAATTTCATTTGAACAAGAAAGGCCCTTCAGTATTGATGCTTTTATTAGATGCCTGTTCCAAGTATATTGTCTTGGATTCGCTGGAATTGATGGTATTGCTGTTTTTTCTGTGAAACCTTGCAGTAACGTTAACTTTTAAAATGATTTTATAGATCAATCATTTTTACTATAATCAAGTCATTTGATTACCCAATGATCATAATATATTTGTCTAAAAGAGGAGTGTACATACATGCCATGAGAAAGCTTGAGGCCCCCTCTGTAAGCAGCAAACAAGCTACATCACTTATTAACTGCCGAGCGGTTATTTAAGTTGGTTAGCGCCATTTATAACTACTGTAACTACTGTACATAGTTTGAGCTGATATCTAACTTGCCATCTTCATTATTCTCGCCGATAGAGCTTGTGTCTACTATATTTTAGTGCTCCCTAAAGCAATTCTTTATATAATTGACACCTCTCATATGGGTACCATAATACAGCATTTATTCTCCCAGATAACGCGACATCTAGGCCAAAACCCTGGTGAATTCCAATTTTACTCGTGACTCGATATGTTGTGAAGCTTCCCCTCCCTCAAAAGTCACCAAAAGCTCTCATGTGTATTTATTTCTAGTGTCATACCGGAGGGAAATGCCAAATAAAGGAGAATAATTGCTATACCAGAGCATATTTAAACAATACAATAAAAAAGAAGATATGCCCGTCTGCGTCTTCTACCAGCAGGGCCGCTGCAAGTTCGGCGGTAAGTCTTTTACTCTCTATCTCAACGTTCTATCAATGGCTAACTACCTACATAACCTAGATCGATGCAAAAATGAGCATCCAGGCTCTCAGTCCGCATCCCCATTTGGAGGCGGGGGGAATCGGTTTGGCGCGCTGGCTGGGGGAGGCTTTGCTAGTGCTGCTGGTGGCAGCGGCGCGTTTGGAGGTATGGAACACTTTTTATTGCAATATTTTCCCCCGTTTTGCTTCTATGCGGATGCATGGTGATGCTTTTATTGGTTTGGGCGGTTGAGCTGCTGAGGTCTGGGACGTGGATGTATGCGAGTTTTGATGCCCGAACTTGGTATTACGCGCGGTGGTTGGGCAGGGAGAAAGAAGTATTGTCAACTGGCAATTGTCAATTGCTGGCAAATGACAAAGCTTCTCCTCCAAGATTGCTGAGACATGTGTTTGGCGCGCTGTTTGTTCTTTCTCTTGGATGTTGCTGGATTCATTACCGGATAGTTGTTTCCTCAAATATCTTTTCTTGAGTCCAGAGCATATATATATCCTTGGGATCACTGTTATCAACCAGCATCTACATCTAGAGCATGGAGGATCAGGGCATTAACATTTTTGTTTTTCTAGGTGGACCCAAAGACAGCATCGAGCACAACAAGTGAGTTGCGCCCAATGATATATATACCTACCACCCAATCCATATTCCATCTAGTGGCTACTAATGTTTTCCAAATATAGATATGGCCTGAATCCGGATGACATCAAAGCTGATCTGACCCCCGGAAAGGGTAGACCGCAATGGATCTTTACATGCTACGGTCCAGGCAAAAATGCCCCCAGACAACTCTTCGGAGGTCCGCAGCGGGAACAGAGCTTCGAAGAGATGCGCGCGGTCCATTATGCCGCCGCAGCAGCTGGAAATGCCCAGCAGGCAGTCCAAGATGCAATGAAGCTCTACGCCGAAACAGAAGCCCAGATACAAACCATCCTCAACGATACAGAGGGAGCCGTCAGATATATCATAGAGGGCGAGAACACGCATCCAAACCGTATTGATATTATTGAAGGGAGAATAGGTCCCACCCCAACTCCTTTCAGCCAGCCTTCTGCCTTCGCACAACCAGAAGCAGCACCATCGACAGCGACCCCTTCACCATTCGGCCAGCAATCAGCATTCGGGAAGCCATCGTTCGGCCAACCTACTCCATTCGGTCAGCCATCAACGTTGGGGGCGGCTGCTCAACCCGCCGCTCCCTTTGGCCAGTCGCCGTTTGCCCAGGCTGCACAAACGCCAGTCAATCCTTTCGGCAAGCCAAGTGCAACCTCCTCTCCCTTTGTTCAGATCCAGCCGCAGAACCAACAACAACAGAACCCTTTCGGCCAGCAAGCAGCTCAGCAGCCATTCGGACAGCCGCAGCCACCGCAGCAAAATCCGTTCGGCCAGCCGCAACAGGAGCAGCAGCAGCAAACACCCAACCCCTTCGGCCAACCCCAGCCTCAAAATCCACCAGCACTCGGCCAACATTCTCTCTCCCCCTTCGCCTCCAAAACCCCCGCCCAACCCACAACCCAGCAAAGCCCCTTCTCTGCCGCACCACAATCCCCTACCAAAACCACCTCCATCCCCTCTACCGTCCTTTCCCAAAAAGCCAAACCACACCTTAACCCCCGACCCACCTTGCACGGCGAAACCCGCCGCGACCCAGTAACCAACCACTTACTCTCCTGGAAAGGTCAGGTGGTAAAATATGTCGACAACGAACCCTGCTACCAGCACCCGGACGACGCAGGGACGTTTGTGCGTATATTCTTCCCCGATGGCCCGCCGAGACCGGAGGCGTTGAGGGATACGCAGGCCAAGGCGGAGGAGTATACGCCCGAGATCGAGGCGGTTTATAGGGCAGTGAGGGAGCGTGGGGGATTTGGGGAAGCGGGAAACGGGATGGTGAAGGTGCCGGAAGTGCCTCCTAAGGGGGAGTGGTGTGGGTTTGACTTGTAAAGGGCGCCGATTGGAGGGAGGGGAGTTGGGGCTTTATAGATTTAATTTTAATTTTTCAGGGGACCATCCGCTATTTTCTCCTTTGATATGAATGTGCGTTATGGGGACAGGCCTGTTATTTTATTATTGTACTTTTTCTCGTCCTGTATTTGTATTGGTAGTTTTTCCCCGGGCATGTTGGATACCTTTACTTCGTCGTCCTCGCTGGCGCGACTATGATCTACACCTATACATGGATGTATGGACCCTGTAGAGTTATGATGCCAGTGCATACTTACTGCGGGCAATCGGTGTGGGTGGAAGAACTTATTTACCTCCCTCTCTTTTCAAGAAAATTGATATAGGACGCGTCAAGTTGCCTCTACAAGTTATGCAACTTTTAATTGCTGTTATGTGTAGATGCGCAATGTACTAAGTCATCCCATACATATCGCCGAAATAGCTAAAATTCGATGCAAGAAGTATGCAGCTTTTGAATTTAAAATTGAACATTTGTTCACTTCTCATTCCGGATTACCAGGGCTATGTAAATACATTTGGAGCAACAGAGCACACCTCAAGTCCGTCCGGAAGTGGTGCTGTGCTGCCTTTTTTATTTGACACCAGAACCCACATCTCTTCCGAGAGCAAGACAGCTGGTAACAAAACTTTTTTAACCCGGGGTATATTATCATATCCCCGATAATTCGTACTCATCGCCCGTCCAATCCACCACCCCTTTTACGGGATGGAAGTGGAGTCACGCGAGGGAGAGAAACCACATCTATGCGGCAATGGTAACCTCAACCTCAACACCAGCCTCGATGTTAATGATGATCTGCTTGACGGTCTCGGTGGGGGCGTGCAGGCTGTTTCCAAGGATCGTATTCGTTAGCACCTTCCAATTCCTTCCGAGTTCCGCAATTTAAATAAAATAATCCCGTAAAAATAACGCTCGACCCAAACCATATACCATCCCAACCCCCGAAACCGGAAAAGTAGACAGAAAAAAAGAACAAATACTCACTCAATCAAACGCTTATGGATGCGCATCTCGAACATATCCCAGGTCTTGCTACCCTCACCGTTGGGGGTCTTGCGGGTGGAGATCTTCAGGGTCTTCGTGGGGAGTCTGACGGGGCCCTTGACGTTGAGCGACTTGCTGCGCGCGCGATCGATGAGCTCCTGGCACACTTTCTCGAGCGAGGCGACCTTGCGCGAGGTGAGGGTGATGCGGATCTTGTGGATTTTCTGTTTTTTTTTTTTTTTTTTTTCGTTTTCATGGTTAGTTACTTTCGTGCGCAATTTGTGTGCAGGAGCTTGATTAAAGGCGGTTTGAGGTATGTGTAGAATATGGAAATGGAATATAGAAACACGTACGGGGCCTTCGCCGAAATCCTTCTCGGGCTTCTGGTACGACATGGTGATGGATTCTGGTTGGTGTTGACTTGTTAGCTGGGTGCGTCGATATGGAGTATATGGATGCTGGTGGGATGGTCGGGGGGGGGCAATTGACGTACAGTGATTTACCGGCGAATATGCCAATCCAGACCTGAACAGTAGGAGTTCGGTAAGGTGATGAAAGGCTGATTAGGCTTGAGGAAGATGCGTTTGGCGTTGAAAAAGACCAAAAAAGATGTTGAAGTCGCGATGAAATTTTGATAAGCGGAAGATTGTGGGCGGAAGTCTTGGCATTCGCTTAGATAAGGTTACGGGTGATGACTAACCAAGTCTGGAGGCTCCCATCCAACTCCCATTTTGATAATCGCGACAAACAATCATTGCCGTACATCTACAATATTATAATACTGGATATTTTGTTTTATCCCCCCCCTTGAGGAATTCCTGTTTCCCCGCTTCTCTGTGTGCGCCTGGCAGAAAGGACCACATTGCTGCCAAAGGAAGGAGGAAGAAGAAAATACATACTTACATTCCGCATGGCGCACGGTTCTCTTCCGCCGCTGGCCCCCTTCCCCCCCGCCACAGTCCGAAACATCCTCCAGAATGAGGAATGGACCGCCTGTTTAGATGCCTGGATAGCTCTTCTTGAGCTGCGCTTGAAGATACCTAAGGACGAATTTCAATCATTAATTCCCAAAGATGATTCATCGCGCATCTTCCTGGCATCCTTCTTCCAGGAGGCGGCAGCTGGAGATGGCCTAGGTGCCGATGCAAAATTGAAAACACTAAGACGGCTATGTTTTCTTCTTACAAGGAGACAGCTGTTAGAGGTTCATCCGCCGCCTGCTGAGCTTCTAGATTGGGAATTTCTTGCATCCTTTTGCCGCGTGTATGTTTCTAGTCCTGCCATGAGGACGCTTTTGGCTCAGTTATGGGATCAAGAATCGCAAGCTCTTACCACCAGAATTGAAAAGGGCAAAGCGCTGGTTATGAATGATCTATCAACTTCTAAGGCCGCAGACGGCATAGCGAGGGCAGACACACATCTGCGATCGCTTACCTTCCTGGCATTGGCGGTTCCCACCGCCGGTCTTGTTTTGATGACCGGCTCTGATTATATTGATACGCTCTTTGATGCATATTGCAATAATCGTAACATGAACGCAACTTTCAATAAGACTATTGTGGCCAATGCCTACGTGGGCTTTGCGTCGCTGCTGAAGTTGGAGCCCCCTGCGACGTCTCTACTCCTGGATCAGCTATTCAGTCTGAAATCCTCTGCTAAAGTGGACGTGAAGGGAACCAAGAGGAACCCAACACTGTTATCTGATATAATATGCAGTACCAATTTATTAGGGAAAATGGAGGTACTTTTTGCGGGCGCGAGCCAGAAACGAGGGCAGAATCTCGTCTCTTCGCTGCGCGCATATCAATCTGAGTGTAGTGCCTTTCACAGCCGGTACCAGCGCGTTAAAAGGAGAAAATATAAAGGAAAAGGTCGTGCGGATGATGCAGTCGAAATCGACGCGCATGCCCAGGATATCCGCATCCATAAAATGGCCCTAGTAACTCAAGTCCATGACCTATTCCCGCACCTAGGCACCGGGTATATTGCCAAACTTCTCGACCATTACGGCGACAACGTCGAAACCGTCGTCTCACATCTCCTCGAAGATTCTCTAGCTCCCCAGCTCCAAGACCTCAACGTCTCAGAAGAACTTCAGCAACCACACGGAACTTCATCTTCGCCTCACAGCCACCTAGCACCAAAACCCACACCACCACTCCCACCCTCCATCCCCCCATCCCAACCACAATCACAACCACAACCTCAAGCACATTCCACCATCCCCCAGCGCAAAAACATCTTCGACAACGCCGATCTAACCCGCCACACGACCCCCGCCGGATCCCTCCGCTACGGCCGCGCAAACCCCCACCAAACTGCCGACGACCTCCTTTCCCAGAAACCCACCAGGGCAAACAAAGCCGCCATCCTCTCCGCTCTCGCCGCCTTTGACTCCGACGACGACGAGCGCGACGACACATACGACATGGCCGACGTGGGCGGCACCGTCGATGCCGTCGTGCCCGGTGCAGACGTCGATGCCGACGCCATCGCCAACGCCGACAGACGGCCCGCAACTGCATTTGCGTACGCTGACATCGACCAAGCCCTCTACACCCACTACACGACCACACCATCCCTCTTCGCGCGCGACGCCGGCACGCGCCGCTCAGCGCCGCGCGCGCAGTTGCGCGAGGAGACGGGGATGACCGACGAGGCGATCGAGGGGTGGGCGGTGATGCTGGTGCGCGACCCGAAGCGGCTGGCGCGGATGGAGCGGAGTTTTGCGCTTGGTGCTGGGGGCGGGGGTCTGAATCGACAGCCGGAGTTGGCGGCGACGGCGTATCGGAGGCGGGAGGGCGGGGAGTCTGGGACGGGGACGGAGGGGGAGGAGACGGATGGTGGGGGACGTGGCGGCGGCGGCGGCGGCGGTGGTGGTGGTGGGAGGGGACGGGGAGGGAGAGGGCATGGTAGAGGTGGTGGTGGGGGTAGGGGTGGTAGAGGGGGCGGGGGCAATGTAGCTGGCCCTTCTGGTGAGCGGGATACGGCGATGGCGAGACGGCGGAAGGATGCGAGTAAGGGGAGTCGGGCGAATCATAATCGGCGGGATCAGAGGGCGAAGAAGATGGCGAGGGGGGGATTGTAATGGCAATATGTTGGTGGGGTTGGCGCTCCCTTTTGTTTATACTTCGTAACATATATTAAGGGCACATGTGGTCATTGTAAATATAAATAAGACTGTTTTGTACTATCATCTTGTCATGTCTATGAAATATAGATGGGTGTGGATGGGATACATATATGCATCAACATATATATGTCTCTATCTAACCGATCTTCTAGTGTATGTACGTGCCCGGGTATGTAACAGATTGTTGTGCAGTGCACGACGCTTCGCGACTGTATAGCTCAAGAAGCGCCAAATAAATCCCCAAAAGAACAAATTAAAATCAACAAGTGGCACACATACAAAACAGCCAGCGATAAACACAGCAGAGTCGAAAAAAAAAGAGAGAGAGAGAGAGAAACCCGCGAACCGACGAGCAGAGATTCCAACATTAAGGAAACGACATAACAAAACCAGACGCCTCCAAAAACACAGCCTGATCATATCAACAAAAAAAGCTAAGCAACACTGTCTAGACATTAATGACCATGGGCATGCAACCCGTGCTCGGCAGCGATACTCTTCTGGCACTCCGCCAACAACCTCGCCTGCGCCGCCACCTCCCCCAACCGCCCAATAACCTCCTTATTCCCATCCAAGAACGTGAAAATCGCATAGGGCACCTCCACCTCCCTACAGAACTGCATAACAAGCTTCTGCGCCTTGCGCAGATTATGCCTCGGCATGCGAGGAAATAGGTGGTGGATGACCTGAAACTGGAGGCCGCCGTGGAAAAAGTCGAGCCACTGCGGACAGTCGACGTCCATGGTTGTGCGCAGCATGCGTTGTGGAAAGGATTCGTTCACGCCCAGGTCCGCGGTGGACATGGCAAAGTGCGAGAGGGTGATTTGCACGTGTAGAGGCATGGTGATGGCGTGGCTGATTAAGATGAAGAGGAGCCGGTTGGGCCAGTCAGGGATGCTCCGGTAGAGCACACCGTAGCCGAACCAGGTCCAGAAGACCACCTGGCCGAGGATTTCGAACCACCGGTGCCACCATGCAGGGCCCTTGCGGGGTGCTTGGCCGCCTAGAAGGTATTCCCAGCTGAGGCGGTAGAGGTTGAAGCGGCCGAAGACGAGGATGGGATAGTAGAGGTAGTTTTGGTAGCGGATGAGGAATTTGGAGAAGAGGTCGTAGGTCATTATGCGGTCGTAGTAGGTGGAGCGGAGGCTGTCGAAGAAGCGGTGGGAGATGGCGAAGAAGGGCATGTGCTCGATATCTGGGTCGTGTTCGGGGGAGTTGGTGACGATGTGGTGGACGTTGTGGTTGCGCTTCCACCATCCGATGCTGAGGCCGCCGATGTAGTCTGCGATGAGGATGCCGATGACGGTGTCCACATGGAAATTATGGGTTATGCCCAAGTGGCCGGCGTCATGGACAGTGAAAACCAGCTGGTGCCATAGGGCTCCAAGGAATACGGCAGAGGTGGCGTACCAGCCCCGCCAGAGGAAATAAAAGAACAGGCCTCCAAGAAGGGTGTAGCGGACTGATTCTATTAGATAGGCAAAGTAGTCGCAGTCATAGAGGCCTTCTGCTTTGACTTGGTCGTGTAGCGCGCGGTATTTCCGGATGATGAAATCCTGAGTGTTGGCATCCAGGGGCGGGTATTTCGCCAGATCCATGAGTATTTCCTCCCGGGTGCGGGCATCTAGAAAACCCGGCCGCGAATTTGGTTTCGAGTCAGTCGCGGAGTCGTGGGAATTGGAGGATACAGAAGAGACTGAGGACGCTGGGCCCCTACGTCTGGTAGTGCCCTTGACCGGTTCAAATATTGGAGAGGGGGGATCTGAGAGGTCCTGCTCTGAGGAATCCCCCTCACAAACTTCATCGGAGGACACATGGAGATCGCCCTCGTTATACGGGCGGAATTTCCCACCCTGGATAGGGGGCAGGAAATTCATCCAGCGGCCTTCGATGCGGCCGATCTGGTACGCATTCATCCGCTGGCGAGCTTCGGCGGAATGCAGACTAGATCAGTGTCAGTTTCGACTTTCATGTAATATTGATAAAGCAAGGGGAAATGGTATATATATATACATACGCCGTGACTTCATCTGTAGCATCTCTGCCAACCATATGCATGATGGATTTATTCCCACCGGGATGGTAGGGGATCCAAGCGTCCACTTTGAGAACCTTCCCGTCTAGAATTATAATGTGCCTGCCATCTGCAATGAGACCCTCAATCTCTCGCCGGGAGAGGATTCTGTCATTTCTGCTGCGAGTTGCAGGATTTGAATTGGGTGGCGGTGTAGGGGAACCCATAGCTGTCTGTTTGTTTGTACCTTGTGGGGTAGACCGGCAGTTGGACGGGATGGCGGGATGGCGGTTAGGAGCTCTCAAAGAATGGATGCCGGGTTTCACTGGGCAAATAGCGAAGGGCAAGGAGAGGGACAGTAACCGAGGACACCATTGAAGAGCAGGGGCCAAGCGCCGGCGAAACGAATGCGAGGTGCAGCGGAGTTGAGGTGGATGTTGATATGTTGTTGATATGTTGATATGTTGATATGTTGATATGTTGATATTTGGAGGTTGAACGAGGTTGCCTGATCATGTGATAAATATCTGGCTGTCTGTCTATCAAAACAACCAACCAGCCCCCTTTTTTTGTTTCTTTTTTCTAATCTATAGACATTTCATTCTTCTCTTTTCAAATCTTCTCCAGGTAGCTTCACTCAATGTATGATCTAACGAGTGGAAGGAGTGGATACAAGGCAGCCTTCCAGTAACAACATATACAACATGAGTTTGTATAGAGAGTATAGGGGATGAAGCTAGTGTTGCCCGTGGAAAGCTTCATATGAGATAAAATAACTTATATCCTTTCTAGCTGCATCGATTAGCTACAACCTGATTGTAAGAAATTGCTTGCCGTATTGGGGGGGTTATCAATACTATACATTACGATTATCATTATATTGTATATGCGCTTAGCAGTTCAGTCTTCTCAATCTCACAAATGTTTGTGTGAAGAGAGTCAGTCCAGTCCTACTTTTTAAGCAAATGACGGACGTTGGGTCGAAAGCTGCAACCAAGCCCTAAGTTATTATTATTAGTTATATAAGTTAACTAAACTAATAATAACTTGTTCCATGTAGGCTACTGGTACTGGGGCAAAAGAGCTTCAGTCACCACCAGCGCACTGCTCTGCTGGTAAATACCCCAACATCCAACATCACGTCACATCACTCAATAACTACACATTACACATCAACGAACAACCGTTTCCCGGGATTTTGAACTTGCTTTCCCTCCAACCGATTGCATTTTTTTTTGAAGTGAGACTATATCACTTAGATAGGCGCTAGGTATGCTTCACTCTATCCTTTCAATGCAACAATTGGGCTGCTTGGTCCGAAAAAGGTGGGTAATTAACTTCATTAATAGCGGTAGACAATATATCAGACCAAGCTACAAGAACACCATTGTAAATTTTGATACATTTATTGAATAGCCCTTTCTACAGGGTGCTGAAATCTAGGACATAGCTGTCCAATCTCTCTAGATGGCCGATTCCTCCACAGTAAGTCGTGGTGAAACATGAATAACCAGCTCCAATTCAACCCCACTTGCTAACGCATGCTCAAAACTAGATACCTCTCTCAGATCTAGTCCAGCAATGGCTGGATTGGGACCATGTACGTTTTAGTTCCAGGGGGGGAGAATATGAAATTAATTGTCTACCTGTAGATCTGCGGGTAGCAAATTACTGTCCTTTGCATGGCCCAACCTCCCAAAGCAGATCACCTATTTAAAGACCAAGACTCTCTTCCTGGATATATTAACTTATAGCCCCATCCCGGCCTTGTGGACTGATGGGCATTATTGGCTATAGGACCCTAAAACCCGCGCTGAAATCCTCAGACTGCGTGACGAGAAGAATGTAGCTGAGTTGGAGAAACGGTTGCGGAAACGTGCGTCCACAAAAATTATTTAGTGTAGCATTCCAAATCCCTCAATTCATAATCCGCACCGCTCCCCGAACCATCATCCAATTTTCATTTACTTACATACATACGCAGGCATCGAGTTCGGCACTGCCGGCCTCCGCGGCCGCATGCAAGCTGGTTTCTCCTCTATGAATGGCTTAACAGTCATCCAGGCCTCACAGGGGCTGGCCAAATATATCAAAATGTCGTATCAGCAGTCATCCTCACAGGAATCCGAGCAGCCGCCGTCCGTCATCATCGGCCGCGATGCACGGTATAACTCGAAGCAATTTGCTATGCTGGCTGCCAATGCATTTGCTGCTGAGGGGATCCGGGTGTTGTGGTATCAGAATGCGGGGCCGACGCCACTTGTGCCCTTTGGCGTGTTGAAGAATCCGGGGGCGTGGGGAGTCATGGTTACGGCTAGTCATGTGAGTTTTCTCGTGTGGACATGTGTAGATGGATGGGGATGATGCGGTGGTAACGGATTTTTTTTGGTATTTTTGTGGCTGACGGGATGTGTGATGTTTGATAGAATCCTGCGAGAGATAATGGTTTGTTTTATGTCCGCACTGGTGGCTGTTGGGGGTAGACACTTTGCTAATATTCATATTTGGGGTGTTTAGGATATAAAGTGTTAGGGCCTCCATATACTTCTTTAAAAGTCTATTACAATTGCTAACTGGGTTTATAGATACGCGTCGAACGGCTGTCAGATAAATTCACCCATGGACATGGAGATCGCAGAGATAATCGGGGAAAACCTAGAACCATGGCCAAACGCCTGGGACACAACGGACGAAAGCAAGTATCTCGCCTTAGATTGCTACGAGGATACTGCGAAAATATACTGCGACGCCGTCACCCAGTTCGTAGTAAGTGATATCCCCCCTCTTAATGTCTCACATTGCGCATTCCACATTCCGCCCGTCGTCGTCCCTCCACCGTTAACAAAAGCCGCCATAGAACTCCATCAAGCTGGCCCCAGGCAGCCCTCCAAGACCTTTCGTATACACCCCCTTGCACGGTGTCGGGAATTCCATCATGTCCCGGCTCTGCGAGCAGCTGGGTATCAAAGATCTAATTACCGTCGTCGCGGAACAGCAAGAGCCGGACCCAGATTTCCCAACCGTCACCTTCCCGAATCCAGAGGAAAGCGGTGCATTAGATCTGGCTATGAAAACTGCCGATGCCGTGGGCCGTGATCTAATCATCGCTAATGATCCGGATGCGGATAGGCTCGCCGTGGTGGAGAAAGTAAAGTATGTGTCGCGGCCCCCCCCTTTCTCCCCCGAACTCATTTATCATTATTGTTTTTCATTTCCATGATATGCGACTTCCACTTCTCCCCCATTCCACGCATCTAATATAACAACCCTTCCTCACCAGCGGCACCTGGAAAAAACTCACCGGCGACCAACTCGGCATCCTCCTCGCTTCTTACATGCTCGACACCATAACCTCTCAACAGCAACAAGGACAACACACACGAAAGAAGATCGCAATGCTCACCACCGCCGTATCAACAAGCATGCTCTCCAAATTTGCCCGTGCCGAATCCTTCCATGCCCAGGAAACCCTCACCGGCTTCAAATGGCTCGGCAACGTCGCTCGACGCCTCGAATCCTCGACACCCCCACCCCCACCCCCACCCCCACCCGTCCCTGTCCCCGTACCCGTAGCCGTAGCCGTACCCAGTGCCAACAGCGACAGCGAGACCGGCTACACCGTCCCCTTCGCCTTCGAAGAAGCGCTCGGCTATATGTTCCCCGCCATCAGCTACGACAAGGACGGGTTGACGGCCGCGCTGGTGTTCGCCGCCGCCGCCGAGCCGCACTGGCGCATCAACGAGGGCGTGACGCCGTACGAGAAGCTGACGCAGCTGTATGCGCGGTATGGGTATTTTGAGAATTTGAATACGTATTTCGTCTCGCCGGATGTGGGGGTTACGAGGAAGTTGTTTGAGGGGGTTAGGGAGAGGGTTGCGGGGACGGGGTTGGGGTTGGGGTTGGGGTTGGAGTCGGGGAAGGAGATGGAGATGGGGATGGGGATGGTTGGGTCGTTGCCGATTTTGCGCTGGCGGGATGTTACGCTTGGGTTTGATTCTGGGCCCACTGGCAAGGGCGAGGGCGAGGGCGAGGGCGAGGGCGAGCAGTTACCCGCTGATCCGAATAGTCAGATGGTAACGGTGTGGTCTGAGCGGGGGATTCGGTTTACGTTACGCGGGTCCGGGACCGAGCCGAAGATTAAGAGTAAGTACACCGTTTTGTTTCCTTTTGTTCCGTTTTCTTTTCCGTTTTCTTTTTGCCGCTCCGTTCCATGCCCCCTGCACTGTACTGCATTCCAAAGGGGCGGATTAGCTAACCTCCGTTGATTTCCGCCAGTATACATCGAAAGCTGCTCCGCCTCACGCGACGACGCGGTCAAAGCTATCTGTGACGCGTTCATGGCCGTGCTGGAAGATTGGATAAGGCCCTGTGCCCCTGGTGTGGCGTGCGCGGAGCGGATTGTTACTTCTTCTGGGTTCGTTTTTGATGTACCTAGGTAGGTAGAAAAATAAAAATAAAAATTGAGCTCCCTTGTTGCTGTTCATGCCGGTTTATCTCAAATATGTGGGGATGGGTGGATGGATGGATGGACGGATGGGATGGGGATTGGGTTATAATATACTCCATATATACATGAAGGTCTGTGTGTATGTGCTATATGGTGGGTTTCCCTCCTAGCCCCACTGCTGCGCGCAGCGGATAATATTTAATCAATCAAATCAAATCTATTTCAACATATACTGCTCATATCACGATCATGATTGTGTTACACATGTATGGACATGGTATGGAACAAGTGGAAAAAATGTTGATTGAGGGTTTGTTTATATGGGCATAGATACAAAAAGGGAATTAGACACAAGGGTAAAAAAACAAGAAGGTTGAAGAGGAAGGAGGAAAAAATAGTCAAAAAGGAAATAGATAGTTTAAGAATACTCGGTGCATCATTGCTGACGGCGACGGGAAGTTAAAAGTAGTTTATTTGACAGAGAGATACATGGGTTTAGCTAGTTAGGGTGGTACATTTGACAAGTAACGCAGGGCGAGGGCGGGATATTTTGCATATATACAGCATGGCATTTTATGCGGTGTTTTTTGGCGGGGAAATTTTGATTTCACGGATTGTAAAGTTGGTGTGGTGTACTGTAGTGGAGAGGGAAAAATTAGACAAAAAAAAAAAAAAAAAAAAAAAAAGACGCTGAAAGGCCAAGAAAACATACATCCTTCACTCTTAGAAATGAATAGCCTTCGAGTAAGTAGCCATAGCGGCCTCCTTGAACGCCTCTGACAGCGTCGGGTGCGCGTGGCACGTCCGCGCCACATCCTCACAGCTAGCACCGTACTCGATCGCCAGCGTGGCCTCAGCGATCATCTCGCCTGCACCGGCGCCGATGATGTGCACGCCCAGGATCCGATCCGTCTCCGCGTCCGCGATGAACTTGACCTGCCCCTCGGTCTCGAGGTTGGTCTTGGCGCGCGAGTTGGCGCTGAACGGGAACGTGCCGACGCGGTACTTGATGCCGGCGGCTTTGACGTCGGCTTCGTTCTGGCCTACCCAGGAGACTTCGGGGTGCGTGTACATGACGCTGGGGATGGCGGCGTAGTTGACGTGGCCGTAGCCCTTCTTGATGTACTCGACGGCGGCGACGGCTTCCTCCTCAGCCTTGTGCGCAAGCATGGGGCCGAATGTGCAGTCGCCGACGACGCGGATGTGCTGGGCCTTCGTCCGGTATTCCTGGTCGATGACGACGCGGCCCTTCTCGTCAACTTCGAGGCCGACCTTCTCCAGGCCCAGACCCTCGGTGTATGGTCTGCGGCCGATGGCGACAAGCACGACATCAGCGTCTAGGGTTTGCTCCTTGCCGCCCTTGGCAGCTTCGACGTTCAGAACGATATTTTTGCCGCTGGCATCGCCGGAGGTAACCTTCGTGTTGACGAGGAATTTGATACCCTGTCTCCCTAGAATCTTCTGGGCTTGCTTGGCGATCTCAGTATCCATTCCTGGGCCGCCGATTTGGCCTAGGAACTCGACGACGGTAACTTCCGCGCCCAGTCGGGACCATACAGAGGCCTAAGATACGTGTTAGATTCGAGTCCATTCAGGAGAGAGAGAGAGTGTGTGTGTGTGGTGTGTGGTGTGTGCCTGGAAGATTGAATAGGAGTTACAATACCATTTCCAGACCAATGATACCACCACCAATGACAACCATCTTTTTCGGTACTTCTGTTAGTGATAGGGCGCCAGTGCTTGAAATGATGCGCTTCTCGTCGACGGGCAAGCCGGGGAAAGGGGTATATTCACTGCCAGTAGCGACAATGATGTTCTTCCCCTTGAAAGTCTTCTCACCGCCTTCCAGCAGGTCAACCTTGACGGTGTGCTGATCAACGAACGAACCGGTCCCCTTAACATAGTCGACTTTATTTTTCTTTAGTAGGAACTCAATGCCTTTGGTGAGGGAGTCGACGGAGGAGTCCTTGGCCTTCATCATCTGCTCGAGGTTGAGCTTGACATCTCCGACCTCGATACCGCGCTTCTTGGTGTCGTGGAGGACTTGGTGGTATAGGTGGGAGTTGTTCAGAAGGGATTTCGATGGGATACAGCCGACGTTCAAACATGTGCCGCCCAATTTTCCTCTTTTTTCGATACAGACAGTCTACCCGATGGTAAGCGAAGGTTCGATAGATATGAACAAGAAAACTCTGTTCCAGCGCCCACCACAACATGATGAATATGGGGGAAGTAAATACTTTTAGGCCTTCCTGACCAGCTTTTATCGCCGCAACATATCCAGCAACACCGCCGCCTATTATAACCAAATCATGCTCCTCTATAATGGGGAATTGGGGGTGATTGTCAGTACAGTACAGTACACTGCTTCCGGTGGGTGCGGCTACTGCTGAGTCAATTGCCAGCGCGCTGACCGGGGTATTCTCTCACCTGTGCTCGTCGCATAACCTCTTCTCGAGTATCTAAGGATATAGGCACCGGAGAGGGGAGCTGGGATAGGGGAAATATGTGATTGCGGGAATGGCCGGCTAACCGTTCGGCCGGTTGCGAGACGAGGGAAGACGGGGCGGAACATAACTACTCTACTCGAGACTTGAGAAGGACAGGGTGCGGAGGTGGATCAGGAAACCAGAAACGGGATAATATCGGCAGCAATATCAGACAGAGGAAGAAAAAAGAGAAGAGAGAAGAGCAATTGAAGAGCGGGAGAGAGGAGGAGGAGGAGGAGGAGGAGGAGGAGAGTCAAGAGTTTCCTTTGTCGGAGTTCGTTGTTGGAGTTTGTTGGGGGAAGGCTGGCTGACTCAGCAATCTCATCTTCGCTTTGGATTTGGAGATGATATTGGGCTTGATTAAATAAAGAATACTAACTTAACTATCTCATGGATATATATCAGAATAACATACTATACTCATACTCAAAGCACGCCTCCTTGCAAGCTATGCCTCGTGTTGAGCTCCCGATCTATATATGTATATGTTAAAAAAAATGCTGTGCGGCTGTTGATGACAGACAGGGTTGGAATTGCTATCTACAGTGGTACATCATGGTAGTTGCGAAATATTCCATTGCAACGTGTGAATTTAAACAACAAAAAAGTAATTGCCCCGCGACCTCTGTCTCTGTTATCTAATCACTATGGCATCCTCCAATCAAAGATATCGCATCGTCGTACGCTTTGATAATGGGATTGTATAAACATTTTGGGTCTTGCGGGGTACCAATGATAATTCCTCTGCCCCCATACGGGAAAAGAATGTCTCGTATAGCTCTGCAAAGGGGTTTGACACACTCAAGTATTGGTGGAAACTCAGATAAAATATCCTCAAATCCATCTGCACCCATGTCGCCTCGCTTAATTCTTGCAATCTCTCTGTAAGTATCAGTGTACCATTTTGTCAGTAAACTGTTGTTTGGTGGAGAATATTCAACTGTGAAGAGATGCTCAAATCCACCAGTTCCAATGTCGTCTTGTTTGGTATTTGCAATTGTCTCATGACTTCCGGCGCACCATATTTCTAACATTCTATTTCTCAATCCGCCATGTCGCTGATACAACACCCGCAACTGGTTTAACTTGTACCAACCATGATGGGCACATTGCCAGATAAGCACGTAGAAGAATGACTCGAGATCATGTCGATAGGTATGGTCGATATTAAGTAGCACCTCAATTGCCATGAATTCCATTGTGCCAGTCTGGTGCCGTGCGCCACTTCTCCCACTCCCAACTTCTTTGGCGAGATCCAAATCAATTAGCATGCCTGAGTGACCGTCCGCCTTGCCTGGATCAGTTATTATTATATTGTTCTCTGAAATATCCCGATGAAGGATGTTCCCATCCAGGTAAAGAGACTGGTGCGCCTTTATTGCATCGCAAAGTGCCGTGAGAAGCTCCAGGGGTGATCTGTAGTCATAGATCGGCCGGCCAGCAGGTGAGATCACAAGGCACCGGAGGATACGGTTGTCATACAGCTCCTCACTGTTTCTGTCGAAGAGGCTTGGCTGGTGCACTGACTGAATGGAGAAAGATAATTCACTCTCCTGCTGGGTGTTTCTTGATCGTTTGGATGTCTGCAGCCCCTTGTCCGGGGATCTGCGCTTCCTGGATGATGTCTTTCGATGGATATCTAAGTAACCGGGCCAAGTGAGTGGTTGAGAATGATGAAGCAGGGATGTTGTGCTTGGGGGTGCGCTTTTGAAGTTGTGGCGCTTGTTGTCAAATGTCAGGCCGCAGCGCATATCGGCGATACTAGTGATGGCACCATAGCCAATGATTGTGGCAACCCCTCGAACATTCTTCTGACTTGCCAGCTCAAGAAGTTCCGCCTCCGGCCGCCGCTTGTCTGACACCCATGAGAATTTAGCTACACCCTCTGCTTGTCCATCATTTGCAAGAAAACATGTGGTTCCGCGACACACAATGGCACGCTGAAAGGAAAGCATGTCACCCAGCTGCATCTTCCTTTCCTCTGAGTTTCCAGGCCCCTTGACAGTTATCGACTTGTTGCCATCTTCATCCCTAGCAATAAAGGTGTCCAGTCCCAGCTCCTCATCACTCATCATGGTGTAGCCCACAAGCACCTGAAAGAACTGTCTTGAGTCTGTGTAGACATCAATGATGCCTGAACTGTAGGGGCCTGAGCGGTCAAACACCCACACCTCCATCTCAGTCCCACAGACAGCAAATGCATGAATGAACCGCCGGGTGGGCTGTGCAGCAAAGACCTCACGGACATAGCGGCTCATCTGTAGCAGGGTGCCTTTGGTCTTGATCTCCTCCTTGGATTTTTTGAGCTCACCGACTACCAGAATATCTGCCCAGTTGTGATTGTTTCGCAAGAGACTCTCATCCCTAGGTCGCAAGGGACTCTCATCCCTAGTTCGCAAAAGAAGGTCAGCTTGCCGTTCTGCCTTTGAACCAGTAAGATCTGCTTTACTTGCTGTGGTGTAGTACATGCTGCGTGATTCCAAGAGAAGATCTTCTTGAAGACGAAACCACCAAGTGAGAACATTGCTCTGTGTAGGAGGATCGGGAAACTGAGCCCAATTACCATCAGTGTCTGGGGCCAGTACACGTTGACAGATGGCATCTGCTTTGCTGCTCCAGTCCTTTCCCTCAAAGTATTTGTCAAAGAAGCCACCAACATCTCGAAATGTGCAGTCATGTATCTCCTCAAAGATTCTTGGATTCACCAAGTCACAGGTCTGCTCAGAACCTCTCTGTGATGTTGAGGTGGATTTGACCGGTGTGCTGTCAAAAGAAGGGGGGACACTTGCGGGAGGAGTTGTTTGTCGAGGGATGGTGTCAATGAGGGTAAATACAGCTTTCCAGACATTGAAGTTCCAGGTTTCGACATTCTGGGACTCAGTGGGAGGTCTTTGAATAACCAGGTGCATCAGTGGCTGGTAGTCGTTGTATCTGAAATTTCCTTTTGTTTTTTGGAGGCACTTGAATATGTGTGCTAGATCAGATGCCACATTTCCATCACTTATCCGTGAGCAAAGGCTGTAAGCTGCAGCCTCTCCCAGTAAGGTATAGACAAGTTTTGAAAACACACTTTGATAGAGTTGATCAAGGCTATCAACAGCACCATGGTGGGAAATTAGACGCGACTCATATATTCTTTCAGCTTCCTGAAGTGCACCTTGTAAGCGATCGACTAGGTCGGATAGAGGGTGGTTCTTGATAATGTTGCAATCTTCTTGCGAAAGTCTTGTCATTTTGACGTTAGAAAAGACTGTTGTGTTGGGTTGGTGTGAAGGTTGGTTAACTAGGAGTTGTAAGGAGAGACAATTTTATGTGATGAGTAAATACGGGAACAAAAAATGCAGAATTGTTTTGAGGTAGTTATATGATATCTGCGAGAGAAGATAGCTGGATTTAGTCCTCTTTGTTTGATCGCGACGGTAATAACAACGCGAAAAAAGTAGAAAGTAAGGGAATTGGGAGTTGGGAGTCGTCGGGATAGGAAAATAGGGAAGTAGGGAGTCATTTATTGAAATCGTATTTTGAGAAGCATCGGCTAAATATTCCCATTTAGGAAACCAAGCCCGCAAACCAAACTTGTAGAAGTATCAGCCAATAATAATTTCTTATAACTAGTTACTAAACAAGCATCAAACACTTGTCGCTTACGCACCCCTTTCCCCCCCTGTAGTTATGTGCACTTTTCTGCTTTCTGACAATATCACTCACATACATAACTGGGATTTCCTTTGTTAAGTATATATTTAACTAAGAACTCTATAAAACATATTCAGAGTGAATCCAGGAGAGATTCTGCAGCTCATGTATAAGTTACTACTTTGCAGCTTAGAGAAGAGTGCTCAGTATTTCTTCAAGACTTCACTTCATATCAAGAGACTAATAGCTTCTCTGCTCTCTTAATTATTTCAAAAGGTCTTCTCAATTACCACAGCACAGCACGGTAGTTATTACCCTGAACAAATATGCCGCTTATGGCCGAGAGATTAGTTTCGACCGAGTGTCAGGACAGATATTTAAAAGAGAATAATAATAAGAGAGACGAAAAATAGTGTTGTACAGCTAGTTCTATTATCATGCATATCTTCTTTAAAATCTAGATTTAGATTCTCTTTCCTATGCATCATTTCTATTTCCCGCTTTCTCATGTAGTTAATCAATGGCAGAATCCAAGGCAGAATTCAAGGACTAGCTTGCTTTGTTGTTGAATGCTGGAAGTATGCGGACCAGGCTACCGTTCTCCTCCATCTCCTCCATCCTGTTCAACCATCATGAGGTTCTGGCCAGCTTACTGGCCCACGTCACTTGCAGTCGTCTGAGAAGAGGTATTTACCAAATTATGCGCTCGCTGCTGAAAGAATCGAGTGATTGGCCTTTAGTCTGCGCTGCTGTGTTCTGCTGGCGGGTGTTGGGTTGGGCATTGTCCTGGTTGGTGCAAGTGGAATCCAATAGGAGGGGATGGAATGGGCTTTGCCGCAATTATGCAGCCGGGCTCAGGCGCTTGGGGCGAGACTTGGGTGGTTGGAGGAGGTAAGTTATTGCTTCCGTTAATTTTCTTATTCTTGGTGTTAATTCTTTTACGTTGTAATCCAGGCAATGGCATGGAGGTTCTGGAGAAAAGAGTTCTTATAGCTTGACTTCCCCCTCATATCCCCACCCCCGATTCTCTTGCTTTGGCGTAGGAGTGATCATGAGGGATTTCGATGTGCCTCTTGCCTTCTATATAATAAGTACCGCTGTTATAGAAGGGGTTGACACAATTTGCCGCCTTGCCTATACCTGGTGTTGATCTACGACGCCCGTGTTGTAAGTGCAACCCTTCTTTGTAACAACTAAGCTCATGCTGAGAGTACATCTAACCTCCCCCGGTGCTGTAGATATCTAATAACACCCAGAATTTATAGCTAAAGGGAAGAATTTATCACAATGAATGCGTCCAACTTCGACACAAGAAACAGAGGGGGAAGTCTTGCAGGGCAAGAAAGAACAATGCAGTCCTCATCCTCGACTTCCGAGCGAATAAAAACTCGCAACCGCGCCCAAAGAAGATCTTTCAAAAAAGGTAAAAATAACAATGCAGTGCGTGATAATAACACCTCTATAGCACCAACCAACAGCCCGGCATCTGTTCAATACCCCCCTGACATCTCTTCTCCAGCGCAGAGAACTGGTGACTGGAATTGGAGCAGACCCAGCAACGCATTAAGCTCTATAGACCAAGTGCAAGGTCGTCTCAGGAGAGAACTGATGGATCTACATTTCCCGCCATTGGTACCTATTCCAGTAGAGGTACATGCTTCGTCAGTTCCTCTAGCTAGAAGGACGGTGGAACGACCGAAGCAACCTCCTGCGTCATTACTAGCCCCTGAACAGGCCCCTAAACAGGCCCATGACATGACATACAGACGTGATGATGGTTCGTCCCTAGCTGTCAGCGAGACCGCTACTGCGGAACTAGCGCAAGAGCTGGGCCCTAGTAACATCGAAGCGACCCCTGAATATATGCTGCACTTGAATGCCCTCATTGCCAAACCAAGGACTCTCAAGGAGGCTGGATATGTTCTCAACCCACTTTCAACTAAGGACTTTGAACAAAAGAAAAGATGCCGTGGGTGCGGCACGAGTAAGCACCTTTTTTTTTTTTTTTTTTTTTTTTCTTTTTCCGTCTCCCTTGATTGCCTACTTCCCACAAGTATAATTGATGAAACTAACGGATAGCAAGCAATGGCGAAAGTTATGCGCCCGAGAGAGAGAGCGGTGCAGAAGAGGGAGAAATCCAAGGATCACCCAATAAAATCGGACTATAATGCTAGTGAGAAGAAAGACTCCTCGCAGAAGGAGAAGGGTGATGGCAAATGTGAGGACGATGAGACCAAAACAACACCGAAGAAGAAGATTATACCCTGCAAGTTCCATCCAGGTCCACCGGTGTGGAATAGGCAAGGAAAGGTATGCCATATCATCCTACTTCAGCCGTGTAAAATATCTTGGAGGTGACAAAATTACGCGCTTAATTCAATCCACTTACTAAATGAAAATCCCATGAGCTTATTTACCTAGATATGGTCGTGTTGTCGCCAACCCATGTCCGCAGATCCTTGCAGCGGTGCTGAGCAGCATATCGCTCGCTATTATCTTCCTGGGGAAATTCAGAGACTCTGGCAGTTCCATCCTACTCCACGGACACCAAATATGTCCTCTCCAGATACCCGTGCCGCGGTCGCTATTGACTGTGAAATGGGTCAGGCAGCGTCAGGAGATTCCGAGCTCATCCGGGTTACGCTGATAGATTACTTCTCATCGGCTGTGCTTATTGACAGTCTCGTATATCCAACCGTGAAAATGGAGCACTACAGGACGCGATTCTCCGGCGTCAGTAGACGTGATATGGAAACTGCGATGAAGGAGGGGAGTTGTATTATGGGAAGAGACATGGCTCGATTCACCGTGTGGAGATACGTTGGACCTCAGACGGTTGTTGTTGGGCATTCGGCTCATAATGACTTGGAGTCATTGCGTTGGATCCATTCTAAGGTCATTGATACGCATATTATCGAATCCCTATTGGAAAAGGAAAAGAAGTGCGAATCTAAAAAGGAAGGCGATAAGCCCGAGGAGGATGGCAAGGAAACAGCTGAGAAAGATGAAGCGACACCTCTAACCGAGGAGTCTGGCGGAAATGAACATGAAGCTGAACATCAACTAGATGAAGACGAAGAGTCGAATGCAAATACAAGCAGCAAAGGACCGAAGAAATCACCCAATTCAGGGGCAAGACCTGACGAAAGCGCCCCTGACAAGGGCAAGCAGGGGCCGCCCAAGAAGAGAAATAAAGGAAGTGGTAAATTGTCCCTCAAGACTCTTGCTAGAGAGAGACTGGGACGGGATATTCAAAATGCAGGGAATAAAGGTCATGATAGCCTGGAGGATGCGCTTGCAGCCCGAGATCTGGTCCACTGGCATATTGTAAATCGGGGGAGGGTTGGATTGGACGACGGGTAGAAAGGGATACAGTAGCTTAGTCTTCGCTGCGGAGTTAGGCGACTATGGCATACGATCCGTATTTGTGACTACTTTGATACAGAGATAGACAGCCTGACATGTCACATTATCTGCAAGTTTTTCCTCATGGCACATAAACACATCGATAGGCCTTAAAAAAAGAATAAAGAACAAAAGAAGAAAAAAGAAGAAAAGAAATCCAATACCGTCGTATGGTAGAAATCATCTCCAGGTGGCGTTGTTCTTTTGAGGCCTACAATGCAGCTTTGGCCAATATTGTAGGGTTTCTGTGGCCCCAATGCACATTTAATTGGTTGTATGTATATAGGTCTCAGAGCGTTGCCAGTTGTCTCTGGAAAACATACCTCGAGCCTTGCGTCGAGATGGAAGTGGAAAAATGGTTTTCTTAACAAGTAAGTATAAGAAGGTGATCAATCTGTTTCCTTTTTTCTCGACCTGGTCTTGTTTCTCTCGTTCGTCTTCTCCAGTTCCGCTGGCAGCTGGGATCATCATCCGGCAATAGTGTCTATCTATATTCTTCCATCCCAGTTGTCTGCCTCTATACGCTCTTCGAATCCTATCCTTGTTTGATCTGCTTCTCACAAGGGTAGATACCGTACCAGCCGGACGGGGCAAACTCGCCTGAGTTCGCCTCCCCGTTCGGCTTGAAAGCAATCAGAGGAGTACCCATTTTTGCTGTGAATTCTGTGAATATACAATTACCATTCCAGGGGAAAGCAACGTGCGACTGAAGACAAATCTCCTCCATATCCCTGTAGGAGGTTAAAATTCCCCCCACTAGGCATTCATAGCCATGGTCTTCTTATTCTTCATCTCCATCTCTTCAACCCCGTTCATTTCCGCCCTATTTGCCCCCTTCGTCCCGGTGCTGTAGTGGACGAATTCGGGAACAAAAGGGGCCAACATCGCGGAGATGACGGGGATTGAGACGATGGAGATGAAGGGGACGAAGAACGAAAAAACAACGTGGATTTTCCGTACCCGTTCATCGAACCGAAATGGTTAGATATTCAATTCCCGGGGCCGATGCCACAGCACCAGCGGCCCCTGGGACGAGAACGAGAACCATCGGGGGAAATCGATTCTGAACGTGACGTTGAGCAAGAGGTGTCGATAATTGAGGAGTCGAAGTCGAGGGACGGCCTGTGGGCTAGTGTGTCCAATGCCTCCTCGCCGGTGATCGCAACACCCGGTTGGACAAATGCAGCGCCAGTATCGGTAGAGTCTCAGGGGTCGTGGAACGGTAGCGGTGATTTCTTCTATGACGGTGGCTACACCGATACATATAGCCCTTTGGGGTCGTCGGGAGGTCTATCTTCTCCATCCAAATCTAGTCATGTTTCAGATGCAGATGCAGGTGGATTCGCTCAGCAATACGGATGTTCCGAATGTTCATATGTATTTGAGAGGCGATATGAGCTAAAGTAAGTTATTGTCATGCCCCACCGGTTGGATTCCTGTTTCCTACTATCCCTGTAGCAACAATTGACATAGGCTACACGAGTTCGTTCTCTTTAAAAGCTGATGCGGATGGCAGTTCCCATATGAAAAAGCACACGGTTCCATATAAATGTCGATATATGATTGAGGGGAGCGGAGAAAAATGCCCGAAGGCATTTCGACATCGCAAGGACCTCATTCGGCACCTTCAACGTAAACACCCCGAGTCAGTCCCGGATTTCACGCCGCTATATTGCCCGGTTTGGGGGTGTCAGCATTCGGAGGGAAGGGGTAAAGGGACGAGGAAGGATAACTTGCGCAGACATCTTAGGGGACAACATAGGGATGTGTATTTACCTTTGCGGAGAGGGTTGGGATGAGCGGATGCCTGTGGGGGACGTTTACATGTATCTTTGAGTGTGTTCGTCGCTTCTAGTATGTGGCTCTTATAGTTAAGTATTTGAAGATCAAATCAAAAGTAAATACGCTCGGGGACGTAGTCAGCCTGCAGCATGGAGATAAACCCTTGAGAATCCTTTCACTAACTAGAGACTAGAAAGTATGACTCACTAAAAGCAACGAACCAACTGTAAACGGCGTCCGGGCCTCGTTCCAGTCACCCGACGGATAAAAACATAAGAGGCACAGGCGTATAAAGTAAGGGCTAGATTTGTCAATAGCAAGAATTCTTCCTAGTGAGGCAAGTGATCAATCGGCCTTAGTGGTCGTGACATTTCGCATGGTAGCATTGGTCAAGTAGAGATATGAAGTCTTGACGCTGCAAATAGCCGGCTGAACTGGGTGTGGACCCGTTTAAGCGTACGTATCATGGCCACCACCGCCCGATCGATGGCAGTTCCAACTCGCAGCTGTAGCTGTGGATGCTAGGAGGGCGACAACGGGGGCTCCGGTGATTTTCTGAAGAAGATTAGCCAACAAAACTCATCGTATAATGAATAATTAGTATCATCTTGGATAATTTATATCTTTGTCGGGGTGTGAGGAAATTGAGCTGTAGTACGATCACACTGGGTGTTTTGCAGATTGTCTATCTAATCTCCTCATAGCGAGTAGGTTAGAATGGTCCGGGGAGAGAAAATAATGGATAAAAGGATATATTACCTCAGTCAGCAGCCCTCTACCGTGAGATATCGAAAGAAAACAATAAAAAGTAAAGGGAACTCAACCTGTTTTTATACCAGCAAGTCCCTTTGTATTTTTTTTATCCCTAATCTCGATTGCTGGAAGGCTTGGGATCAGAAACAAAGTGAACTCAGAGTTACTCATAGCTTTGAACCTGAACACTCCAACTGATGCTCCAATCCAAAATTGAAAATCAATATATTGCGCGTAGTAAATACCATACAGTACATGCAGTGTGCTAGATAAACTACGTACATGCTAAATATGTACGTGAGACAAACTGTCATTGAGCTAAAGTGAGCGAGCACTCATTGGATATGGCCTCTAGTTGAAACTGGAGCTTAAACCATACGTATTCATTTTCCAGTCAGCTGGTGAACTAGAAATGAACCCAGCATTGTCCTACTGCAACAATATATCAGTGCATTCTAAACAATCACAGCCAAGGGAGACCGCACAGCTTGCCTAATATCTCATCTCGCTAGACTGGACCCGTTGGCCATCTAGGCCACAAGGAGAGTAGTAGATAGGGTAAAACAGCTGGCTGACTCCAGGATGCTGGTGGATTCTGCGCAAGTAGGATACTGAAGCTTAGCTTCTGCTCAGTTCAAGATGCAGAGGTAGGTTACACTGGTATCTCTTGCTCAATTTTCAACGCCTGCAGCTTGTTCTGGCAGCACTGAAATAGAGCTGGGTAAACTGACTCTCAAGAGCCATTTACATTGAAAGTCTCCTCTAATTCTTTTTCAGATAGCTGATTTGAGACAACCAATGCACTTGAAAAGCATTGACAACAGCAAAATGAATTTCTTCATGGCATTGCAGCGGGGAACCTCCTCGGTTTGAGATGGGACCCTTTTAACATTTGTCGATGGGTATTCCGCCTTTCTGTTCCAGAAAGAGTCATTTGCCACAGAATTCAAATTCAACTGGCGACGCGTATGAGGGTGGTGTTAGCCAAATCAAAGTGATGGTGAAAACAGCGTACATCCGCATGCCCGGTGCCTACTCCGACTGACATGCGATGTCCACTTCGTCGATTCCCCAAAGAGGGTCCATTCTGCTCTTCTAGCTGTCGACCTGGTGTATAATCCTGTAAGTTTAGCGAGTAACAGTGCTCTGTTTTCCACCCCAAGTTCGGCCTCGCTTCGTGGTTTCTTGGCTTGGCCGCTCCGCTCCTCTAGTTGGTCCTCCATGCTTTGTTTCGTAAACTTTCAGACGCCCTTCTTCGTTGCTGTTCAACCTCTGGCAGCTCTTCAGACCATTCTCTTGTTTCCGGGGTCAGCCCTACCCAGAGGTTGCGGCACATCTTTCTGAAGCTGGGAACGGAGGTAGCCCCGTCCAATAGGACCACGGCGGCGTCGGAAGTTCGTCGCCGCCGTTGTAGCTTCCTCGGTAATTTCTGGTCAGCAGTTTCTGTCCGTCCACAGCTTGGGCGTGGATGGAGAGCTTCAGCGTAACACCCAAAATCTTGCATAATTCGTCCAGAAAATCTAAAGATGAACTATGGACTCTCTATCAAACAAAATAGCGGTGAGAAATCCAGAGTAGATATATGAATGGGCGGGAGCCTGGTTATTTCGCCGTTATTGGCTATGGCTGTGGCGAAGGGAACTGAAATTTGCTCCTTGCTGAAATAATCCATGATCGCGGATATATAATTCTTTCAAATGAATAAACATTTCCCTTGTCGATCTGCTCTTGGTATGGGTTTATGGAGCCTCAGGGAAAATATTTATAGCGGCCGCCAAAACGGCAGGAGTTGGCATGGTCTGTATTGTCCTTCTTCCGTTGTATCTAGCAATAATAATGCTTTATCCATGCCAATATTTCCCTAATTCCAGGATGAGCGGTTGAAGGTTCTGGAAAAGTGATGACCAACAGGTGTGAGAGTTGTGCGCCCGCGAGGTCATACATTTTCTCCAAGTACCGCTAACAGTCCTTGTGGTTACAACCCACCATTGAACGGCTAATCCTGGTGTTCTTAGAGATTGACGATCCCTTGATCCATTGACGGACTTAACAGTTTTGGTTAAACATAAGTCCGATCACCAGAATCAGGTTGTCCGGCGGGATCCATTGATCTTCAGGTTTAGGGTCTCTAACATCAGTAAAGCTCGCATGTCTCGCGTTCTAGGTGGATCTGTTCAACTTATTCAGCTTGCTGGCTGGGGCTTTCACCCGTTCATCGATATTGGCAATGTTTCCCAGTGTAAACCGGTATGTATTTAATCTTTTGGTATTCATGAGCTTATCCAGGGCATTTCACCGTTCATATTGTTGAGATTCCAATTCCGCCTCTCACTCTTTTAGAATGTTGGCCATTTCTTAGCTTCGCCATGGCAGATACCATTCGTAGTACGACAGCAGTATGCGACAGGATGCGAGCAACTGGCTTGGTACTTGTGTGAGGGCGTGCAAACGCATCCTTCCGGCCGCTGTCTCTGTTGCCAGATGATTTCTCTTCCTAGATCGTAATGGCCCAAAGCTGGGGTATTATCTAGGTGATTAACATCTTCTTCAGTAGTTCAAATTTGTTGTTGACAGGCAGCACTCCAAGGCAACCCATCATCCCTTATGGTCAACCAGGAGAAACAGAAGGGAGTTAAATGACCAGATGATTCTCTGAACCATATATTAAAGCTATAGAAACCCTGATAGCGACAGAACTGCCTTTGACAGCTGAAAGAATACAACAGTCAACAATCACGGAAGTCTTCCTGGGTCAGTCTTAATATTCATAATGAATCCAGATATTGTTCCGGCCACATGGAATAGGCATTGGATGGGGTGGCCTGCAACTATATCCTGCAGCTCTCTCAGATCAGGCCTCCTCCGGTTACTTACTACTGTAAGTGAGAAGGTCATCGACAAATGTGGTCATAAATTCATTGATAGCTGAAGAAGGTAGTGGCAACGGAGTGTTGAAAACAGGCTCCATTCAACCGTCAATTCATTCGTGGATTAGCGGTCTGGGACTCATCCTTCGCATATAATCTTTCGGGATGAGGGCAACTCATTGAATTTCAATTTAAATTCCTTCCCTTGTAGCTATTTTAGGAGCGGTTGCCTGGGCTCGTCTCAGACAGCACATTTCAGCGGCCGCGATAGCGTTAGTTCCTCAGCACTCCTTGATATCAGACTGGGAGGAGAGCTTCTGAATTCTCCTTATCCAAACGTCGATATGCAGGTGTCTTGGACTTCTAGAATTGGACAAATTGAGAACCAGAGCGGGCAGCGCGATTATATTGACTGGCTGACGCGACGGGCTGCAACATTAAGCGCCGGGCTAGCTCAATCGGTAGAGCGTGCGGCTCTTATGTCACAACATCGTGTGACCGCAAGGCTGCGGGTTCGATCCCCGCGTTCGGCTATCTATTATTTACTTCTTTCTTGCCCGTTACTTTTTGTTTTCTTTTTTTTTTTTTTTTTTAATTATCTTTCTTCCATTTTGTATTTTTTTATATTCTGTTTATTACTTTTAACTTTATCGGAAAACTGGACTAACAGCTAGTGCTCTTTCTAGAGGGTTTGTCTTGTCATCCCGCGTAGATGATTTCTCGCAGCGACCTCTCTACGCCCCGAATCATGAGCAGTGCCCGCCTATTTTTAACTACGGTTTAGCCTGCGGTATGACC